ACCTAAGCCTTCCATGTTCAGTCTCCTTCTGAATTCATCCTTAATGGAGTTTTTAAATGAGCTTTTAATCAGACAGTTTTGAGCATCTGCATCCAGCTGTGAGTGACTTACTCTGGACATTCCTTTGAAATACCTTTTTTGTTAAGATGAGTAACAGCTTGAGTTTGGTTGTTTTTTGTTCTAGTGGTACTTGTTACAATTTGATCACTTTTCAACTGCAGGCTTCTGCTTTCAGATTCTCTGGTATGTGCACAGTGGAAGCAGCCTGGTCCTGTATGTTGTTTCAATGTTGTGTTTTTGTTGTTTTCCTTCTGTGTTCTTCATTTTAAATTACCAACACAGCGTTCCTGTCACATAGTTCTACAATCCCTTTTGGTAGAGGTGAACAATTTAGCTGTCATAGTGTTAAAATATCATGTGACAGTTGAAGTTTGATTATTTAATTGGTCCATCTGTGGAGATGGCTCTTCTCAAGTGGAGAGAGAAACGTTGAATGTAGTGTATTGTAAAAAACCTCAACACTTCATGGGTTCTGTGGATATTCAAATGGGATTTTAGGTAACATTTGTAGCTACCCCAACAGTAGAGTTCACAGATGCAAATAAGCACTCCCTACAGCAGCGAATCACAGGGATTAGAAAATTAATAAGGCAGTGTAAAACTTGAAAACATTATTGGCAGAAGTACAGTACAGAAATCTGCAGAACATGTTCAGCAGCCCAGAGGATTTTGCTGTCTCCAAATCTTTTAAACTATTGCTTTTTATTTTGTTTTCAATCTGTACCTGTATATGAAGGGATCTTGAAAATACTGTGTTTATGTATAATGAAACTCACATAGTTAAAACTATCCCATCACATTCCTTATTTTAAATAGGCTGGATATGAAATTTTTTTGCATCCTGTTTTTGTTCTTGAACTGTACTGCACTTGTCTGGAAAGCTCTTAGGATGCTGGAAGGTGAGACTGTCTAGAGAAAATAATGTTACATGTAAAATACCAGGAGAAATTGCTCTGACACAAACTGATGTACTGTATGTTTTGACATAGAATCCTGACTAAATGCACCCAGAAATAACCCTGTTTTGGCTTGGTCAGGGTATCTACCATTTAAAATGGAATATGATAATATGGGTGAGGATGATGTAAATATTACAGTATCACATCTATTTATAGAAACTGTACAGCTCTCTGAATGTGAAAATAAAATGTCATTCAACCAGCAACTAGTTTTCATCCTCCTGTGCTTTTCTATCATTTGTTATTCTGAAACAAATGTAATTATATACAAAATACGTCACACACATAGATGAAATAGTGGAAAAGAGAAGTCTCTAAGTGGACAATCTAAATTTCTTTCCATATAAGTAGCTTTAAATAATGAGGGCTTTTGTTCTTCTAAAACAACATCTGTGTGTCATTTGTCTTTAAAACAAAACATTCATTTTTGTAAAACATGAATAGGGAAAACAGACACATCTGAAATATGCAAATTTCTTTTGCAAGCTTGCAAGTGGAAGTGGTACGTAAATGATCTTTCATCCTTTCCTAACACAAAAGCAAAGCTGAAATTGGCAAATAATGACATTAACTTGGTTTGAATTTATTTTCTTGCTTTTGCCTTCTGAGACTATAAATTTTCTTAGAGCAACATCTGAATTTTTAGCATTTGTAGTTTTCTGTATACTACTGTATTTCAAGTACAGGTAAGACTGAAAGCACTTTGGTCTACAATAGAGGTTCCATTTATGCAATGCTCGGTCCCACTGAGGTAGACCATTTCAATTTTTAGGTTGTAATTATGTTAGCCTTATTAAAATAATCAACTTAAAATTATAGGGGGAAGATTATTAAATGCACAACATCATTTACTATATACAGCTACTTTCAAAATTACATAAGCTGCTGTCTGCTTTAGGCTGATGAGAAACATCAGTGCAGAAAAAGACTTTTAAAGGACTTGATAATAAAAATGGCCCTCTGTCCCTTTTGACAGAATTTGTTTTGACAGACAAGTGTGGCTAAATATAGAGCTTGCTGTTCCATGGCTGGGATGGATCAGTAACAAGCTCAGCATCTGCTCTGACACTGGGCTTCTGCTCTTTAGGTGAGACTTGGCTTCAAAACTGAGGACGTTTTTGAAATACATGAAATGTTTCCCATACTTGATGTTTTGGGTGTAGCACTTTGATCTGAGCCAAAGACGTGCTGTGCAGAGTTTCCACCACCCAATGCCCAGTGCTGCTCTCTGGATACCAAATGCAAATGCAAGTTGGATTTTAAATTGTTACAAAAGTGGAAATCTTTTGGAATATAGTCTTCCATCCTTTCCACTCCATCACTCTGAAGCACTAAGGGATAGATGAACTTTGTTTTGGAGGAAAGAAATTGTTACAGTGATTTGCAAGTGTTTTTGGTTATATCCCACTCATTTTGATATTTAGGTAACAATACCTTGGTTGCAGATAAGAACTTAAAGGCCTCTAAACCTTCCAGAACCAAATGAAAGGCTAACAGACTAGTTATAAATCGTTCTAGAAATTTCCTAACACAGAAAGAATAATTCCTACGTTTTTACCACTAGGAGGAGCCTGTGTCTTAGTTTTTAAGAATTTCAAAATTGCAACCTTTTTATTTTAATGCTTGTGTTATTTCCAAGGCTCCTACACAAATGTTACAAAGAACATAAACTTGCCTTAAAACTTCCTTATGGCTGAACAGGTTTCTTTTTCTGCTACAATTTCATTTTTGTGGAAGTTGATTTTCAAAGTGAGGGTTGTAAAGTGTTCTCTGCAAATGCTGGAATTTGTGAGTAGTCTTCCTGGCAGTTTTTAAAGTGGAGCCTAAGTTACTAATTTATCTGTATTCTGGTTATCAGATCTTCATTGAGATGTTACAAAAATGTTTTTGTTTTATTTGTGAATGCAGTGTCCACTTCTAATACAAATGGGTCCACATTTTAAAGGTTAAAAGTTTAAACATCAGTGAGTGTCACGATGCTGCTACTTATTAAGTGATATTTGTTAAGGATATGTTTGGGAAAAGCATTTTGAGGGTCTGTTGAGGGAAAGAGCTCATTACTTTAAGAAACCTGTTGTAAAAAAATTCCTCACCCAGATTCCTAACTTTGGATAATCCCTACCATCCTACTTTAACACTTTCAGGATAGCAGAGTAAGATGAAATGTTGACCTGGATATTAAAAAGCTTAATTGCTAGTAAATATAAATCATTAAAAATTGCAGTTCCAACTGAAGTTCTAGCTTAGTAATCAAAGTGGATGGGAAAATTGGCTCTGATTGTAAGCCTTATGAAGCTTTACATTGCAAAAATATTGAAAATATTTCTAGAATGATGCTACTTATGCCAGAAGAGGGCTTTTGGCTCACAGAGTGTTTTTCTAATAAGGACACATTTGCCTGCAATGGTAACAAATCAGCTCTTGCCCCAGTGTCAGGCAAGGCTCTTGTTATCACTGAATTCAGAACTAGGCAGGAAATGGAAGCTAAGCTTCTCACAAAGAGCAAGATTTACATCCCAGTTCCCCTTGACTGCCAAAGGGATGAAAGTCAGATGATGTTGCCTCTGAGGCAAGATCTTCCTTCTGGGAAAAAAATGGCTTCTGCTTAACTCTGACTCCAGTGGTACTTACAAACTCCAAGTCTCTGCTCTTAGACAAGCCAGGTGTTGAAAAATACATCTCAGAGCTCCAGAAGAAGTGGAAACTGGGACCAAGAAGCAGCAGCTTGGTGCAAAAGACCTTGTCATATAAAAGGCAGTGCCAAACAGTTTCTTGCTGTTCTAGAAGTCACAATTCAGCCAGAGGCATCTGCTTGTCACAAGGCAGGACAGTCCCAGGCAGCAGAGTGGTGACTCTGTCTGTGCTGGTGGTAAAGGCTTCACACAGAGCCCTACCCTGTGACACCCTTGGAAGGTGTTAAGTGTGAACAACAGCTTTGAGATTCTACAGCCATTCCCAGTGTGGCTGTTTCACTAAAATAGAGGAAATGTGATGAAGCTTTAAATAGTAGGTATGTGATCCCTCTTTCCAGCGCTGTGTCTGGAGGTTTAAAAGCTTGATGTTGGTGACAAGGGAGGTTTGAGTGCAATTGAGTACATGGCAGGCTTAGGGAGGACCTCTTTCAGGCAGATACTGTACTCAGATATGACAAAAATTATCTTGTTTATACCAAGGTTAGTAAAATAGTTAGTTAGCTTTCTGTTTACAGGTGTACAATGTCTTGAAACTTATGCAGCATAGTAGTTCTAGCACTGATTGATTTTGTTTTAAAGCATCAGTCCAACAAAGAAGCATATATATGTCAGCCAAGGGCAAACAGTCCTGCTTCTATTTGCACCAGTTACTATAGTGATTTAGGAACCTACACAGAAATAGAAATCCCCATCTCCCAGAATAGCTTTATATAAAAAGGAACAAACGGTGTTAGGAAAAACACCAGTATAACTCTAAATAGTTGCTTCCTTCAAGTATGTGAAAACTCTGGTTCTGTATTCTCATTCTTTGCTCTCATTTTTGCCTTTTCAGTTTCTCTTACTGAGTACAGTGAGTACAAGTCTATCCATAGTGCTCTGGGTATCAAAGAACTCTCCTCATTTTTACACGCCGCCCTGCTTGGATTCCTCGCTGTTTCCTCACACATCCTTGGCCTACACTGTCTTCAGCCAGTCAGGCTCAACTCTGCACCTCAATTTCCCATCTGATCGTCTCCATGTGTTTCCCTTTGTAGTTTTTCTATACATTCTTCTTGCCTCTGTGGCCATCATCACCTCCCAGCCTCCTTCCCCAGGCACTTCAGCCTTATGCTCTTCCCAGTCACCTGCTCGACCAGTCCTTGCCCCTTTCCAGCCCTGTCACAGTTTCTCATCCCTCTCTCCTGTCCTTACCAAGTGCTCTGTCATCTTCTTTCATTCTCAGCCTTATTCCATGCTTACTTCTCTTGCATTTAAATCAAGTTATTTTTGGTGGAGTGCTGAAGAGTGCTATAGAGGGAAAGGAAAGATTTCCAGTCTTAGTGCTGCTGTTCTGTGATAGCTTCCAGCAGCAGCTCTTCCCTACACTGCTAGAAATGACACAACCATTTGATTTGATATTAAAAATAAATAAATTGGTGTAATCCAGATTAATAAATAAATAATAAATTGGTGTAATGCAGTAGCCTAAAAATGTCATAAATTGTTAATGTTTTTCAGTACTGTAGGAAACAAAAATCATAACAGCAAATACTATGCTTTGTAGATACACAGTCCAGTAATCCCCCTTCATACCAGTGAGGAAGAACAAGTCCTGTTTTCAGGTAGAAATTTTTGAGGACTTTCCTATGATCAAAATCTACTGTACTTGGGGTTTTCTTTTCAGGCATCACATACAATGAGCTCACCTACAAAGAAGAAGAGAAGCTTGGATTTTTTGGCCATTTTTTCCCTGGGTACATGAACCATGAAACAAAAGTGTATTTGAGAGTTATATTGATACTTAGTCTTTTTGTGGTCATAATTTCCTGGAATATATTTGGATTTCTGGGGAAATTGTTAGCATTATGACAGGTACCAAAGGAATGCAACCTTATTGAAGGTGAAAGTGTATCCATCCACACTTTGGGTTCATGTATTTGGGTCCCACAATTTGTACTTCAAAGCAAAAGAGTGGAAACTATGTATATTGTTTATGTTTGCTAAATACATTGTATAGAACACAAAATCACATTCAAGCTATTATCCATGGATAAGAAGAAAAAGGGAGCACACTTAACACTTATTTTTGTTTTACATTCCCTTGTCCACTGATGTTTTAAATATTTTAGATTAGTCACTTTTTTAGATTATTTGTCTTTGTATTAGCTGTGCTAATACACAATTATTGACTGAAATGTGTTCATAACTATGACACTTATCTGTGCTTTCAGGGCTGGTTATTGACAATGTTTCTGTCTGGCACACAAAGCAGATGCTTGACTATTTTTTTCCATATCTGGACCTAATAAGTGAGGCTGTTCTTATCTATTTCTTTTAAAATTTCACCAGTTCATGCTGTTTAGGATGTATTGCTTATGCAGACTGCTGTGGGGACCCTGCCCAATGACAAGTAAAGGATATCTCTATGACAGCTTTTGTTTCCCTAAAATAGAGTTCTCTTCTTGCTAAGCACTTGAAAGGTATCAGTGGGGCTATTTTTAATCTCAGCAGACTGTTCTTATAAAATTCTTTTGTAAGGAGACAGGAACAGCTTGTAGTTCTAAACCTACTCTGAGATGACATGTAAGTGACAAACTTCTCTCCTAAATACATACAAGGATTTTGTTTCAAAGGAATTCTGTGATCAAAGCAACATAAATGATTTTTCTGACTTCCAGAAAAATCTTTTCTCTTGCTACTGTTCTTTGAATGGCCATGATATGATTCCATTAAGGAAAAAGTTCTACCAAATAATATTGTCTTATGTTTTGATTCATTCTACTCGATTGTAGATCTCTCTTGAAATAATTAGAACAATAATCCTTTCTCATAGGGAATGAAACCTGCAGGTGAGATGTATCGAGGCTATCTTTAAATGTTTGGCATGTCCTGCACTGAAAATTTTGTTAAAATAATATGTAGGAATGCCTTGATCTCTCACAGTAATTTTCAATAAGTAGAATTGAATTTTTATATATAATTTGATATAGTAAGCCTAGAAAAATCTGAAAGAGTTGGTAAAGATAAGTGTTCCATCTTACAGAGAGGAAGAGGAAGATAATCTCAAGATACGTGAGGTACTTTTCATAAACATTCTGTTGGGACAATTCTACTCAATCAATTTAATTTGCATTATACTCCACTATATCACGTAAGTATTGTAGCTTAGGCAGCAAAGCTGCTTAAGAATAATAGAACATTTTGGTTTGAAAGGGACCTTTGAAGGTCATCTAGATCACCTAGGTCATGGAAACATTGGTGACAACATCACTGATGGAAACATGGCTTCTTATTACTCAGGTTACCTTTCCTTGGAAACACAAGTATTCACCTGCATTGTGGATGGTATAAAAATATATTAGAAGTTGGCACCCTTTCTGCAAGAATAGCTGTAGTACTAGAGCATATAGTGCTCTAGTAGATTTACAGTGACTTAGGAATGAAATACTCTTGAGATTTTTATTAACCAGTCAGAAAACTAAGGCTCAGGAAAGAAACAGCAATCACTTTTATTCTGCAGGTGTCACCAGAGATAAGCCTGCTAGCTTTAAAGTAACAGTTGTGGATCTATGATAGCAGAATACAGAACAGGCTGCAACCTGAGAAGCTCTGCCAAACAGTCACTGGCATGACTGCTGTGTGGACATAACTGTAATTTCCTTCTTTAGCTTCAACTGACCTACTTGTTATTTGTTAATAGGAAAAAAGAACTATCTCCATGGGGGACCATCCATTAACTCCCACACAGCCTTTGACAGCATCTGTATAAGCCTGCTGAAGAGGAAAAGGAGGAAACCCAGCAGCTTTACCTTAATCTGCTATGCTCACACCACAATTTGAAGAGATTTTCTTCATGCCTTGCAGCCCTGAGCAATAATCTCTCAGAGCAAGAGCTGACAAGTGGGTGGGGGGAGCTCCTGGCACTGAAGGGAAGAGGTGGTGCATGAGAGAGCTCTTTAGCCATTTTCTTTGTTATTTTAGAAGTAATGGTCAATCATTAACTCATTTTGCTATTATTATTTGCTCACAGAATAATGGTCAGGATTTGAGGACTAAGGCAATCTCAAGGAAACAAGGTGCTCAGATAAGGTTTGTTTTCATTTGACAGTTCAGTTCCAGCTGGTGGCTTTTATGAAGCTTCCCATTGCCAGGAGTAAATAAATATTGTTTACTTAGGGTATTTACACAACAGTGCTGAAAACATGAATGAAATAAGAGAATTGATACTGTGGTGCGAAATATGTCTTGTCTCAGGCTGAAGTGTCAGCAGAGGGTTTGCTTGGCAGGTAAGCCATCCTGAGAGAACTGGGCTGGTAGGAATACTGGAGGTGCTTTTTCTTCGTCATAATATTTTAGAAGTGATGTTTCTTACCTGAAGTGAAGCACTGGGCTTTAGTAATGCTCTGCAGCACCCCTGTGCTTCAAATGAGTCTTACATATGTTAATTCAAAGCATCCAAGTATCTCCATCAGGTGTATAGTTCATAGTCTGAAGGAAAGGCATGTACACTGAACAGGCAGCCAGCAGCCTCATTTGATAGGATTTAAATGGAAATTGTGGAAGCATCAAAACTTACAATCAGTTTCACATCCAACTGGATAGAAATAATCAGCCTGAAGAACTTATGTTTACATATATTTTTCACATGGAAGGGTCTTTTTACTGGAGCAATAACAGATTGTTTTGTCTTGATGGAGAAAACTACTGGAAGAACTTCAGCAGGACTGCTGCTAGGTAGGAATTTTTAAACTTTATGACCTATTTTGATTTTTTCTTTTACTGTTGAACAAACCTTACACACTTCTAACAGTACTAAACAACTACAAGGTAAGAATATTTGCCATGACATTTGGAGATAAGGCTGATTTTACATCAGAGGAGATCTCACCCAGGGAATGATAGTCTAAACTGTCATTCATCAAGTAGTCTTTCAGGTGCAATGGGGAAAAAATTGGGAGATACTTTGTTGTTCTTAACCAGGTAGGCTAGGAGAAGCTTCTCAGTGTATATGGTTTTAATCAGATGGGGATGAAGATTATTTACTTAATCATTTATTTATTACCAGCATGGAATTAATGGGCAATTAGTGACTCTACTTTTAGGATCTGTGTCAGCCACTGAACAGATAGATGACAATAGTATATGCTGGCAAAACATCAATAAACACCTACCATTTTCTGAAGACCTTTCTTGAAATAATTACAGGAAGTTGAGGCTTTGCAGGTGCACCTTCCCTCTTTTCCTCTTTTCAGGAAATTGAGGAGTGGTTAGTGTTTGGAACTCAGAATTCTTATTTTTATGAAGACTTTTTAAAAATCTAGTTAGTGCTTCTCTTTTGTAATGCTTTGGATTTGCATTTGACTAATTGTCATTGGAAGTTTTGGAAATCAAAACTAATTTGTGTTTTTCAAGTGGAGCATTCTTAGAAGGCCCTATGGAATTAGGCTCCAACTTTTGCAATTCACTGCTTTGCAATATGCATTGTCCCACAAATGCTGCGATTGTCCTCTTGGTCCACTGCCTTCTGGTCACAGGTTCTTTAGAAAATAGATCATCTCTGTCTTTTATCTGTGGCATGTGCCTTTTTAAAAAAAAATAATAACATTGCTCAGAAAGTGTAAGCACAAAACAATGTAAACCTGGCTGCATATTTTCCTTTTAAAATTTTATTTATTTGTTGAATAACAACAATGTGCAACAGACAAGTGTTAATCTGGTATAAGTTTGCTTTGGTTTTAGAGAGTATCCTTTTTTGTTCTGATATCATAATGAAATTATTAAAATACACGTCTTATGACCATCAGTGCTTTTATTATGAAGATGCCTTTGCTTGGCTAATACAACTAACACACTGTGTCAGATATGCTTTGCCATCCCAAGTGGCATGTTGGAGGCAGAGGAGGAGTGTTACTTCAGCTCCTTTGTGTAGATTCTTCCAAAAGGCAATGCTCCCTGGATTAAAATCATCTTCTTGCCTTCTCCTGTGATCATTAAAATGTACTTCCCAGCCAGAAACTATCAACTACTGCAGGAAAAACCTACCCCAGATACTCTTCAAACTTGTACGTGAGAAGCTAGAAATGCTATCGTGTCATTTGCTTAGACAAAATAATCTGCAAAAGTGCTTACATATCACTCATGGCCTTTCACAAACCTTCAGGAAGAATTATTACAGTGAGTTTATTTCATTCATTCCAAGCTTCTCTTTAAAGTTTTTTATTTACATGCAAATAGTCTCCCTTGCTAGAATTTTCACTCTTTCATCTGACATGCAAAATTATCCATGTGGATTCATGTGATGTCTCTGATTGGTAGAAAAAAACCATCTAATAACTGGACTTCTATGCTGGTGTCTTTTTAAAAGCTAGAAAACAAGTAGTGAGTACTTATCAAAGGAATTATTTTCTATAAAAAGCAGAACAGTAGCTATGGCCAGTGGTTCCCAAATGGTGTGGTTTGGACACAGTTCTGCTCGAGAGCATAACAGCGGATAGTTCAAGCACTCACTGACAGTAAAAACAGCAGGAATGAAAGTTACATTCTGTGGCACAGAGACAAATATAATGATTATATACTGTAAACAGTATCTTACTGCTTCATTATTCTGAGCTACTTGTTTCTTATGAAGAATGTCAGAGTTCTGCAAAGAGAAAATGGAGTGAACTGTAGAATTGGGGGATTTATGCTTGTTTCAGACATTAGGAAATGACTAGGGTTTTTTCAGTTTTACATAATTTTACTATTTTTTAAAAAAAATTTTATGTATGTAATGGGGGAAAAGTTTATCTTGATTTATTTTAAGTACTTCATGTGGAGACAAGAGCAATCTAACTACAACAGATATATGAAAAGAGGAAATATTGTCAGAAAACACACTGAGTAAGCAGGACATTACACAACACTGCTGCCTCCTTGTACATGTGTATTAAGTGATTGCTAAGATGAGCAGGACTCCTGAATGAGCAGAATTTGTGTTTCATTAATATCTTCACTTTTCTTCTTTTCAAGTTCCACTCTAATGCTGAGACAGAAAATGGAGAGAAGGATTTATAGTCAAAATACATTAGCTGACTGCCGTTATACCACTTCATTCTTTTTAAGTCTAAAATGTACATTACACATCTAGATGCATTTAAATGTTAACTATAATTTCTTTGTTGAAGCAAGGTTATTGATATTAGTTAGTCCTATTATAATAAATAACTGTTTCTTAGAGGGAGTGCTTGTGGTGGATTAAGAAAAAATGACAACCAAGTATTCTATTATTCTTACAGATTTTTACATTGGCCCAATGTATTAAAGGTGGAGACCCGTGGAATACTGACTACTGAAAAATAAACAGAAATAAAAACATATGCACATATAAACATTATTGTTTGTATTATACATATAAACAATAATGTTTATATGTGCATTTGTTTATAATAATATAAACATTACAAACATTCTCAAAAGTCTCTACCATGAATATTTAATAATTGTTTATTCACAGATCTGACCAAACAGCCACTGCTCCTTTTTCCAGTTGCATTATTTTTATTCTTACCTTGACTTTCAGATCAACTGAGATTCAGAGTTTTACTGAGGAGCTGGAGAATGAAAAAAAGTTTAAGATACTATCAGACATTAAAGAATGGCAATTTTAAATTGAGACTTGGTACTGAAAGTGAAATATGGACATTCTCTAGTAGTTGCTTTTATCTGATGATTCTAAGAAGATTTAATGTTCCTAAAGCAAGCTTCAGATGATGATAAAATTAATCTGTGAGCCCTGAGGGTATTGGCACCCAGCACTGCAAGGTGTACTGTATGCACATTCCTGATTTAGCAACGAGTCAAATATTCAACTTGGTGATGTGCAGAAATACCTTCAGGCTTGCTGTGCTGAAAATGAATTTCCATCAATTACTGTTATGTAGGTCACTTTTGCAGCTTTTACTGGGTTTGAGCACTTAAAGTAATGCTACTCTACATTTGTATTGATAAAGAGATACTTTGCTGGCAGCTTTATAAAAAATATTTAATATTTTTTATTCTATTATAAACATGTGACTTTTGTTCCTGGTTCTTTTGACAAAAAAAAAAAAAAATTTGTTATAATTCCAAAAATGTTTGTGATGTAGCATGCACTACCTTATACATATGTCTAATAGCCAATGACTTGATTTAAAACCTTCAGTTACAGAACAAGCACAAAGTCCAATGAAGTTATGCTCAATGCAGTGGTTGTAGATAGACCTCCCTTCCACTGCTAAGTGTCTGATCTAGAAATAGCAAGTCAGAAGTGCAATAATTGTACACCATCAGACCTCCATTACCTAGCAGGTAACCTAATTCTATCATAATGCTTCAGAATGAAAAAAAAAATCTTACTGATGCGTGTAATTATACTTTTTGTATACCACCCAAAAAATCAGATAAAGGGGAACTATGGTTTTATTTCCTTTTAACTACCCATTAGTCTCTCTTCCTTGCAGTGTTAGGTTTATGCATAGGGTTCATCTGATTACCTCTGACATCCAGCCTGCACTCTATTTCAGCTTCACCACACTCATTGACAGCTTTGCAGGTGTAAATGCCTCCGTCAAAGGGAGTGGGCTTGCGGATCTCCAGGGTCAGCACCCCCTGCTTACTGAACATGCGGTACTTGGCATCCCCAGAGAGATCCATTTTGTTTTTGAACCAGAATATCTTTGGCTGAAGAACAAAAAAGAAGATTTTTAAAAAAGAAGTTAGAGAATGGAAGACTTACACCTGGTCTTGCAGCCTCAATGTAGCCATCAAAGGCTAAGTAGTATTATGAGGTGTATTATGAGGAGTGTTGAAAAAGAACTGTTAATACTTTTTCAAGGAACAGCTCATTCAGTACAAATTCATGAAACCAATAATTCAAAAGTTCAGTATTTTTGTTAACTCAAAATAGCATATAGAAAATGTAGGGGTTTGCCCTGTTTTTTGCAATTAAAAAAAACCCAACCAAACCCAACCCCTATTAACTGTCTACAAATTCATTAATTTAGGGGTTATTTAGTTGTGCTTATTAAAATCTATTTGAATGCTACAAGTATCTTATAGCAGGGGAATCAAATGTCACAGATTATTAGAACAGAAGTGTCATAAAAGTCCACAGATGCTGGGTGGCCAATTTAGGATGCCAAGGTTTGGTCCAGGAAAGAATTTTCCAAACTCTCTAGCATATCTTTAGCAACTTCAGGAATTTAAACATGAAGTTCCTGTTGGCTTCTGCTATGGAATGAAGTGGTTGCTTCTATACCAGTTCAAGCTTTTATGTTTTGTTTCCAGTTCCTGAAAAAGTGCCTTTAATTTTTATAAAGGAAACTTTGAAAATGAAAAATCTGAAACGAAGTGCTTTTGTTTATTTCAGGCTCATTAGTACATACAGCGAAGAAACAGTGTTTAAAGAATATAAAACCAAGCTTTACATTTTTCTATTTTTCTTTCAGATATTATTGTCTTCTGTTTCTTCATCCATAAACCCCAAAACTACTGCACTGTTTTTACAGAGTGCTTTCAAATCTACTGAATCGCTTTTGTGTTTGACCTGTGGTATATCAATCCAGTGCATCCCACCTGCCACTTGCTCAATTTTCTTGTCAGATCTCTGCTGGATTTTTTCCTGCCTTAACATTTTTTCCTTGTTTCTCTATAGCCTCTTTATCTTTCTGGGTATATGTCTCTTGTTATACTCCATTTCTGGCAGGGCATGAGTACTGTCTCTGCTTGCAGTGGTAACTTTTCCATGCCATACAGATCATCCTGAGGTGTTCTTGAGAATCTACAATTATTAAGAACTGGGAACTTTTCATCCACATAAGATAATGAGAGCTTTTGCAGAGCACTGCTGCAGGTACTGAAACATTTTATCAAGGTTAATTTGGGCAATGGAAGTACAAAAACATATCTGGAAAAGCTGCTTTAAGAGCATTAAGTGTACTGAAGGTTGAGGACTACCTGGATCCTTCAGGCTAATGTGAAGGAGGAGCTGGCATGCCTGAATTGAAAAGCCTTCCATTACTGCACAAGAACAGCTGTAAGATTGAGAAGGTTTTTAAAGAACCTTCTTAAAACCATGGAAACAGAATGAAGTGGATGCAGATGCACAAAAATGTCAGTTAACCAAGAGGGAATATTGTCAATAACACTGTCATTTCTAAGCTGAGGCAGCTACTGGGAGATGGATTTTGCCTACAGTTGCTGGTGTTTATTCTGTAATGTTCTTGCTTTTTTGATGCTGTTTACATGGATATGCTTCCTTTTTACTTTTGAGCTTTGTCTAGAGCTCCATCCAATGAAAGCAGTAAATTATTTTTTTCATTTGGACTGAGTGATTGTTACATGTTTTGCTCTGTAGCAATCAGATCCCTTCAGAGGTATGAGGTAGTGAAAGAAGCTGAAAATAAGCAACCAGACATGAAGGGATTGTGCTAATTTAAATTTAGGACAAGATTATGTCATAATATGGTAAATTCCTTCACTGCAGGCAAAAATCTTATTTCCCTATTCTGAGAAGTCTAAATTTAGCTCCTAGCTGATACAGTTTTTACTGCTTGTTCCTGATTAACAAAATAGTACATCTTTATGTAATCTTTGATGGGACTTTCATAAATATGTTTAGAATGAGAAAATATTCCTGCGAGATTAAAAACCCAAACCAACAAAACCCCCGCAAAAGAAAATTCACACGAGACCAGGCCTTATTCTAGTTAGTTTTGCAAAATAGCTCAGCCTGTCAAAAACTTCTGTGGATGCATTGGTGTTACAGAAAAACTGCTGTTCCTCTGTGTCATTTGGTTAGAGGAACAGTAGATGACATTTAGCTGCTGTTTTCTTCCACGTCTGGAGAGAGCAGAGTATAGATAGTGAGCAGACCATTTTGTTGTTGTTTGCCTTCTGCAGTGAGCGGGTTTTGTGCAGAGGGGGAACATTTCCAGTGGTGTGGTGCCACCAGGAGCAGTGAGTGCCTCACACCCTCTGTCCCCATCACTGTGCCACCCCCCGGCTGTGCACAGAGCCACCCACCCACTCGCCCCCTCTCTGCAGGCTCAGGTGTGAGCGAGGTGGGCATGACCAGGTGCCCGCTGCTGCTCCTCTGCACAGCCGTGCCACACTCAGCCCCCCTGAGCTGGCAGGAACTCCTGCCTTGGCGCAGCAGACTGGTGACTGTACCTTGGGGATGCCTCTGACAGCGCAGCTGAGAGTGGTGTTGTAGCCCGCGATCACAGAGCGGTTCACCAAAGGGTGGGTGAACTTCGGGGCTTCCGAGAAGTCGTGCTCTTTGTAACAAGGGGGTTTGTAAGTGGTGCCTGCAGTTCAAAGAGACAAAATAGTAACAACCGTGTTGGCAGTTCTGCTGACTTCTGTACAATCTATCTGTCATTTATTTTGTCTGTATGATTTTAAGAAGCTTCAAAACTTTTGGCATTTGTGATATAAAAGGTCTTTAAATACATTTCATTCTAAAACATGTCTCGTGTTTAATGTGTTAGTTAAGGTAAAAGGTCCTGGCAATCATGAGTTTTCAGCTTCTGTTAAAAATATGAGAGCCATATGTGTGCAGGGAAAGTCTTCACCACAGACATCTTCATCTTTTAACCCCAAAATAGAAATAAAATACCCCAGCTGTATTATTTACTTCAGATAATATAGTTTAAGAAGACTCTATGATTAAATATTTTTGACTAACTTTTGTATTAGTACAGGAGATCTTCCTAGATAAAGGCTCTTTATGCTAAAATTCTTTTTAAGTGCTAGTTAGTAAAGAATGAAAATATCTTTAGGGATGCAGCTAGTAAAACTGTATTTTTCATTTGCCAGTGTATTACTTCTGGTACTTAGTGGCTTTTGTGATCTTTGGTTTGAAGAATATGTTACCTGTTTTTTGGATATGGGCAGGATTTTTGGTGGTTGCAGCAGTTTCACTCAGTCCACACAAATTTTCACTGAAGATTCGAAAGAAATAGTCATTTCCCATTATGAGGTCTGACACGATACAGTTTGTGCGACGATAGTGATCAAAAACCGTGTACCATTCCTGTAACAAGACTGTACTGTTTAGAAAGATGTTGTGAGAGGTCAGACTGGTGCTACTTTTGGTATGGAGAGAAACTTTTTGTACAAGGAAAAGACAGGCAGACAGGTATTTAGCACTAACCTGTGAAATTGATATTACGTTGCTCCCTGTGAAGATCAGCTGATCTATTTTCTTACTTTTATATTCTGGTGGTGTGATAGGTGTATTAATGCTTTGATTTTGAGAAAAAAATTCCCTCAACTTTCTACCATATTTTAGCCATGCTCATATCTGGGGAATCTGGTACAAGATGTGTACCAGAATACGACTGGTTAATGGGGTCTTCCATGAGAAGATATTTTCCAGTTTGACAGGCATACATACCTCTCCCAGGACATACCCTGCTATGCCTAGCATCTCACTTCAACTCTAACTCCTCCTCCCTCCCCTTCATTTTTTTACTGCATTTATGAAAAATATAATTGCAAATAAAAAATATAATTTCACCTTCTAAGGAGAGCTGTCTATGCAGTTGCCACTTGATACTGCACAGGCTTGGTCTCCCTTCCATTTTCTACTGAGTATTTAACTTAATCTTTCACCTTTTGGAAGTTTTTAGATTCTATTTTTCAATGTTTAATTGCCTCTGAGGTGCCACAGGACACCTTGGACGTACAAATGAGTGTCATGAACTCAGTCATTTCCTCAAGTCTCTGTGCTCCCAAAGCAGGTGCAGGTTTAACTCCCTTCAAAGCCACAGACCCAGCCAAGTTCTTACCATTGTTTTTTTGTCAGCTTTCTGAACTGTGTAGCCCAAGATCTGAGCATTGCCATCATCCTGGGGAGGTGACCACTCCAGGGCTGCATTAAATCCCCAAACATCTACAAGCTTTATATTCTGAGGAGGACCAGGCTTGTCTGCAGAGGAGACATAAGAAAACACCTTAGTTTTTAGTTCAAGATTCAGGAGCCTTGTCATTTCCCCATGCACGGGGAAAAAAAATAGAACCTGATAACAATCTGTAACATTCCATAGCAACACCCTTCATTAATGTGAAGTTAAAACTGTAAACAAGAACATTGGGAAATTTTCAAATAACCTTTGAATATTCTTTAGAGAGGCCTGAATCTTACGGAGAAATAGAAAACACACGAGAATTAGTTAACATCTTTAAAATAGAATAAGAAGTTTGTGTTGTTTGGATGGGTGTGATTAACTCTTTAACTGCAGTTTTATTACTTACTTTGTAACCTCAGTGCAGTTTCTTGGCCATTTATCTACACTGCTGTAACTACCAGGGCAATGGGGTGTGTGCCTTCCAGCTGAGGCAGGCCAGCCATTTGGGAATGTGCCTTTTCCCTCTTGGCTCAGTGCTTGTTAGCTTGCACACTAGGTGATTTCTCTGAAATAGCTAGAAAAAGAACAAACTCTCAAAGAGATAGAGAAATCTGTGTCCTTTTTAAGATACATGGAAATATAGAGAAAAACAACATAGTATGGAATGATAATAATTTTATTTTTTTTCTTTTTATACCATGTTGTTTAGTCAAATGCTGTAAGATTTAGATTAGATTTATTTAATAATATTTCTGTCTTTTTTAACTTGAGGACACCAGTCCACCTTTTTGCTGTTAGATTGTGTTACCCAGTTGTGGGGCCTGCTGGGGACAGCTGGATAGTTCATCTTGTTATGAGTGAAAAACAGTTCAGGATCATTCTAGACAGCTGAAGGGAAACTGTCTCCCCATTGTGTAGCTAAGCTGGAAAAATTAAGAAAATGGTAAGAACCTGATGGATGTAAGTTTGAGATGAGCAAAGCACAGAGGAATGTAATTATAGGTGGCTTGTGATTTAATTCCTTAAAGAAGGATATTCAAACCAGTAATAAATGAGCCTTTGTTATTGGGGGAACTGTGACTTTCTACATCAAAGCATAATGTGCTAATTCTCTTTTCACTGACAAACTTTGGAATTGAAAAACTGCTTTATAATTAGGTTTGACCCCTACTGTCCTCCTTCAAAGTGGTGCCTACTAGAACACTGCATGATGTCTGATAAGGGATATGGAATGCATGGCTCTCATTCCACTTATCATCCTCTTTCTGCCTATCTTAACTAACATTTCAGAGAAAAACCTGCCATCCTCTGTGTTTCTCAGCAGCCATCAACCAGGTAAAGCCTTCTTAAATTTTCTTCTCTGTTTCTGAAGTAGGGAATGGCAATATGTTGTCAAATGTACAACATTGCTTATGGAGAGGTGGAAATGCATTTGTTGTTAACTTGAGTCACAACTTAGAAGAAACAAGATCCTAGTTGTTTTGTTAGATATGTATTTCATTTCACAGAAATCAATCAATCTATTCTGATTTAAGAGAAGAATTTTTCATACTACATACTTGTCTGCATATATGTGAAGAAGAACCTTAGAAAAGGCAGAGATGGATAAATTTGCTACATGGATTTTTATGTTCTTGATATTTGTGGTTCAGTGGGATAATGCAATCTGCAAGAAGACCTATTCAAAATGCCTTCGTAGAATGGTAGAATATTTCTTTCTCAGTAATAACCAGTACAACTCTAGCTTGTCAACAGAGGATGGGAAAAGTTAAACTTACTGATGCTTCTGACCCAAATTATTTTCCTCTGTAGGGCACTGTGTTGGAGTGGGGAATTATATTCTGAGGAAGTGTTCTGTCTTACCCTCAGCACAAGCTCAGCTGAGGAGTTTTGCAAACTAATGAAATTTATACAATGGGAAGAAGAGATAGTGTGAATTATCTTTCAAAGATAAATTCTAATTTATATTTTCAAATAATACATAACGAGAAAAAGAATTAATTCCAGTTAAAGAAATAAAGGATAGAACTGAGGTTTGCTTCAGTCAATAGAAGTCATGATGAAAGACATAATTTATTGATTCATGTAGAGGGTGAAAGAAGATGAGGGAACCATATTCTCCAGAGATTGGAGATATTTTCATTATCTTTGAACTTTCTAAAAGTCTTCAGTAAATACTCTATTCCCATAGAAGAAGTGCACATTCTTTTGATCTCTAGAGTAAAGGGCAACAACTGTTTTGGCAACGAGGGAAGGTGATGGCAGCAACAGAGTTGTTTCCTCTTGTTTGGAGCTGACCTGACTCATCACCACAGCAGAGCTTTTGACCACCTGCACTCTTGCCTTGCTTCAAAAAGAGATAGGTGCTGAAGCCACAAGCATTACTTCTTCATCAAGGAGACTTTTGCCAAGGGAAGTTAGCTGATGAAAAGACACCTCAAAAGATCACTGATTGACTTGTTGTGTCTCTGAAAGCCAGGGTGGCTTTTCAGCCGGCTGTTCTACCACACCTAAAGCACCACTGGGAGTGTAAAAAGAGTGCCTGAAACACCCGTATTTCTGTTGTGCCAAGAGAAATAAAATCTGGGGAACAAAAAGTGCAGTTGACAGAATTGAGAAGAGGTAGTTCCTCTAGAATAACACAATCAAGAATCAGAGTAGATGCCCTGATTGCAGAAGTATCTGCATATGTTATGAGCCCTTTCTCTTCTTGGTCATGAATCAATGAATTATATGTATTCCCATTCATTTGAGCAAACTACTCAAGAAGTACAAAATTAATGTCCTCCATCTCTTACCTGTGTGATTAGCTCTTTTTTTCAACTCTCATTTTCTGTATCGAATAACTCTCTGGCAATGGTAGATGGATATGTTTTTGTGACTTTCTACACAAACAATTGGCAGAAGATACTTGGTGCTACAGCCTAAGAGCAAGGGCCAGAATCTAGAGTCACTAACCAGTTTTAGAAAGATAAATTAGAATGTAGGGTGCATTGCTACTCCCCTTTACCTGATCATAGGGTCAGAGAATGGCTTAGGTTGGAAGGGACCTCAGAGATCTTTCAGTTCCAACCCCATGCCATGGGCAGGGACACCTTCCAGCAGAGCAGATTGCTCAGAGCCCCATCCAGCCTGGCCCTGAGCACCACCAGGCATGGGGCATCCACACCTTCGCTGGGCACTCTTGGGATTATTTTGGTTGAGCTGCATTTTGCTCTTGCAGAACGGCAGTCATCCTTTCAGCAGAAGCTGCTGCTGGTATTAAGACATATTTGCTCCAATTTTTTATGTCGTTTTGTTTGCTGTTGGCACCGTTGCATACACATTCTGCCAACATAATTAATAAAAATTTAAGTAGAGCAAAGTCAGCATTTTTAATTCCAAAGCATTAGGAGGTGAGCCAAAACACGGATTCTAAAAATGTATTGATACACTGGAAGAAATTTGGGATAAAAGTGTGAAAACGGGGAAAGAGAAATAAAAACGGTTATCAAGAATGTTAAAAAGAGTGCCAATGGGGAGAAACAGAAAAGCTCTGGCTAAACATTAATGATATCTGAATAAGCAAGATCTCAGAATCTCTCTCACATAATCCCAACAGAAGTTATGGAAACTTTGGCAATGACATTAGAAAAGAGACTGGAAATTGTATAATAGAGAATAAGCCCCAGACTAACTAGACACTCTTAACAGAGTAAAGCATTAAATGTGAATTTTTGAAATTCACAAGACTGTGCCTTCTAATTTTTGGAACTGTAGACATATATTATGGCAATGATTTTATCTTGCTATCCTTGTCTAATAAAAAAAACCCTGTATAAGTATGTCCATTCCAAGAGTCATATTTCCTTGCTTGAGTACAATATGGCTATGCCTAAGAACACCAGAACTCTGAAATTCTATCTCTCTCAAAGTGATAGAAAGGAGATTGATAAGGATGATCAAAGATATGGAATGGCATCTGTTTGAAAATAGTCAAAATGAAGAGAGTAAAACTTGAGAAAGTTAACTGAGGCCAGTGGGACTGAAGGTTATAAAATCATGAGTAACATGGAAAAGCGGAATGATTATTCATGTTTTTTTCTGATACAAAACTGCATGGATGTCAAATGAGATTGTCAGGAGACAGACTTAAAGCAAGACAAATAGGCATATGTCATTAAAATGAGATTCCTTATAAAAGGATGTTTGGATTCTCAAACTAGACCTGGATTAAAATACAGACTGGATAAAATTAGGCAAGAAAAAGATCACTAAAGATCACAAAATAGCTATGGAACACCAAGAATATCCCTCATCCTCTGAAGGTCTCTAGGACACAGATAATTTGAAGGTGGGAAAGTAGTAGGAAAATAAGGTCACATGCTCTTTGTCCTACCATCTGCAACCAACCATTGAAGGAGAAGGGATTCTGAGGGAGGTGGACCTTTGGGTTGCCTCAGTCTGGCCATTGTTTTGTTTTGCTTGATCTGCTTAATTCTGATGTTTTCAGGGTCTTACCTATGATTTGTATTGTTATTGCAACTTTATCAGACATGTTTTCTATCTGAAGAGTGACTTCATATGCTCCTGAGTGATGAAGCTCTGCTTTTCTGATGAAAAGGATTGTGTCCGTGCTGCTGTTCCGAATTCCCACATCTTTGGAGTCTAGAGCTTGACCATCTTTCAGCCAAGTGATTTTAGGTCTTGGTTTACCCTAAATAGAGAAAAAAAAATTTTTTTGAGGCTTTAGTATTTCCATTTTTCTCTTAGCAATAATTCTAAAAGCTTAATATAATACACAGAGTTGGGATAGTAAACTCTAGAAATACTTTACAATTTCTGTTTTCCTCCAGACAAATATTTACTACCATCTGTGTGGTTTAGTGGCACCATGCTCTGAGGATGCCATTTAGTTAGAGACTGAAATGATATTGAGAACAAATCCAGAAATACTATACATGTGCTGGGCTGGTACCCTTTCCCAGGCATCAGTGAAGCCAACAGGTGATCTGACTTGCTCTGATTGTTATTAGCAGAATCTTTACACACCTGAGGACTTTATTAGCTTTGCTCCCCTTCTCCTTCCTTTCTTAAAATGTTTTGATGCTCTGTCCCCAGGCATTTTAAAAATTTTTTGAAAAATAATTGTAATCTTGCAGTCTTGGGAAGTGAAATTTACTGTATAATTCTTTCTGCGCTGCAAAATTATTTTGGTGACTGTCATCCTAAGCAGTCAGTGTTGCTGCACCCATGGGAGATGGAATTGGGGAATCAGTGAGCTATCAGTGGTGTACACCGCTCTCATCCAGCCATTTCCAGGAAAAATGGTAAGTACTATTTAGTTCTTCAAAAGTTATTGGTATGCTACTTCCACAGTACAGCTCCAAACAAAGAACCCCAAGAAAACAGAAAATGGCCATAACATATTTATTAAATGTATTAATAGTTAATCCAACAGAAAATAACTCAGTGGGGGGTTTTAAGTTTCTGCCAGATTACCAAGGTGAAGCAGAGCAGCCCAGGCCTGGAGTAGTTCAGAGGGGTGGGGAGGGAAAGTGGGACCTTGCAGGGTCAGCAGTCAGCTCTGCCAGGCTGCCCTGAGCTGGAGCCCAAGGCACTGAAATGGGGACACTGCCTCAGGCAAACAGCAGAGAAAGCAGCTCTGGAAGGTTCCCCAATCCACTGGAAAGACTCTCTCTCACTCTGAACCACTGTATCTCTTCCCTTAGCCTACAGAGGGAGAGTAAGATACTCAGACTCTTGGTTTTGGTGCCTAAAGGTAGACAGAATAATCATGAATCTTTGTGCATTGCTACACCTTTATTTCAGGTTTGTCTGGTATTTGCTCAGAAGGTCTGTGTACCATCACTCTTTTTTCCAGTAGTATTAGGAAAAAAACTTCACCTTTTATAAGAGTCAGGACAAGATCTGTCCAAAATTATACTTAAACCTTGTCTAAAAGACCTAGAAATTGCCATTTGTTCATTGATGCTCTTTTCTCTAACTCATCAGATATATTGTAGTTTGTTTTACATCAGGGCTGATAAGCACTTTGAATGAGCTATGGTTTTGGACCTTGCATTCTCTCTCTCTGATAAATTATTTTCCTACAGCTTTCTGCCAAGGAGCATAGTTAAGAGCACCTCAGGGCTGAAATAATAGATACAAGAGAGTTTTTCCTGTTCTAGTGTACCTGTACCCTAGTCTCATTTCAGAGAACCCTCACAAAAACCTGTTAGAGCAAGAAATGGCTTCCTCTCTTCAGCTAGAATGTATAGTAGAAATTCTGGAATAAGTGAAAAGGTTTGGGTTGGGTTTTGTGTTTTATTTTCCATATCTGATTATTGGTGAAGAGGCCAAGAACTGACTCTATTTTACTTCCCACATATGCCTGTATTTTAAAATTATATGGAGATCCTCCTTGAAAAATTTGGCTAGGGAATGCTTTCAAAATAAACATAATCTGCCTAAATAGTATAGTTCTATGTGCATTTATCTAAATTTCTACTTTGCCAAGACAAATACTTGGCAGGTTTTCAGGCTGATTACAAGGCTGTTGCTGCTGGTATTCTAGTGTGGTTGATCAGATATGCTCACTCACAGCTCCTCCTTTTCTGAGGTGCTGTGAGAGCCAGTGAAAGATTGCAAGTGTTCAAAGTGTTGGTTTTCATATACTCTTATATTTATAGACTGCGAAAAGCATAATCAGATAGAAAGCATGTTCCTAATACATATGTCAGAGGATAGGATTTCTGCAATGTGTAATAGATAATCTGAGAGAGAACAGTGAGTGACAGGGTAGCTAAATAGCACCAGAGAAACTCGGGGAGTTCACAGCCAGTGAAGAATGAATTTAAATGCTCTTAGATATTTATATTCACACATTTATGATGGACAAAAAGACTGCTCAGTACTACTGTGAATTTTATCCATTAATAGCACATGATATCCCTCCAATCACGTGCCACATAGTTAATTTTGAGGCAAGAATGTGTTGATTCTCTTCCTTTCACCAGAACGTTCCACCTGCTTAAAGCACTCAACCTAAAAAAGGTTAGAAGCAATGTTTTACTTTCTTTTCAGGACATTTTGATCTAAAGGTTTAAATAGGTCTGCCAGTAGCATTAAACCCAGAATACCTTGACAATGTATTTCACAGAATTTTACTGTAGTGACCACAGAGGTCGCTGGAAAGGTTGCACAGAAACTGTAAATAGTAGAAGACACTGACTTTCACTTTCACTAGATACCAGATTCTGTATTTATTTAGGATCTTCTTCTGCAATAGAAATGTCCAGTGACTTAAAATTTTTCAAAATGCGAAGGAAAAAGTTCTTTTTGATTTGCTTTTTTTGAACGGTCATCTGTATTACATATTCCAAATAGCTATAGCCACAATTCTTAATACTGTGAGAGCTGCAATTCAACACTATGACAAATTTAATTCACTCAAAAAAATACTTATTGAATTAAAGTCTTCTGGCTTTGTTCTCAGAGTAAAATCTGGCGTTGCTGGATAGATTTTAGCTTTTTTTGTTACCCTTACCCTTTAGGAGACAAGAGCTTATACCAACACATGATTTGTCAGTCAGGTACTCAAATCATGTTTTGATCAGTTGGTTCAATTTGGCCAAATTTGCCAGAGCACCTGAAATCACTAAGATTAGCTTAGTACAGTTCTGCAAAAGATTGATGACTGGGGGAAATGCCAAAACCTCAGTTAGTGTCCCCACTAAGAAAAGTCAGGGAAAGCTCAGTATTTTAACTAATTTTTTGGCAACAGCTGTATGATGAGGCAGGATTAAGTGAAGCTCTGGATTAGTTTCCACATGCACTTAGCCTGGCCAGGGAACTGAGGACGTGCCAGTGAGGGGAGGAGGGCACAGAACTGGCAAATCCCTGGGAATATTGCAGTGAGGCTGCTCTCAGCACAGGAGGTGCTGCATGTGCTGGGACAGTGGTGATTTGGGGCTGTCATGGTTTATTTAGCACCTCTCTCCCTGGCAGAGTCTTGTGGGGAGCACAGAAGGCCTTGACTCTGTGTATGCACTGCTCTCAGCAATGGCTAAAACACCCCCAAAATATCAATACTCTTTCCAGCACTAATTCAAAACATCACCCCATAGTCACTTCCATGAAGAAAATTAACTGCCCAGCCAAAACCAGCACAAGGGGACACAAGACACAAATCTCTAAAATGTTATACTTTATTCCCCTGCTTATGGGACAGCTTGTCAAATTTGTGCAATTTTTCTTCAACTTGGATATCAAAGCAGGAAAAATATCTGTTTATTTTAGGGTTTTTTAAAAATAATTACATAACTCAGAAATAGCAGATGTACAAATCTTGAATTTTGTGTGTGGCTACACATCAGTAAAAAAGTCATTTTAACAATTTTGGAGATAAGAAATGTGAAAGAAAAAAATGCCTTATGATTATGCTGAAATAATTCAAGCATGCAAGTCAAGAAAGTTATCCATTCATGAGCGTGCAATTGTGTACTAATCAGATATATCTCTGTGAAAAAGCAACTTTTCATGTGACCCAGTAACCATAGTGCTAAAAGACATGTACCTTTAAGTTTACATAAATTTTGCTCTAATAATTTTTCCTGCTGATGCTGCTCAAACAAAAAAATACAGATGATGTGTGGTTATTTGTCTCCCTTGTGGAAAAAATGTTTTGCATATCTCTAGCATCTTTTATATGAGAATTTCAAAGCTCTTCACTAATAACAGGATTACGTTTCTATAGATGTCAGTCCTGGACTGTAGAGAAATTTCAGTGTATTGAAGTTTTTACTGAGGACTTTATTAAGTGATATATCTGTTATTACTGAGGAAATCTGTGTCAGAGCCAGAGTTTGTAATTTACAATTTCTTTTGCTATTTCTCCCTTAGGAAACCATTTCCTTACACACCTTAATTCTTGCACTCTATTGAGATTATAGTCATGCATCTGAAAAAAGGCATGTGGGGTTTTAGAAACAGTCAGATAGTTGTCTGTACAGCTCTAGAAAATGCCAAGATGAGGTAACTGGTCAGGTCAGTCTTTGTGTATATTTTAGCAATTTTGTGCGTGCCTTAGTGAAGTGTAGTTACATACATGCACCCTTGATAATCCTCAGCAAGCTCTGGTTTTTATACCTTCATGCACAGTAATGCCCAAGCAGGTCCTTATACACACACTCAGGTTCTGCATCCCAGGGCCAACTGGGGTCTTCTGTTTATGTGCAAACTCTACTTTTTGCAGTCTGCCTTTCAGAAGTTAACACACACACTTTTGCCAAAGAAGTTGCCCAGTGACATCATATGCCTTGGTTCCAGAAGAGTAATTAGTTGGATTCTTACATTTTTGTCTACTTCTCTCTAAGGTGCCTCCCGTGCTCAGTAAACAGGAATGGGCTTGCACTTACTTAGACCACTTTTTTCTTCTTCCCCAAAAGGTAGATTAAGGAAGAAACTCTGACTGTAAAAAAAAATTACTGAAAAAAAGAATGATTCCTTCCCTTTCTCAATTTTTTGAGAAGGTTTCATGAATCACAAGCCATATTTATGTAATTCTGCTTAAGCAGTGAAGTTATGGGAACTTACATTAAGGAAATTATTTTAGGTAAGTAATCATAAATAACCATGACAAAATAGAAGCTGACACATACCTGAAAAGGGATCACAATATTGATTGTTTCACCCACTTTCTTCACCAGAGTCTGTCTGAGGTGGCGTGGCAGCCAGAATTTGGGACGCTCTGCAGTTAAGCATTAGCACACTAAATACATAACTTTTGATAATGTGCAACATTATTTAGAGCAAAAATAAGGCAATGGATAACTTTAAGCATAAGAAAATTGTGGAAGCACTGTTTATACTTTTAGGGACTAGCTCAGTCTCTCAGTAGTTTCAAAAGTATTTGTCTACTGGATAAAAAGTAAAGTCTCAGTTATATATTTAACCTCTGAGCATGTTTTCAGTGACAGCAGCATTATGAAAACGTGTCACATCTGAAATGCGAATTTGGGTGGCTTCTGTTGGATGTGAGAATTCTATATGGACTTTGTTTCTTTGGAAAAATTGTTCAGTTCAGTAGAAAGGATGGGACAAGGGATGTATTGGAGTAAAAGAGTGATGATAGATTATGATTATCTATTGCTATATTGCAGCAGCTTGTAAATTGCCACTGGGAGGTATTTATGGACACACTCAGAAAGCACAGCAACTGATGGATTCCTTTATCTTGCTGCAGTCATTCAGTTACAGTTCTTTCTTTGAGATGGATGTAGTGGAATCTTTGTAGCATCTTACTTTCACTAACGATTAAGGATCTTACTGCATGTTTTTTTCATTGGTCTCTGCTTCCCTCTACTTCACTGGAAAGCTTTCTAGGCTCTTCTTTTATCCTTAGTCTTTCCCCTATTATTTACAGAAGGAATTTCTTAACATACAGTTGGAGTATCTGTCTTCATGACCATTTGGTATTGAGATGCGTTAAACTTTGTTTTATTTACATTGGCTCAGTTTACTGCCAGTGAGACTCTGGCAGACACTTCGTGTGAGCCAAGTTTGAGGAATTCACTATTAGCAGCTCTTGATGTCTTTTGGACTCCAGTCAAATGAATTTTAATCTGCTGCTGTTGGGTGATACACAGGGTGGAAATTAATAATCTGCAACAATGAAGTAAATAGATCTCTTGCCATAGCCAACAGAGTCATTTTGCAGTAATACAGCAGCTTTTCAAGCAGAGAGGTAAATATTAAATAAATGTTTCTTAAATTCTGACAGTGCCATTGCAAGAGGTGAAACGTCCATATTTTGAAAGTAAGAAGTATTTTATTTTAAGAGCTATGCTTTACAAATATAAGACCTGGGTGCTGTAGAGCTGTTCTCAGAGTCGGAAGACACTGGGCACCTAATCAAAGTGGAAGAGCAGTTTGTGTGTTATTCCTAACTAAAGGCAGAATTTTGGCCAGAGGAAATGAAGAGTAAGATTTATTCAGTATAGATACTCACGCAGGATCTCTTGAACAGTAACTGGCTCTTTTATTGTTGCTGCTGCACTCTCACCAGCCAGGTTTACAGCCTTGATACGGAAATAAAGTTTGTCCCCTGTGACCAGATCTTTAACCAGTGCAGACGTGCGCTCGGTTAGGCCAGGAAGGGCAGGAATCCATTCTGTAGCTACAAGTACAGTATGTGCATATTGCAATAATACATTATTTTTCCAAACTGAGGCCTTGTTTGCAATTGAAAGGAAATTTCTATTGGGATAAAATGAACTCAAGTTACAGCACCATAACTAAAAGAGAACAAAATAAGTAGGAAGGAGAACTCTGGATCAAGGAGATTTGTTTACACATGGAGTTAAGCAATCTCTAGACTTGATTACTCAAAATAGCTGGAGATAAGGGAATCATCTTTGGGTAGTTCCTTCGGCATTTTGTTTTATAGAGCTTTGAGCTGTGGGATTTCTTGACATTTATTTTACTACATGGGAATGGGGAGAACTTTGGAAGTAGCTTTAGCAAGAAAGTGAAGCCTTAATTGAATTTTTTTTCTTGGAGTAAATATACTTTCTGTGACTGTCCAAACAGATCAGTGAGAGCCACATATGCTGAAAACAATAATAGAGCGCATAACTGTTGGAATTTATTGTTTAATTCTCAATTGACACAGTAGAACAGAATTCTTAGTGCTTCCTTATTATAAAGCACAGAAATATGACTGAAAAATCATCCTGCTCTGACAGTGACAGAGATTCTGGTAATTCTATAGTGATGTGTCATCAAAGACTCTAAATTATTTCTGCATAAATAATGCCCTACAAACCCCCTAGTTTAGATTATTTGGCAATCAAGCCTAGTGTCAGGGAAAATGTCAATATTGAAGTGACTATAAATTTGTTCTCAGACTGGTGACAGAAGCATTATGTTGTAGCATCACAGAACACTGAATTTTGTAGATATGGTGCTGTTACACTCTTTATTACCAGTAATGGTATTAAATGAGGTAAGGTAATGGTTAATTTTTAAAGTTTGACTGTACTTTGTGTTTTAAGGAATCTGCAATTCATGAATAATACAGAAGTATAGGAGGGACTATAGAACAGTCATGATATTTTTATATTACTAATATTTATTAAAGCTTATGATGATTGTGAAGATGACATTATGGATGTGATTTCCATGGTTTTACGGTCACATCGTAGTGAGTACAGTGATGATTGGCAAGGATGGTAGACATAGATTAGAGTTAAAATTTGGTGATGCTGGACATGGTTAGGTTGTTGGTAGTGTATTGAGGTGAAGTTATTGCAATTGTAGCATTTCTAAATGCTCTGTTGCTGCTGCCTAGTAGTCATGCTTACTTACATCCATCTTTGCAGTATTCCACCATGTAACCATCTAATCCCCCAGCCCCAATCCGCTCAGGGGGCCTCCACTTCAAGGAAACGGTGCTGTCAGAAACATCCTCCACTGTGAAGTGTGTTGGTTCACTTGGAGGAGCTGTAAGGAAATACAGACAAGTAGATTCTGAGAAATAGCAATACAACTATGAGAATTCAAAGGCTACACAAGGAGTGATTAACCACTGATTTATGTACCACTGTCTATACTAATAAAATTAATCTAAAGGTGAAGCTCAGTTGGAAAGTGTAACACCTATTGCATCATTAAATAAAGACACAGCATAATAGGAAGGGGAACAAGACTTCCTATAATAGGAAGGGGAACAAGAGGTTAAGATAGTAGCTCCTATTCACAGATGCTCCCTTATGAGAAAAGCCACTGGAAAAACAAAGATTTGTAGAAGGGAGTCAAATTGTCATCGTAAGTCTGCAGAGAAGTTTAGAAATCAAAATATGTACCTTTTATATTCTGTACTTACACCCTGACTCTAACTGGACAAAATTTGCATGTCAAAGAAGCAAACTGACAGTGGCTGAATTTCACTTCACTCATACAGTGAAGAAAATGACCAAAAGTTATGACTACATGTTTAGAGAAACACTACTTCTGATTTGTGCATTTGTAACAGAGACATACTTGAGAAAAATATTTTAGGGATAAAAATTTTTGGTTCAGATACAGCTTTTTCATATCTCTTCAGAACAGGTGTGTCATGGCTTTTTATAAACCCACAGTTCAGAAAGACCACTAGCTAAATTCGATCTTCTGCAGCATGACTATTTTCTACTAATTTAAAATAATCAAGAAAAGCTCTTACTAGAGGATCCAAAATAAACATAAATGTTACTGTGAAATAATTTATAACAAAAAGCAAACAGAAAACAACTTTTTCAAAATAACATTTAGGGTGCAGGACCACAAAAATTTAGTATACATACCCTAAGAGCAACCTAATTATTCTATTTGACATAATCTGTGTATTTGTGTATTATAAATTGAACATCAACTGAATATACATAATAGATTTTACCAGGTAAGTTAAATACATGTTCACATATTGTGGAACTAATGAAATCAGTCTTAGTTCCCAAAGTAATTGTTAAAAAAAAAAAAAAACACCACCAAAAAATATCACCTAATTTCATTTCTGTAACTGTCAAAAATTTTTGTATTCATGTGGTAGCAAGGACAGCACACAGGAGGAAACGCAATTGGGAGCATACACAACCACACAGTACACGATCAAAACCCCAAACCTCTTCTCTGAAGAAGTAAGTGTGAACTTTATCCTTAATCAAGTAAAACTCTGCCTATCCCATGAAAACTTTGGACCTTTTTTTTCAGAAGCTCCACTTGATGGTTCTTGTTTGACCTCTTTTGTTGCAGACCAGCCGTTGTGAGTTTGAAATCCAGAATTAAGCGACCCTTCTTGCAGTTCAGCCTTCCCTTCTGACTCCTTCACTGCATCCTCTGCTTTTACATGGTCTCCATCAGCAGGCTGTCCCCCTTCGCTGTTATTTGTAGATTTAGAAACTCTAGTCATTTTAATCTCCACCTATTTGTACTTTTGTGGGTCTTCTCCCTGAAAGTCTTAGCAGGCAGTCTTCCTGAGGACTCCTTTAGTTTGCTCCTTGCTCAGGGACTGCAGGAGACACTGCACGGCTGTGTTGGGAAGGATTATTTATAGAAAATCATTCCTCAAATATTTTCTTAATCATCTATCCTTTTAGCTGTGGAGAGGGCTGGGATTAAGGGAGCACTGGACGGGATACTGTGATATTTGCACCCATAAGGGAATGGGAGAAGCTGAGAGGGACAGGGAAATCTCTGTCAATTAGTTCTCCTCCTTTTTTCAGATCCAGCTTGACTCTCACACTTCTAATTATAACAACTAAAATTTCATCAGCAATTTCATGAAACTGGAACCTCTGTGCTCTTCAGGAAGAGGTATGAGAGACAGAGGAACATTACAAAGGAGAAGGTTGATTAAATATAGAATATAGAGACGGCTGATAGCCTCTTTCCTGACACATTCTTTTAGCTGTAAGAGCAGTTGAAGAGAAGAGATCAGAATTGTCCTGTCTTCGATGTATCCTAGAAATACCATGGAGTATCAAAACTCACCAATTGGCATGAAGGGTTGGGAGGCAGGGCTGGGCCGGGACATGCCAATGGAATTCACAGCATAAATCCGCATCTCGTAAACCACTCCTTCAATCATCCTCTTGGCCTCATAGGTCAGCTCCTTTAAAAGGTCAAAGTTCAGCCTCATCCATCGATAGCTCTTCTTCTTCTTTCTCTCTAAAATATAGCCTGGAAAGGACAGCTGTTATGTGGTAAAAGAACTGGAAATTGTTATCTCACATGCAGGAAAAAAGAAAATCCTTTTAAGTGAAGGAGAAATTTCCTTGAAATGTCTAAGATGTGGCATGGAGTTAAAAAAATAATTTATTTCTTTTATTCTGCTTCAATTCACTAACCTTGACTAACAGCCTAAATCCCCCACAAAGAATTAATTGGATGAACAGTTTGAAAATTCCTTTTATTTTAAATTAATGTTTTATCAAAGAACTGATGCTAAATCTCTGTGTTCTTTGCAAAGTGATGGAAATGCAGAATGCTTCCCAGACAGTGCAGATCTCAGGCTGCTTCAGCCCTACAGTGAGTGAGATATGGCCACTCACCATTTTTCTGGCTCTGACTTCCTTGGGAAGGAAAGAGAGCCTGTATGGTAGCGGAGAACAAAGGGAGCCGGGTGCACTGCAGACCAAATCTGCAGTACAGCTTAAGGTGTCATCTCTATGCCTGGAATCCATGTCTTAGCACTTCTCCAGAACATCCATAGCCTTTCCAACACTACCATGCTCTTTTCCATAATGACTAAGTGAGGCTGCATTATCAGTATAAAAGATAAACTTCTCATTTCCCCAAACTGGGAATGGAATCTGTGATTCCTGATGCTTAATATGGAGGATGGTTGTACATCACATTGGAAACATAGATGTCAGATATTTTCCAGTTGACCTGCTACAAGGACTACTGAACTGTTTCTTTCCATTTAGCTATATTAATTTCTGCTGCTTCTCTGTGTTGCAGATAGAGTGACTGGATGGGATCCACATAAGCTTCTTTCAAACAAACTTTGCTGTGATATCTTTTAGCTACAGAATGAATATCAGAGAATAGTGATGTACACATGCCATGTATCTGAGTGTATTTTGTGGACGTGCTCCTACCCATGGACTGCAGAGGTCTGTACAGATGTCTGTAACAGGGGGCGGCTACAATAGTGTGAGTCCACAGCAAGGACTTATAATTGAGCCATGCAGGAGAGTGATTCTGTCCCTGCAACTCACCAAGGTCAAACTTGGAGAGGTTCCTTTGGTATACCTGGGAAGTATGATTCACACTTCAGGTGTCTCCAGGGATAAGGAGAATGACAGGCACATTTGATTTGCTGGCATGCTGTAGGCACAGACAGCGCAGCAGCCTTTCCTGTCAATGCTGAAATGCAAGAAGAGCATGGGAGTCTACAGAATGTTCTGGGAAAAGAACAGTGGAGGTATCTTTAAGCTGACAGGTTGTATCATCACTTTAAATGCATGAAGATGTACTCCTGGCATACTTGCTTTCAGTAGCTTTCAGAGTTAAATGCTGTAAGTGATGAACCTATGGTTCCTTTGGTACATTCCTGTTTTTTTCTCTCTTCAGCAGGGTCTATGAGACTGAGAGAAGTTTCATCAACTCAGTTTCTGGGGTTTTTTTGCTTTTACAGATAACCAGTGTTAAGCACATAAGTGTCAAAATGAGGAGGTTTGCAATTAAAAGAAAAAACAGGCAGAAAGGAGGTAAAATGATAATACCGGTTGTATTGGTGACATTTGGTAAAGCAAATTATTTTCCCAAATGCGTGAGAGTTAAAGATACTGTTTTAGTAATACAAAAAGCACACAAAATCCCAGGAAAGGTGAAGATGGGGTGTGAATTTCTATTTTATATCTGTTGGATATAGCTAATAAAGACTGTATCTGACTGCCTACAAAGCCATCTGTAACAATATGAAGACAGATGAGAACGAATATGCCTTTCTCCCCTGCCTTCCTAACTTGTTTAAAGCTCTGTGTGAAAGGTTAGTGCTGCATCTCAGTTTTCCTCTCCTCCTGCTGCAAGTGTTTTATTGGAGCTCTTGCAGTAGTGCAGCCCTGTGCTACCTGAAGGAACCCCCTCAGGTAGTGTGAAGGGTTGTTACTGGAACATCAACAAAATCCTTCCTTTGACAGTGAAAACAAAGCAAAGAACTTTTCAAAATATGTGTCCTGAAAACCTTACAAAACAAAATCATAGCCTTTGTCTAGTCAGTGAGGTGGGGGTTGCCTGTGATAATGACACAACTACTGGTAAATGTCTTTGCATGTAATATTTTGACTTCTTGCTTGCTTCCTGTCAGAATAGATGAAACCAGAAAGCACTGGCCCAGCAGTTCCTTGTTTATTCCTGCACAGGTAAATTATTTGATTTAAATGAGACAGACCTCGTGGAAATGAATGAAGTCCAGACATACAAATGCAAATACAAACTCTCCTCTTCCAGATACTATTCAGGGGATTAAAAGAATTTTAGACATTTCTAACTCTGCCATCCCCATGGGAGTCCATATAGCTTTCAATGTATATTTTTTTCAAAGAAACTCAAGCTCCAGAGATCTTTATTAAACAAATTGCTAGATATGGACTCCACAGGAGTTTTTTCCCCTAAAATTGGTCAAGACCCTGCATTATTTTCTTCTTCTTCTGAGGATCACAGAGATTTCTGTCTAAAACTTACCATGCTCGGTGCAAAACTCAAAATGGCGTCAGTGATAATCTTGATTGTGCCTGCTGATTTCCTGCATCCCATGATAACTTTGCATTCTAGTTTTTAGTGCAGGTTTTAAGGTCACTAAAATGATTGAAACTGTTTTATGACCCATTGTTTTATATGAAGTAGATTTATGAAGCAGTTTTCCACTATAAAACATGTATTACATAAGTGCCTGAGATTGCAGATGTCTGGAGTTGATGACTGAGGTGGCCACAGATCTGTTTGGATATTCCTAGGTAAGCACAAAGGCCTGTACACTGACATAAAATTTCAGTCTTGAATGAGGATAGTTAGCTTTAGCTATTTTTCATCTCACCTTTTCATGCTTTGGTAACTTGTTTGCTGAAATACTTCTCTGCCTCAAATCGCACAGGCAGGGGGCACTCTCTGCTCAAAATTGCAGGCCAGGCCCTGGGCCGGTTTGAAGGTTCAGTGCCTCAGAGCAGCTCCGGCCTGAGCGTCAGCCTTCCTTATCTCTAAACAGAGAATCCTTCTGGGCCATTTCAAAGGAGCAGCAAAAAACATGTGCCAAGCTGCGGGGACTTCATGTGTTTGCACTCTTACCGAGTACTGGTTGCCCACCATCGTATTTAGGGGGTTGCCACTGCACAGTGCAGTAATCTTCTCCAATGTTGCTGATTGTGGGAGCTTCTGGAGGGTCAGGAACATCTGAAGAAAGGGTGAGAATGAACGAGAGTTTTTATTGTTTCAATTTCTTTATGCAAGTAAATTAAATATTTTTAACATTTTTTTTTCCCTGTGTGGTATTGATGTAATGGTGTCCCCCAGGAATCAGTGTTGGGTGCAGTCTTGTTTAATACCTTGAGTGATGATCTGGATGAGGGTATTGAATCTATTGTTAGCAAATTCATGGATGACACCAAATTGGGTCTGAGTGTTGATTTGCAGGAGGGCAGGAGGGCTCTGCAGAGGGTCCAGGACAGGCTGGATCATGGGCCAAGGCCAACGGCGTAAGGTTCAACAACATCAAGTGCTGGGTGCTGCACTTTGGCCACAATAACCTCCTCCTGAACTACAGGCTGCAGGAAGAGTGGCTGGAAAGTGGCCCAGTGGAAAAGGACCTGGGGATGCTGGTGAGCAGTGGCTGAACATGAGCCAGCAGTGCCCAGGTGGCCAAGAAGGCCAATGGCATCCTGGCCTGTACCAGGAATAGTGTGGCCAGCAGGACCAGGACTGTGATTGTCCCTCTGTACTCAGCACTGGTGAGGCCACACCTGAAGTGCTGTGCCCAGCTTTAGGCCCCTCACTACAGGAAGGACATGGAGGGGCTCGATCACATCCAGAGAAGGGCAGTGGAACTGGAGAAGGGTCTGGAGCACAATCCTATGAGGAGCAGCTGAGGGAGCTGTGGGTGTTTAGCCTGGAGAAAGAGAGGCTCAGAGAGACCTTATTACTCTCTACACCTCCCTGAAAGGAAGGTGTAGCCAGGTGGGTTTTGGCCTCTTCTCCCAGGCAACCAGAGACAGGATGAGAGGACATGGGTTTGAGGCACCTGGGGAGGTTTAGGTTAGACATTAGGGAGAAATTCTTCACAGAAAGGGTGGTTAGATATCGGAATGGGCCACCCAGGGAGTAACCACTCCTGGAGGTGTTTATGTAAGGACTAGATGCGGCAGTCAGTGCCTGATCTAGTTGACATGGTGGGGTTGGACTTGATGAGATCAGAAATCTTTTTCTCATCCAAATTTATTATCTGATTCTGTGATGCAGCTTTGTCAGATAGCAGCAGTAGGTACAACCACAATGTGTTAACTTAGTCTAAAGGGAATCCTGATTTTTGATGCTTCTTTGTTAGGTTGATTTCCTTTAAATAGCATTGATTATTCAGCTCCCTTTTTCTTCCCAGACATAATAAAATTTTTGCAAAAATGTGAGGTAATTCTGTTCTGTAAGATGAGACTTGCTCCAGGGTTTCCTATTTTCTCTAGAATAAATTTTATAAAATACAACTGCATGTCTCACATATTGTGTCACTTTGGAGATATTCATAGTAAATATAATGATTTAATATTTATAAAAGATGGAAGAATAGTTAGTATTTGTCAAGCAATTCTAAATTTTAATACTGTGGGTGAAAGTAATTTTCTTTTATCATTTCTGATTTGCTTATAACTAGTTCTTTTGTTATGTGTGCCAGGGTATCAGCAAATTAAATATTATGAAAAATTTATAAAACTTACTGACTCAAAATCATATCCCTCCCAGGTCTTTTGTGACTCATTGAAGAGTCTGTCAATCTGTTCAGCTTCTATCAGATACATTATGTTTCTTTATTCCATTAACTATTTACTGCTTATAGAATGAAGTAATCTCTGCTTAAAAACAACCCACGACAAAATGACTAAAAGTTTTCTTATTTCTGACAAGCATGAAGCATGTACTTCAGAATGGAATGTCATCTATAAAATGATAGAATCACCTGGAACAGGGAATATATGGATTACTACTGAGAGGTCTTCTCTTTTCACCTCTGAAAAAACACTTCTGCTGCATTTATGGTTGATAATGTTCCTCTCTTTATGATCTTTCCCCATTTTGTTAAAGCCAAAGTCAGAACTTGTATCAGAGAGATTTTAGACTTTTTGAGAAGGGTGAGTTTTAGCAGACTCAAGATTCTTTCATGTTCTGGTTGTTTCTTTCCTTCACTTACCAATAACTTTGACTGTGATATCAGCCTTATCTTCTCCAACTGGATTCTTAAGTATAACTCTGTAAACTCCCTCATCCTCTTTTTCTGCCCCTTCAATGATGAAGACACAATGATCTTCATGCATTTCCACACGGACTCTGCCTTCAGATTCAAACAGGAGCTGTGGGCAGTGAAAAGGACAGATAAAATCATTGCAAGTTGTGCCAGGGACAGCCTGATGAGTCTGTAAATTGGTGAAAAACTAGAAATCATTCAATATTACAATAATTATTGAAAAGCTGTAAAATGTTTCAAGTTCTTTTTGTATGTGGAAGAGAGAAAATATAGACTGGTTGGCTCACATAAATATAATTTGGGAAAATTGGATCTGGAAGTCTGCAGGTTGTTGGGATTCACCACTAGTAACACAAACCCAGTTATGTTTCAAAGTTACTGAGTACTTCCAAAAATTCCTTCTTGAGACAGCTGCTAACATCACTAGGAAGAGTTTCATGGATAACAGCTGGTTACTGTATAAATTAAACCAAGGTTCTTGTTACTGTTAATGGCATCAGTGTGATTTCCGCCACTCAATGGCCACAATTAAGTTGTACATGTGTAATACTCTCCTTTTTTCCTTATGTGCCTGTGTATCTTTAGATTTAGAACAGGAACCCCTAGAAAGAACAGATGTCCAAATAGTGATTAGTGCAGAAGGATCCTAAACCTGAGAATGGTTTATTGCTATATAATAAATGTAAAATATTTTTTACTCTATCAAGAGAGAAATAATTTATGTGAAAAATGAAAGTTGCTGCAAAGTGAGTCCGGTTTCAGTTCTTTATAGTCCATCCACTCTTGACCCATTGTCATCTTCCCATGTGTCGTGTAAGATTTTGTTCTAGTTATTATTGGAGTTTACAGGTTACAGAGGGGAAAGAATCAGCACAAATAAATCTAAACGAGTTTTCAAATAACTGCTTTGATTCTCTGTAACCCAGTCTCCATGTGATGGTGATTAGAAAGACTTTCTCAATCAGCTTCTTACTCTTAAATTATTCACCAGATCTCTTGTGCCCAGCAGGGGTCTGGTAATTAATTACCACTGTGAGGCAGGATAGTGGGCCTGATGTACTGTTTGACTTTTAATATCTACTGACTTAAATGTTATTTCCTTTTGAGTATGACCTTTTACCTGGAAAAATAAGAACATTTGTGTGGTTGCATAAATAATAAGGAACTTACCTTATTGTCGGTATTTGAATCACTGCTATTTTCTGAGGGAGTCATGGAATCATCACTGTTTCGAAGTAGGTCGTTTCTCTAGATAAGCAAAGAAACCACAGAAAGTCAGCTAAGGCTGAGCAGAGCAGTAAAGCTGTTTCTGCAACACAGACAAGAGTCTGTTGGAGGGGGTGAATATGGAGGTGGGAGAAAAGCAAAGTTAGGCAGCAAGCAGACCTGGGAAGGAAATCTTCCAAAACCGAAGTAAAAAGCAGAAATGGAAAAAAAGGTATCAGGATGCAGTGAATTAAGGGAAGGATAAGTCAGCTAGCTCAGATTTGCTGCTTAGCAAAGGAAGAAGAATGACATTCCTGCAGTATTATTGTAACTGGTTGTGAACCTGGCTGTGTCCTCTGGTACTAGTTACTCTATATGTGTAAGTACAAAAATAAGGATTACTTCTTTCTGTAACAGTGGGATAGTAAATTGATGTAAATATTTTAACACAGAAATAATCAGGTCTGTAACACTCGTTGAACAACATCTTTTGAGGCTGTGCTACTCTTTGTTTGGAATTTCATTAGTAAATATATTTTACACAACCTTCAATCAGGACTGGCTGCTTTTCCTCATATATTGAGACCTGCCACCTCATAAGTAATGCTGTACAAAGATTGTCTGATACCCAGTCATCATTTTATCACAGAAACTCCTGTATAGAAGAGTCAATTTCTTGGCTTTTTAAAAATTTGTTTCCATACTAATTCTGCATTGAAGGAAAAAGTTCTGAGTGCTATTAGATATGCTAACCTGAGCAAGAATGCAGCATAATAATGAAGAAATAGGAGATTAGGGGAATTAACATAATTGGCAATATTGTTTTTTCTGTATCTACACATATGGATGTGTAATGATGCTGTAGAATGTTATGCAAAATATTTCTGTTTTGTGCTAGTTATAGCTCAAGAGCCCACAGATGGTGAGGGGTGGGGATATTTTGAGATACCCAGAAAGGAAGCTCACTTAACATTTTAAGTCTAGCTTCTAAATTCTTTCTCTGATGTTTTGTAATCACTTTGATAAGACAAATAGCAAAGTTCCTCTATTTTTATTATATGAAATTCAGCTTTTTGCCACTAGTCTGCTAAGATGACATTTACTTCACAAACGATAGAATCCTTGATAAAGACTAAAAAAAGAAGCTGCCACCTCCAGAAAATGTTCATTCTATCAGGTGAAGTTGATGGGGATGACTCATAATTTATTTTTCTCTGAGGTAGGAAGAGAATAAATATGTCTGGTGTCCTTCTATCTGCATCTACATATGTCTCCTCATATATAGTCAGCTTCTTCTTTTGGACTAAAAAAACAGGGAACAGTTCATAAAAAGGAACAGCTCAGGATGAATCACAAAGCCAGCTATGTCCCAAGCAGCTGCAGTTCAGGTATTTAGGTTTTTTTCTCTTTTTTCTGAGGTTTAAAAACATAAAATTGAAAGGAATATGGAAATACTTGTAAGTAACCATAAACCAAAGTAATATTTGAGAAGGGAAAATAAATTTGCAGTTGTGACTTGCCTCAGACGCTGTGTCAGGTTGCACATTACCTTGTTCACTTTCTGCCAGATGACAGTGGGTGTTGGATCTCCTGATACAGGAACGTCCAGCCTCAGTTTGTTCCCAGCCACCACGACAATAGTGTCAGGGGATTGGCCCAGACAGTCAAGGTGGATTTTAGGGGGTTCTAGTAAAGGTAGAGAAGATAAGTTTTACATATAGTTTGAGTAATCTGAATGGAAAATGAAAAAAAAAAAAAAAAGAATATTCATGCATTAAATTAAAAAAAATTCTGCTTACTTTGCTATTAAAAACATTCTTTCTTGCATATAAATAATGACTGCTGTTCTTACCTTCTCTTGGTACAAAATCTATCTTGACCTCTGAGGGGGAAAGAAAGGAGGAGACAGGGAAGAAGAAATTGATCAGAAAACAGAATTTACATAGCATTTGCACAAACAAAGTAATTTAAAAACTGATTGAAACTTCATAATGCATATTAATCAGCAGATTTATACAATAAATTAAAAAACAGGTTCTTTAAACCCATGTGATAATGGTAATGCAAAATAATAGGGAAAAACAATGTGTCTACGTTGAGGTATCAGAAAGGAGATTGGCATTCTCTTGCCTGGTATAACCATGATTAATGTCACCATTTTATCCCTGTGGAATTCCCATTACATGCTCTAAAATAACTTACCCAAAAACTGAAGCTTGGCAGAAAGGTTATAAGCAAATCCTTGAGGAATGAAGGAATAATCAGCCTCGTCCTCTGGTGTTACATCCTCAATAGTTAGCTTATGGATTCTGGAAACATGAACAAATACATTGCACTCCCTTCCCTTGCCTCCCCAGGAGAAGCAGGGCTATCTCGAGAGAGAAAGTGCAGGCCATAGGATACTAACAGAAATTATTATTTCTTCTTCTCGTGCCATGGCACAAGGCAACAACCACCAGGGCTGTAGTCTGCTCTGCTTTCAGTATTAAATCCAATCCTATTAAAGCCAGTACATTGTCTATGAATGGATTTTTTGGCCAAGGTAGATCGTTTGAAGAGACGTAGCATTTTCCTTGCTCTAGTCCAGTCCTTTGCCATTACAATGGCAGTTGTAACGCTGCTGACTGGTTTCATTTGATCCAATTGTGAAACAGTAACTCTGACTAAACAAACTGAGAGGTGATTCTCCATCCCTGTGTTATTTTAAGTTCGAAACAGAATACAGAAAAGAGTACCAGGAAAGACTTCACCTGATATTTAATGCTGAATCTTCTTGGTCTCCATTTCCATTAGTAGCTAGACTGCTAGGAAACTTGAGTGCAGAATTACAAACTGTATATGTTAATATAAATGCTAATTTTTCTGTAGGGTTTACTCATATGTACTATCTTAACACTACTGTTAGTTTTAAAGTTCTCAACAATGTGTTTTGCATACCAAAACACCACGTAATCCTAATGAAAACTAAGATTTACTTTTGCTGATGCACTGCTGAAGTCATATATAGAAAATGCACCAACTCAGAAAGACTGCAGACATGCCAAAACAAGTCTGTCACTAAATGTTGGTTGCATATGAAAAGCTTCTAAACTTTTTACCTGTTAGCTGGAGCCAAGACAAAATCTCTCTTTATATTCTTAACCCCTGAGATAACAATTCTGATGGATGGCACTGCAAATCCCAAGCCTGTACCTGCTTTCTGAAACAAGACTGACCTGCCAATATGGGAGATCTTTATCCTTTCATCTGGGATCACCTCCTTTCCATTTTTCAGCCAGATTCCTTTCACGTTTTCATCTGAAACTTCACACTTGAAGACTGCCTGGTCACGTGCCTTCACTGTCAGGTCTGCAATGCTCTGATAAACTTCCAGCTTTTTCTCTGATATCGTGAGAATAATCGATACACACATCAAAAATCAGAATAGCTCTGGAAGTAGATGATGTGGATTTACTGAGTAGGAAAGGCAAGGGCTGAGCAAGCAATATGAAGGGAAATAGGCAGCCTGCAGGGCTTTAACAGGAGTGATAGCTAAGCACCTGTTGTTATCAGAGTATCTGCTATATCCGGCACACAGGTCTGAGTTCTCCTCAAAGCCTTTATTATCAAACCCCATGCCCCTTATTGCATCTCCTTTCTCCCTGTCAGGGGGATTATGCTACCATTCTGCACCATCTGGAGAAGGTTACCTTCGGCCTATTCTCATTTTTCAGCTTCTCTGGTTCTGGGACATTCCTGTGCCTACCTTGCACAATCAGTTCAGCGACTGATACCCCACCATTGGTCTTCACAGTGTAGTGTCCACTGTCCTCCTTGGTTGACTCATTAATAATGAGATACTGCTTTTTTCCATCTTTCTTGAATCGGTATTTAAATGTTTCTTCTCGTGTCAGTTCAATTCCATCCTTTTCCCTGAAATACCAAATAGTGCTGAGTCATTTTTGCTATGGTTGAAAGAGGAGAGTAAGGAGCAGCTTGACATTACTAGGGATTGGAAGACACAAGGTGAATCCAATCTTTGTAGCATTTCAAGCTGGCAAGAAAGGGGATTGTTGCACAAATGTCAGTGCAACCAGAATGCCTCTATCTTGACCATTAATTTTCCCGTAGGTATTTGACTTTTGGTTCAAGAGAATTCACCACAAGTAATTACTTGATTTTTTTCTATTTATATGCTATAGATAAATAGGAAAATATGTTAAATGCTGTAGGAGATAAAAGGTTGAAAACACACTTCACCAGCAGGAAATTTACTGTCTTAAAAGTGGCCATAAATTAAATGGGACTTGATGGGATATTACTTAAAAGTCTTAATTTTCCTGATGTGAAATATAATTGTTAAAAATCCATGATTTGTGGGCATCAGCAAAAGGAGAAAATTTTAGGATGTATTCAAATGAATGTGTATTTTGAATTTTGTAGCTCTTTCCATTCAAGGATGCCACAGTATACTTAAGACTTTACTAAATTAAGCTTCACCATCTAGCCCAGGAGGAAATTTAATTATTGCAATTTCCAGTCATCATGAAGGGAAATGCACAGGGAGGACTCACGCTGTTTAATCAAGGTCATACCGAAGTACCTAAGGTGTTTCAAGGGTTTCCTGTTCCTAATCCTAAATAACATAAACAGCAAATACTTGTAATTTCTTCAATTTGCTAATTTTGTAGCATTACATTTTTTGTTATTACTTGAATATATTTCTATTTTGTTACTTGAGTACCGCTCCAGTTTGTAAATGAAAAAGGCTTTCTCTTTGATAGCTAGCCACATGGAAAAACAAATAGAAAATATGTGTGATTTTAATAGAGTAAAAATATTCTTTCTACTTTTTTGTTATTTCCCTTATTTGTGACCTATTTGTGACCAGTGACTCAGTGACTATTCAGCTTACAGAATAGCAAATTGAAATGCTACTTGGGACTCATTAAAATACTATAGCTCTAATTTCTAAGTAGATACATGCAAGAAAACCTTTTACCTCTATCAGAGTCTGCTAATGTAAATCACAAGATCAAAACTTTAAGCAGAAACAAAGATCCTACAACTTGGGACTTAGATGTTCCTGATACAACTGCATTTCAGAATACCTACAGGTACTCTGTACATGATTGTTAGAGCAGAGCTCACTGGAACTCAGAGCTGGTTCAGAGAAGGACTGGCCTCCCTTCCAGGTCACACAGCGGTGCTAGTAAGGGAGGAAGCAGAGGATGCCTTTAACAACTACTTGAAACACAGCACTTGGTATTATTGTCAGGATAATGTTTCCTTTTCTTTCCTCTTCATTACTCTTCAGACAAGAGTCTGAGACAACGTGTAAGATGATCTCTTAGGGCTGTTGTGATTCATGAAAATTAGTTCTGGAACAAGTGCTACAATGCTTTACAGAAACCTTTGCTGAATTGCTGAGAATGGACTTTAATCCCAAAGCTGAGCATGCTGCTGTCATTAAATGCAAAGCCAAGTACACACACTGTGCCTAGATTTTGGGAGCTGAACTTTTAATTTTATTTTTCCATGGTCTATTTTGATACAGCACTCATGAAAAATATCTGAGTGTTCTATTCACCCCATTGGTAAAAAAATGTTCTCTTGAAATCTTGACTAAATAATGAAAATATTCTTTTTGTAATGATTAGTGTCTTAAATCCCTAGGAGGAGAATACTGTCTTTAACTTGTGTTTGTTTTACTGACTGGCACATTGCTGATCCTGTGGATGAGTAGAGAGTTTGCAGAGGGGTATAGTGACAAATAAAGACTGTAAACCTTGAAATAGAACTCCAGAGAGCATTTAGCTTAAAATAATACTGTGCTGCTGTGAAAAGCAGAAAACCTCTTTAAGGTAATATTACAGGCCTTCCTTTGGCAATTGGAACTATAAAATAGAAGAATCTGCTGATATTAAAGTGTAAGTGAAGCATTATATAGAGTCATAGAAATGCTGGTTTACAGAACACCACAGGTCAGTGGCCCAGCCTCACGTTTGAAGCAGAACTAGTGCAGTAATAGGTACGTCAGCTGTGGTTTTGTCTTTCCAAGTCCAGAACATCTGCAAGATCAAATATCTGTTCTCAACTTCACCACTCAATTCCTCTTTGTCTGGAAATGCATTCCTATTTCCTGTTTACATTCTGAGGATTAATTGCTTAATGTCTTCTGAGATATCACTGATGTAGGTGATAATTGGGACACAGATTTATTGCTATAAATATATATCACCATGGTTTCTTTTGATTTGAAGCTGATAAGATGGTACATCCAGCATTCAGAGATGGAAAAATTAGATCAAAACTATGTATTTTATTATATTTTTTTCTTCAAGTATTATCTTATTTCCAAGACATCTGAAGTTTAGAAAAAACCTGTTCCATGGTAATGCATGAGATGTAATAATGTGAAAGCTTCCTTGGTGATCAAGAGAACATTCTTTTCTGATTGCTCTGAAGACACCTACATGATTAATTCTCCAAGCCCTAGTCTGATGGCTGTGCCTCAGCCTTATTTCTGTCTTGTGCAAGTCACATAATTGCCTTTGTTCATGTGCTTGTGTTTTTATATCCTGGATTTGAAGATTTAAGAACTATAACAGGTGCTCTGAGTTAGTGCCTGTTACTTGGCCTCAACTGTTGATCATTTCCCTAATGAGCCATAAAACTGGAACTCTTTCTCCGCACTGTGTTTCAGGTTTTCCCTGGACATTTCTCTCTGTGGTCCAAAATGTTCCCTGTTGTTGCCAAAGAGTTTTTTGTTGACAGAGTCTCACATAACAAAACCAGTAAGATACAGTGTGAATGTCTAGCTGCTCAGTTTTCCATTGCAATGATTTGATGAGTTTCTCTGACCACTTGCTGCATTTCAGGCGGAGACAGCTGCTGGTTTGCCCTTGTCACATCAAATGCCCATCCCACAGATAACAGCTCTGTGAGATGTATGGGAGTTGTTCAAAGGCACAGGATCAAAGTGTGGCAGCTGCACTGTGTTCTGGGAGGGACAGATCTGGTTGTCCCCATCTCTTGTGACCAGGCATCTGCAGTCAGTTCCTGAATAATAGAATCCGTGTCCCTGTGCTTGTGTCTTTAATAGCGTAATGCACACCCTGTGCTAGCTCTTGGACTCCATTTAAATTCTCAGTTCCTTCCTTTGGGACAGCAGATCATTAGTTGGCACTTTCCAGGAATGTAATGGGCATTGTGGGAATGCTTGATAACCATGTGTCTGAAGCTGTTAACAAGCACAAGGGAATTTCAGCTGGTAGAGAAATGAAGTGAGAATATGAGCCCTGCTTGTCATGCCTGCCCAAGCAGCATGTGCCTTCCAGATTCTGCTCAGCTGGAGTGCCCAAGAAAACAGGATCCATGGTCTAAGTGTTTGTCATCTTAATCTGCCTCGCTGCAGAAGCATAACAACCAGCTTTGCAGGATCACCACAGCAGATGTGTTCCCTCTGTGTCTCAAGAGACACTTTTTTACCTAAGAAAAAATACTTTAGAAACTCAAATGCCTCACTGCAGTTGAGAAGATTTCAAAAAGTACATCAAAGTCACCACAGTATGGATCTGATTAGTCTGGGCAATACTTAGGCATTACTGAAGTGTAAACACTGAGCAAGAAATTCTAGAGAAACTATAAAATATGTATACTTAATCTGGGGTTTTGTGTCATATTTTTGCTTCTCAGTTCTTTCTCCATATTTGGCATATAGGAGGATGGACAATCTTTTGATGAAAACATTTATGTAGGTTGTTCTCCCTTTTTATTCCACACCTCCTGGTAGGTTCCATGGAGGAAGATGTTTCATGTTGGCTTGGTTTGCTTTGCTTTGTTTTTTTCTTCTTTTCCCTTACCATTTCACAGTAGCTCCTTCCTCAGACACTTCACACTCAAATTCCACTCTCTCTCCAACCATCACCATCTGGTCCTCCAGTGGGTGAGTGATCAGGATTGGAGGTTCTGAAAATAAAGAGAATTTTATTAAAATAGTATTCTGAAACAGTGGCGACCAGAGGTAGATTTCACCATTCTCTACTCCACAGGAAGAATCCGTGGACAAATAAATGGTGATGATCTCTCTCTTAGAACTTAACATTTACTATGCCAGACCACCTTATCTGAGTTTCCAAATGACATTTTTCATGAATTGGAATAAAAATATAGAATTAAACAGTTTTCATCTATATTGTAAATTTCTAAACAGGAGGCATTACTTTTCTGTACTATTTGGTCCACTAGTAGAACTTGGGGCAGATGTTTGTTTTCAGCAGAATCAAAATTTTTAAGTAAATTTCTAGCCCCATTGTTGAGAGGTAAATGAGAATTAATGATAACTATCACTGTTCTGCTTTCCTGGTTGCTCTTAGGCAAAATTTTCCTCAATTTAACTGTAAGAAAAATACCTACTTCAATAGATCTTGGAATTTGTTAATATGTTTGAGAGTTTCCTTTCCTGTAAGATAAATCTGTGAGTAGAGAAGATGACAGTAATTCAATGCTAAATGTATGGGGAGATCTCTTTCCTTTTGCTACCATTGCTCACCTTTTACAAATAATTCTGTGAAGCTCTTCTCATCCCCTACCACACATTCATATGCTGCATCATCAGCCAGGGAGCAGTGGTTTATGGTCAGTATTCTCTTATTCCCAACAGCCTCAAAAATATATCTGAAAAGATAATCTAAATGTAATTATCAGAGAAAAGCCCTTCTAGACCCAGACATTGTCTTCTCCTGCCCGGAAGAAAAAAAGATTCCTCCTCTTTTTCTGATATCAGTGGCAAGATTTGTAAGGACTCAAGCCCAACAGGCCTGTCCTGGTGCAGTGAACAGCAGCAGTGTTTGAAAAGCTAGCATAGGAAATTGTGGGGAATCTTCCTTCAAGTTTTAGATGTGAATGGTGTTGGATGCTTTCCTAAGATCTAGCATGACTATCATTAAAAATGGCTTCAGCACAAAATCACTGGAAATTTGTTTTACATACAAGTTACACTGAGGTATATCCCAGATATGGAGAAAGTGCATTTGTACCCAACAAGAGCAGGATATAATCTCAGGACTTACTTGCTAAGTTGGTAGATGAGGGCATCCAGTCCCACATGTAGATATATAGAGCAGAGAGAAGAAAAAAGAAAAAGTTATGACAACAGCACACTGCCCCGGAGCCATAGCACTGCATAGAGTCTTTCGCAGCCCCTATTTCTCCCTGTTTATTCCTTTCTTTCTAAGAAAAGCTAGATTTTTCACTTTGTCCAAGCTGTAGCTCATTCCATTTTGGATTTCTCATATTTCTAATTTACCTGCCACTCACTTGGATCTCCTGTCCATTCTTCAGCCATTTCACATCAGCATCTGGATTGGCAACTTCAACCATTAATTTAATCTTTTGCCCCTTGTCTACTTGGTAAGCTGGATCCAGTTTCTTGAGGAATGCTATGATAAAGAATGATTAAAAAAAAAACCTTACCATTTTTGTGCTTGTGTTTTTTTCATTCTGGGTCATGAAACAAATCTTTATTCCCTTTCATGTTGTTTACCATCATCTTAAACGTTCCCCAATTTCTGCATCCCTGTTTGAATTTTTACCCTTTCTGTCTGTTCTTCATCCTGTATTGTTTTTCCTTAATGTAGGATGACAGGCATGTGTTACAAACCAAAAGAAGCAAAGTAGAATATTCTAAATAAGATGTGAATATGTACTTCAACATATCCTAGAGTTACATCTGCTCATTTGGGAAAATTATACTTGGTCTTCTCAGTACTGATGAATGAAGGCTGTTTGCCTTCTCTGTTTCTGACTTTTTAAGAAGTCAGTTACAATTAGGCAATTAATACTTGACAGGACTAGGAAGGACTCAAGAATTTCAAAGGTATCATACCTATGAAAATGAAATTGTTCAAATATATCGCTGTTGCCTGACATGCTGACTAACTGGGGTGGAGAGCAATTAGGGGATGTTGTTTTATGTTCAGGGACATATTAGGGGCGAATCTGGTGGAACTGGTGAAGTGAGGGTGTTTAGTATGTCCAGAGTTTCAGAGCAAGGTATCTCAGGGTGCTGGACATAGCTGCAATCTTTGGTAATCAGTATTTCATATGTAAACACTGGGTAATAACTGGGACAGGAAATTACTATTTCTCATGGTCTTGTATCTCGCTGCTGTAAAGAAGATATGAACACTATATATGGAAGAAAAGCATCTCACCAACCTGTGCTTTTTTTCTCTTCCTTCTTTATGCGTTTGAGGCGTTTCAGCATCCCACGCAAATCTGTGATACCATACTGGAAAGCAATTTTCTCATATTCCGTAGGAGGAGCTTTCCTCAGGATATCCCAGACATCAACATCAGATTGTGATTCAGATTTTCCTTCACCTCTGCAGAAAAGGATTAGAGTTTCTGAGTGCTACTATTAAGAGTATTTAAAGAAAGCTGTAGGGTTGGCAGCTACATATTTTCTTGATGAAGCCATTTCTTAAAAAAATAATTAACAGTCTAACTTTTTAGTATATTATTATGTAAAATAATGAAATAAAACTGGTGCCTCATTTTAATTTTATTTTTATATATAGTGATTAAAATTGAATTCTATCCTGAAGGGTTTATTTCTAACAACCAAAATTAATACATTTTAACTTCCTTTAATGATTGGTAATGGAAACATAAGGAAACTTATTTTCTTGTCATGGTCAATGGACAAAACATGGAACGTGGCAAAGCAAGGAATTGAATGATATGCTGGTAACATCTTAGAAAAAAGGCACTTGCTTTATGTTTATAAGAGGCATATCCTTTTCTACTCAGGACAATTTTTATCTTCACTAAAAAGAATCACAGGTTATTAAGATGATTATCATCTGTTGTGAAAAAAATTGTTGTCTGTAGTAATGTATAAAGAGACTGGTAAGTAGTTACAAACAAGTGAACTGCTTATTTTATATTTTAGCCAAAGAACTAGTGATAATGAAAAAATGAATGCTTGGTTTAGTAAAACTAGGGGAAAATTTGGCTGTCTGGCTTTGGGAGAGGTGTTGTTTTTTTATCTGCCATCATATCTTTGTTTGAAGATCATAAATAGAAAAAGAGGTTGGCATGACCTTACCGGTTGGAAGGGCGCAGGAAGCTGCTGTGCTCCAGAAGGACGCCGAGAACCGGGTGGGAAAACACGCAGCATCCCAGTGGGCAAGAAAAGGGCATAATGTGTTAGTACCAAAGAGCCATGAACCTCATCTTCGCCCTTAGCAGAGCATGCCTGTGCTTCAGTAGCAGGGAGATGGAGGAATTCATGCAAATGCTCTGAAATGGGCTTGAGGAAAATGTTGATCCATACTGAAATCAAACTTGCTCCCACGCTTTGCATGTACAGGTCCACTGTGGGACCTATCTGTGAAGTGCAAGCACTTCTGTTTATTCCTACTTATGGCTGATCACCTTCCAGGGAAACAAATAACTCTACTTCCCCCTGCCATCATGGCATTTTTGCCTGTCATAGTTTGCATTTTGGTAAATAGAGAAATTATAGAAGAAGTAGCATTTAAAAAAAATGTTAAAATTAAAAAATTCTTAGAAGAAAGAATTTCCTGTGACTGTTGTTTCTGACTATCACCTGCACCAAGCAGATTCTGGTGCAGCAGAACACACCCTTATAACAAAGTCATGTGCAGTGGTAAACGCCATCAAGAAGACAAGTTAGGCAACAGATGATGCATAAGAGAGATAAGTGGAATGTTATTGGGTGTATTTCTATTTTTTGCAGGAAAATAGCAGTCCAATTAGTCTGTGAGAAATATTGCTAGTTAACAAATATTGCTGTAGTCAGTTCAGACAGCAGATATAACCAAACATTTCTGGTACTGCTTTTATTGCCAAAAAAGTGCCTGCTTGCAATAGGAACGCTGTGTTTATTAAAGTGCTGCAGTCCAACCATGGAATTTCCAGCACCTTGTAGCTCTTGAACAGAAACTCAGCAAGAGAAGGGGATTTCAGCTCAGTGAGACTGAGTTGAAATGGCAGGCAATATCTCATATCTTCAAAGTGGTTTAGCGCTTGCTAAGCCCGAAGCCCTCACCAGCACTCACTGAATTGATAGGAGGAGCTGAAGTTTGGAGTGCCTGTGATAAGAGCAGCACACTGGGTATTTGCTTTGCTATTACACTGCATCAACATCACAAAAAAATTTTACCAAATTTTACTCTTCTATATACCTAGTGTTTAGTTTGAAGTTGCTACAAATAGTTTTTAGTTTTGCTTAGCAGAAGACAGGAAAACTGAACTGATTTGCCACATAGATCAAAATTTTTTACATAAGCAGTTCTTGGGCTTGATGCCCTGATCATGTCAAGAAGTGGCTTTCAAGTATTTGTAAATACATGTCAATTAATTAGTAAATTAGTACTTATAGATATATAAGTACTAAATACTAAGTACTATATAAAACTAAGGGCATATAATATTTCTAATAAGTATTTAATATTTGTACCAGTACAGTTAAACTTTGTGGAGAAACTGTATCTTAAAAAATAAAAAATCATAGGAATTAAGAAAGACTTAAGAGATCACATATTTTAATCTTCCTAAAGATATTATATAAACATTGGTAGTTTCTCTGTCTCCCTACTTATAGGCTTGTCTGTATATACACACTCTATATCTGAAAATTTGCTGGTAGGACTATTCATGGAGCTTTCAAAAATGTTTTGTGTGAGTTATTTTTAAATACATAATGAGAAAAATCTTCCAATTTCAAAGGAGTTCCAAAGGAGTCTAATATCTCACTATTGAGAAGATTTCCCTAGTTTTTGCTTTAGCTTTTCCATCACTGAGTGTCATCCCATTGTTTTATCTTGCAATACTGTTCTGGCGTATGCAATATAAGAAGTTGAACATAAGAAATAATATAGTCTCTCCCTAGGAAATACTTTTTTTTTAAATTAAAATAAAAGGCTTTTGTGTTTCATGCAAAATGGGACTAAAAGCTAGAGTGTGTAATTCCTGTTTAAATGAGTTCTGAAAATGAAAAGAAAAAAATGTTTGCCTTTGAGCAAAGTTTTCCCCATCCCAGCACTCCTTTTCACTATTTTGCATTTGTTAAAATATTCTCTTTGATCCCAGAAAGACACAGAGTTTGCCCAGAGAATCTGTACTCCTCCACTACCAGCAGGAACTAAGCAGTGTATGGAAAGTAAGAGAGCACTTGGACTCATGAGGTTTCTCCCCCTCCTCTGCTCTCCTCCCTGGTGCTGGGGATCCTTATTCACAGGGATCACCTCATAGGTTAGCTATGCACTTGGGGGCATCAAGATGCAGCTCAGTGAACCTGCTGTAAATGGAATATGCAGCTGATATGTTTTAAACATATGTGGAGGGGTTAAAAATAGTTTTGTACATCCCAGAAATGGTTCCTTCCTATCCAGTTACTGCCAACTGATTGGACCCTGTCAGCTGTCACCTCCTTCAAGGTCTCTGCTCACTATCCCATTTAATAGTCCTGTGACAGCTGTTCCCTTCCTCTTCCCAATGACCTCTCCTTGGCCCATGACATCTGTATGTCAACACCAGTTAATTAAATTACAGTGATAGGAGATACAGTGTTAAATGAAGCTCTTCATTATAGCGAAGCTATTTATTATAGAATGATCATTACCTGTGGATTGAGGGACACTTGTAAAATGGTGTAGGAAAGCAGAAATGGTAAAAGAATAATTCTCGATTCTGTTTGAATTTGCAAAGCTCCTGAGAGTTCCCCAGCATGAGGTCCCTTTTCCTGTTCTATTTCAATGAGGAATTATTTCATTCCATTATGAGATTTTATGCCTATCTGTTCTCATTAATATAAATGGTCTTCAGGCTGAGGTGTGCAAAGACTGAAGAGTCCACAAATTACTTCTGAAGTGGCTGTGAAAAACAACTAGGAGCAGTGAATTGATGTTCTTAAATTCACTAGGCAGAGATTTTTTTAAGTCAAGAAATGGCAGAAACACTGCTAAAACGCAGAGAAATTTATAAGCTTCTTTTAATAAATTACATTTCTAGCCTTACAAATAATGAAGAGTTAAATCAATAAATTTAACATTTCTGTAAATACTGAGGATTGTTACTGCTGTTTTGAGTTTGACTGTTGCTCTAAACTAATTATGAGAGCAAAAGGGAAAGGCATGAGGAGGGGGGCTTTTACTACCCAGCACGTCATTCCAGCAGGAGATCCTGTATGAAATTATGCAAATATTTTCATGCTGGTTTTCATTTATTTAAAATTTTATAAAGAAGATAAGCAATTGCTTTATGCCTTACATCTTCTATGGAAACCAGAGTGTGTTTACAACAATTTGTGTTCATGCTGGAACAAGAAACTTAGTTATCAACGTCAGCTATAGCAAGTTTGATAGGTGTCTTTTCTGTCTGATCTGTCTGTCCCCCTGAAGTGTTCTGCTGTTGGTGTTACTGCAAAGCCAGGATTCATCTATAGACAATGCCCTGCATGGGGTGTAACGCAGGGGTTTGTGGAGCCTGGGGCCTTGTTGGCCCCACTGAAGTTTGGGTGAGTTAACCTGTGCCTATTGTGGCTTCATTGCCTTCTGTAGGAAGTTACTTCATGTGTCAGCACAATCCTGTACCCTTTGTGAGTCTAAAACACTTTTTATAAATAGTGAAACCACTGCCTGAGCAGAGACTGAACACAGATTCACAACAACACTCATCCAAGTAGCTGATTGTGAAAACTTAGAGTAAGAAAGTTTAGACTTGCAAAACATGAATCTAAGTGGCAGTTTTTATAGTAGTTTCAGGGGCTGGAAAGACAGAGTAAGTGGTCAGTGAACAGAAAGAGGCAAGCAAAACTTCACCACCTATTTGATAGGCAACAATATTATGTGAATGATTTTTCTGATTCTAAATACTGTGAAAACAGGAATACAAAGCAGCAGGTTATTGAGAAAATCTGGAAATTCAAGGAAATTTTAGAACTGGTTGCATGAAAGAAAGTGATGGTAAAAGCCAAATGACATTCAGAGAAATACATTGATTGTATGAAATTGTCTTAATTCTAACCTTAAAACTGTTTAAAATAATTTATGTCTCAGAAATTAGCAGTCAATAATTTTCTTTCATGCTATGCAATTTTTGTCAAGTTCTACACATAAAGAAGACAAAGATGCATGCATTATTTCAAACCAAATGGTTCTTATATTCAGTCTGACCCATGCATTTATAATACAATTAAATAGAAATCTTACTCTCTGTTGGCAACAGTGGAATCCAAAACATTCAGATTAAGAGTTTGGTAAAAAGAGAAGAGCATAAGTAAACAGGTTATGAAAACAGAGACATCAAGGAAAGATGGGAATTAGAGAAGAAATTACAGCAAAAAAAAAGTGAAAGTAAAACTAACAGAAAGAAATACAAATTACAACTGGAAGAGTAAAACATATTTGTCATATTTATGCAACAAAGAATATCTATATAATAGATAATAATAGTTGAGCAGTGTAATAGTTACATTTAGCTATCTAATAAAAAATCTTGGTTCTTAATAAGGCAGCATTATAAATTGGTATTTTTAATCCCCCCATTCCCCCATGAAAAGAGCTGCTGGAAACATGTAATTACCTGATTCCAGGCCTTTTCTATCTTGGGAAAGATTTTTTTCCTCTTTTTGGGTTTTTTTTTTTTTTTTTCTCTCCTGTATAAACCTAGCAGAAATGCAGCAAATGCTATGTGTTTCAGGAAGTAGCCATAATTGCCTGTCATGCTTTTTCCATTTAGAGCTGCTTTAGGAAAATGACAAAGATTCTGAGTTTGTGAAACTTTCACTTATTCCAGTTCTGGTGTTTCAGAGTTTTCTACAGAAGCCTTATTTCTCTAAGTCTATGGATTTTTTTACTCACCTTTTTTTCAGTAGGGAGCTGAAATTAAACTCTGCCCCATCATCATGTCCTTCAGTACTGTACAGTAATAGAAAGCCATAATTAGTTTCAGAAGGAAATGAGAATAGCTTGTGAGACTATAACATAATATAGATGGCATATTTTTGTAGAGGAGTAGTAGATGGGTTTATAATTAATTAGAATGTGCATTGACATGGAAAGTGACTTAAGTAGGCTCTGTGTTCATATTAATTTGCATTTAGGTTTAAAAATAATTGTAATGAAATTGTATTTTTTCTGCGCCGATTGTGCATGAAGTTGTACAGGGTATTAATTTGGTCATCATATTGATTTGGAATATATTCATTATCACAGAGGTGTTGCAGAAGCTTCCCTCTTTCCTCTGTCTTTCAGGAGTGTGGATGTTGTTTACAGTTGGGGCAGTATTTAATCAAGCTTTGTGTGGAATGCCTCACGACCTAAAATCGCTGGTTTTATCCTTAGCGTTATCCCAGCTGTAATTTTTTCTTGAGGCTGTTTGTGTTACCAGAATTCATTACACTGAACAAAGTGTCACATCATTGGTGCCTGGGAGAGTTGAAGGAGGAATTCTGTGCTCTGCCTTTCAGTTCAATATGCCTTTGCTCAACAAGTATCATGACAAGCAATGTTGTAGGGAGTTGCTCTGTGAAAACAAGGAGCACCAGGCAAGAGGCTTTTGATGTGTAGCTCTGCCCATTGCACACAGCGAACTCAGATAGAATGCACAATGTTATTTTTGGTGTTCTGAATCCAGTGGGCTTTAGCTGTGCTTCTGAACATTTGTAATGCTGACCTACTCTGGAAACAGCATAAAGTCACTACAATCACTTCTTTAGATTTAATTCCTAAAAAAGGTCTTTGCATTCAGACAGGATTTAGAAAGCCCGAATGTATTTTCTTCATCTCAGCCAGTCTACTATCATCAATGACCAGCTGCTCTTTGACATCTCTGTTGTCTTGAGTGACAGAATCTGGTGACTCCACCTCACAGCATTAATATTCTTCCAAAAGCAGCACCTTGCATTTAATTATGGTTTCATAAGAAGAATTTTTTCTTTCCAGTTGTACTGGCGGTAGTTGTAGACCATAATGCTGCCTCTGTCTACACACAGTCCTAGTTGCTTCGGAAAAAACCAGTCCATCTATAGAATGTAAATCGAAGTGTTGGGAAAACTCAGCATTGCATGAACAAGAAGTTTTAGAAATAAGAAAACAGCCTCAACAGAAAAATGATGGGCATTTTAACAGTACTATTAAAAAAAATGAAATAGATACAAGTACAAAGTTCTTGTGCTGCTGGACAATATAAGGTTAAAGAACAATTGAGAGTCGGTGTAATTTGAAATATGCTATGAGAAGAGATCTTTTCTTTAAGAAAGTACTGGCTTTACATCTTGGGTTACTTTCAGAATAGTACAATACTGGAAAGGATAATTTCCTGGGTATAAGGCTCAAACAGAGAAGTGTGGTTTTGGCCCTACTTTCACAAGAATTTATGTGTTTGCAGGCATAAAATGTACATAAAAATAACTATGGTAATCCCAAATTTGGAAAGGATTTCCTGTGATCAAATATTCAGTAAAACAGGTCTACAGCTAGCAGAATAACTATTCACCTTATTGTTTCACAAATGGTAGTTAAAGTTTCAGGAAAGACCAGCAATCAAGGTTTAGCTTTTTTGAAGAAAAGACCCTAATAATTGCTTTAACATGCATATAATTCAATCTAATCTCAGAACTCCAGTTCTTGCTATAGTAGAAAACATTAGGAGTTAAGGCACGGAGTGAAAAATTTAATGATGATATGATAAGGAGTGTGCCAGGAAACAACAGATTTTCAGTTGTGTTGATACATTTCTGTGAGCAACAGCAATTTTAGTAAAAATGTGCTCAGTAGAGAGGAAAACATGTAAAACAGAGAGGGCAGACATGCATATAATTTAAAGTTACTTTTTTTCTTCTGACAAGGGTGAGAAGATGTCACTTGCCAAACACATGCATGTTTTCTCTAGATGAATCTGCCTCTCACTGAACTACCAAGCTACTCTTTTCTTTATCTGTTTTTATCTATCCTTTTATGTTCTTATGTTTTATCTTTTTAATTTTTCTTTTTTTGTCTTACATTACTTCATATTTATATGTATTAATCTCATATAAATACTACACATTATAAACAGCGATTTCTTTGAAATTTAAGCTGCATCTTCATTCTTTGGGCTTGTTTTTATTTTTTCCTAAGCAGAGAGAGACAGTTCATTGTAAGACTTAAGTTTGTCTGCTGACACAGTCAGTGACTACCTGAGAAAGGCTGAAGTCATCCGTCTCCCCCCTCCTGCTAGGCTCCTGAGCAAGGGTATCAAAGACAAAGCTTCAGATTTAAACAGTTCAGTTCAAAATCTGGCTTCATTCTTAGAGGAGAAAGTGACAATCTGAACTGCCTGAAGCTGCTCACACTGCACTCCCTTCAAACTGATTTGGAATTCTTTTAATTGTGCTAACAAGAAGAGAAACTCTCCTTTCACTGCAGTGAAATAACGCAATGCCCTTAGTACTGAGTGGCCACCGTTTTACGGTGAGGCTGGTGAGCTACCTATAGATGCACTCAACTGCAGACAAATTCTGCTAGCCTTGTTTAATTCTTTGTGAAAGATTTTCCAAGATTTTCTAAGTCTTAGAAAAATTCTCATATAAAAATAGGACTTATAGAGAAATACTCAAAGAGTTGCCATAGATGATTTGTGTGCTATAGAGAAATAGATGTCAAAATATTCTTGGTTTAGTAACTTTTCAAAAACACATATAAAAACTAAAATAGAAACTTATTTATTATTGCATGAAGGAAAAAGGGAGCACGTATTAATGTCTAACACTAGAAAAAATCCAACCAATTTTGTGAATCTTATTAATAGAAGGGAACGTTATTCCATTAAGAGAGACATCAGAAAGTATTAAAGATGGGGGAGATTGGCCTTTTCAACACCAGTCTTTAATATCTAAGACTACATATACCTGAGTTTTCACCACTCACAATGTCATTTCCTTCACTCAGCTAATATAGCTATAGAACATGAAAACAGATACAATCAAAATGCTTGCAGGAATGTTATTGGTCATATGCTGCTTACAGAGTTCACACCAAACTCCACTCTCCTTGTCTGGCAAATGCAAATGTTTGTACTAAGATACATGTAAGCCAGACAAAATCAAGACCAACATCACACAGTATCTTTTCCATCTCTATTGGTCTATATCTGGAATGCTCTTTACAGGCCTGGAAAAAAGGTGCTGAAGTTATTACAATTATACACATTATAGATTGCCTAATTGAAGACAAGCATGATTATTACAGTAGTACAAAGTCCAGACTCTTTTAGGTGATTTCCAGGAGTTGTATAGTATTTTAATAGTAGAAATATTTTCTTAGTAGACATCTCTGTGTTTGTTTGTCCAACAGCTTTTCTTTTAGCTAGTTTTTTGTGGGAAAGTGATGAATTGCACAAGGATGTGTAGCCTGATCTAGACAGGTTTCTGCTGTGCGTACTCACGTGCGGCGGAAGGCAGCTCGGATGTCCAAGTCTCCGCTTACAGGTGCTTCTGATGTGACAAAAAGTAATGAGGAAAAATGGGAAATCAAGTCAACAAAATGTAAAAATACGCTGCTATTTTTAAAGTTTTCCTTTGCTGACATTTTTAGAAAGAAATTCTTATATTGTAAATTGTGATTAATTGCATATTGAAAGATTAACGCATCATCTTTAAGCATGTAACCTTCACTAATCAACATCCAGTGGTTTTAACTTATTTCTGTTTCATGTTTCATAACAACGTGGAGCCTGATGGACTATCTTATCTCTTGCTTGTCAGTTCTCCAGCTGCAAAATTTTAATTTCAATAGTGTCTTCACAGAGTATTTAAACCCTAATGAGAATATGACTGGACATCAACTGAATACTATTATTATTAATAAATTATAATCTATCTTCTGACAGCAGAGATAATTTCTGGAACTATGTGGAGAGGTACAGAAACCTAATTGAGGATGTTCTATAGAGAGAATTCTATTACATTATTGGTATAAATTGGTGTGCTGCTACTGCTGGGAGCAAAACTGTTCTCAGTTGCTGCTCCTAAGTCTTATGAGTCCTATCTAGTGAAACTACAAAAATGGACACTGCTGATCAAATAACTTAATAAACCTTTGTCGTTAGGTTCAGTGGTAGCTGGACAGAAGTTAATGTTGCAGCCCCTTCAACAGAATTGCTGAAACCAGAAATGGTCCAAACACTCAGTTCTTTCAGTCAGTCCGTGCTTATACTCTTTTACTTAAACTTTTCCAGTCAAGGCCAAATTGATGTTTGAAATGTACTTCCTTTTTAATTTTTATAAACTTTTCAGCATAGCACTTGTGAGGGTGGCACCATGCATTAAGTAAAATGAGTCATCTGCTCTTAAAGCAATTTTATCTCTCAAGGTGTTTCTGTACGAGTTGAATTTATTTATATAGGAAGGAAAAAGGAATTGACAATAGTGTCACATATCTAAATCTGTCTTTTCCAAATATCCATTTTTAGTACTGAACTTTTGCCAAAATAAGAATGAACTTATCTTCTATTCTAGTGGAATTGAACTTAATGAAAGAATGAATCTGAAATCAGAATAAAGCCAGAGAAAATGTGGGCAGTTTTGCATCTTTGCGTGTGCTTTCTTTAACAGCACTGCAGTGCTCTGACCAGAGTGACAACCAAGTGGTATTTCTAATAATCTCAATCCCATTCTCCTCTCTAGATCTTCAAGTCTATACTTCAGATTTGTGCTTGTCTAGTAACCATTATGTACCAGAAAGAATTGTTGGTGGACAGGGAAAAAAGTACAGGGGCAGGAAGAAAAAAGAGAGAGGGAAGGAATTCACCTTACCATTGACTGTCAGGCTGAAATTAGAGCTATCAAACTTGTCCTTGGTAGACACCTCACATCTGTACCCTCCTGCAAAAGTCATGTTTGCTTCTATGATTTCCATTTCAAAGGTGTACACCTAGAAGAGACACCAGTGATACAATAATTAAGTTAGGAAATGAAATGGTGAAACCTGAGAGAGGGAATACATGGAGAGAAATAGACAAAGGCTGAACTATGTCTTTGTTCATCCTTTGAACTAAGAACCTCACGAGTGTCCAACTCATTACTGTGACAAAAAATTATCTATAATCCCCAATTCAGTAGAAACAGCTGAAGAGTGCTGTCAGTACAGGTATTCTTGAGGATAAAACGGTGTATTATCAAACTGTGCTGCAGCATACACTAATTCCACGTGCACTGGAAACAGGAATAATGCTTTCACTAAGCAGTTTTAGCCTCTTCCCAGAACGTGTGCAGAAGAGGCCAAAATTCAGGGAAAGGAGTGGCTCATGTGAGCCAGACTGTCCCGTTCCCTCCAGGAGAGGGTGGTAGTGGTTCATGTACCACAGTGGAAGCAAAGTCGTGGTACAGACTCGTGTTCCTGCTCAGGTACCTTTGGACAAATTTCTGGTGAAAAATGGGTCTTATTCAGCTACTTAAAGCAGTCTAGACAATGCAAGAGAGCAATGAATTCCAGCACTAATAGTAGAATGATTGACCTATTAAGACCAAGATAGACTGTGCTTAAATAGCTGATTGTTTTCTCTTAAATATACCAAGTTTCTTGAAGGAAGATGAAGGGAATCCTGCAGTAGAAAGTGCAAAACTACTCCCCCAGTCCTCTAGATGTTTTCTCATTTCACCACAGATAAGGTTTGCAAGAGTATGTAGAGTTTGTCTCTTGTCTGTGTGGTTAAAACACAGACTTCTGTGAATAAGTATGGACTCGTGTGTTACTTTGGGTACCTTAACATCAAACTATTTTAGTTTCTATTTTCCTTAGATTAAAGATTAGTACCTAGAAGACCGAGAACCCTGTTCTGCCAATTGTACCTTGGTATTTCGATCATAACTGTCATGTAGCTGGAGATGTTTCCCCACTTTGCTTCCCAGGTCCATCCACTTTCCTTTGAACCATTTCACTGATGGCTTCTTCAGCAGGCTCTCACCGGCTACTTTGGCAGTGAATGTGATGTTTCCACCTTGTAGGAGAAGTAGATTAAAGTGAGATTATGAATTATGTTTATCAGTTGTATCACTGCTGTCACTCTGTACTTAGAGAGCTAGGGATAGTCAAGCAACAGGTACAGTTTACAAACTTCACTTGACCAACATGCACTCACCAACAGTAACTTCTCCATCCTGTGGTCGTGCCACAAAGAGCCCAATGGGGTCCAGAGGTTCTTCTGGGTGTGTCTCAGCTGATGAAACTGAAATAAACATCATAATTACTATTTAGACTTTTTTGCATCAAACTATATAGTGAACTACTCAATTAATTTAAAAATTTCTCAGTGGATTTCTTCTGCCTCTGAGATTCTTTATTCTTTATGATCTGCTTTCACCTACTGTCTCTGTCTCACATTAAGGAGTTCCTCTGGATGTTCTTCCCTTCTGCTAATAAACCAGACTTGATGTCAATGTTAATTGTCTGTTACCTTCTGTGTTTTGGCTGCTTTCTGCTGGTGGAGCAGGTGACTCTGGGGCAGCTGGGGCTGGAGCAGCTTCTGCAGGAGTGACTGTCTCACTCTTTTCTGGAAATAAATGTAAGCCAAGATTAGAGAAAGTCTATTTCCTCTTTCTTTTTGAAGAAATTTTGCAAAAGAACAGCCTTATATATTTTAGGAAATGCAGAGAAATTAGCCGTTGTTTCCTAGAGTCTAGAGGATGTGCTGGAAGCAGAAGGGGCTCCCTGGAGCTGGATGATGAAGGTTTTTCTTTTGATGAGCTCAGAAAGAACTGATGCCTGGTTTTGAAAATTCTATAGTCTTGATGTGTAGAAACTTGTCAGGTGATGAATAATGTTATTATTTGTTGCAAATGCCAGCAAACTAAAGTAACTATTGTCAGTTTCTAAACAGAAAAGGTAATGAAAAATTATGTAATTGTTATATTTGTAAACAGTTTGCTTATTAATGAGATTTTGTTTAATGATGCGGTTGGAATGTAACATTACAAAGCCTATTGTTGTGGGCAGCTTGGAAAAAGCTCTAAACACTGCTAGTAAGCAATATGGAGAAAGCATTTTATAAATCCATCTGTAATGTCTTCCCCTGGCTTATGGAAGTTTGTATCCTCTCAATTAAACCATGACCTCAGAGACAAATTTAGGCAAATGCATTTGGCACAATGGAGAAGACAGAATTGTCTGAAAATGGAGTAGGAGTGAGCAACTGGAGCAGATGGAGGGAGGTAGAATTTCTTGAAATAGATCAGTTGCAGAAAGATATTTTTTTCTCTGTAGGTAGTGGAGCTGCTTCCAAATAATAATGGACAATCCAGTTACTCTGTGACATTACACACTCCACTGTGCTCCATAGCATTATTTGCAAGTTTTCTGCCTATAGCAGCCTCTGCATGGAACTAACCTGAAAGACAATGAGGAAAATATGATGAGTACTATATGGCCTAGTTTCCTTTCAGGATGAGATAGCAGGACCATATTTCTGCATGCTCTGACAGCTGTCAAGTTGCCCTAATCCATACCAGGATTTTCCCTCACACATAATCTGTCATGTCTTTGCATATGGAACAGGACATCTTGAAGCATGTTAAATATTCCTCTATTTATTTTCAGCTGACCATAAGGTCTCACAAGGTCCCATCATGTTGCTAAAACAAACAGTGATAGCAAAGAAAAGGAAGTGATATAAACAATCTGAGTTTGAGGCTTTTCACCAAGTTGAAAATCAAAAAGTCAAATACCAGAAGTGGTAAATGGATGCAATTTTGGAGGGGAAAAAGGAATCTGGAAGGTCAAAATGTTTCCAAAAATGAGTGATTTCATCTATCCTAAGTGTCTTCAGATATTTTTTCATGAGAAAATTCCAGGGAGTTTGACTCTTTAAATTTATTCCCAGGAAAAGCCTGGGAAAGTTTTTGAAAATTCCATGTAACTGGTCTTTTAATGCGTACAAAGGTAGTAATAATGGGAGGTACATAATAATACAAAGGCTACTCTTCATATTCAAGCCCCTCTTGAAATACACATTTTTGGTAGCAGGAGATTTTTGAGACAATTTTGGGGAATGTATGAGCTTCTAGAAACATTACAGTATAACTTGTGTTTTGTCAATTGTTACAATTTTATATTTAAATTAAATAATTATAAGAAAATTTCGGTCCTAAGATCAAGCATTTCAGTTTCGTTCAGGGTGAGGGTTAGATTAGCTTTGCTTTGCTTTTCAGTAGTTAAGTGTAAAAGCCTGGCAGAATTCTGAAGATGTACATTGACATTTCCCCTATGATCTCTTCTCTGTGGACTTCTGACACCTCGAAAGAGGTGTCTTAGCCACTGGAAATGTATTCCTCAGCTTAATATGAATTAGCAGCTTCAAATAATTGGGCAAAACAGATGTATTGCTGGTAGAGACATTTTATAGTGTTTATATAGGCTAATTTCCATGGGCTTTATTTGTGAATGTTGCATGTGGGACTAGAAATACTGATTAAACCAGAATTGCATAGGAAATGATGTACCTGGTTCCTTGACCTTGAGTTCAAATTTGACCTTGGAACTTCCAGCTATTACAGCATATGTCACATCATCTTCTTTTCCTACGTTATTGATTGTCAGCGAATGCTTGTTGCCTTCTGTCTTGATGACATATTTTTCACTTTCAGTAATTTCTGTGCCAGCTCGCTGCCATTTCACCTTGATGCCAGATTTTTCTGTCTCTGCTTCAAACACAGCTGTGTTTCCGGCTGTCACCTCTGTTGTCTTTGGCTTCTTGGTAAATGCAGAAACTAAAAAAAGAGAGAGGGCTCACTGAAATCTGTTTTGCAGTTGTGGCATATCTGGTATAGTCAGCTGTTGTGGCTGCAGCAGCTGCCTCCTTTCTCTCCCATCTGCCCATGCAAGTTATAAATTACAACACTTTCCCCAGAGAAGTTGTGGAATTGTCTTTGAGTTTATCAGGTTCTGTGTCTCACTGGGATGTCTTATCTCCTCTACATTGTCATGAAATAAAGTGAAATGGAGAGCAAAATCACCTCACTTTCTGTCTTCCTCTTTCTTTTTCCCCATATTGAGCTCTGGTTTTTCATAAGCGAATGTTTTGGTAGACAACAAGATGGCATAGAATATATTCTTACATATCTACCTGTCTGCGTGAATTTGCCATGCACTTTCATCTAGAATTATTAATTTTGTTCTGCTGCTTAATACAGTTATTACAGAGGATCAGGATCGGTTTTTCAAAAACACTGCACTTTGTGCAGTAACCTGTGCCCTAATAGACCACAAGGAATTAATGGTTCATCTTTAGTCCTTCTGTTTTGACTGATGAAGGCTTTAGTGGAAAGGAATTCACATTCCTATGATGACCCTTTCATTCCAGCTATAAGGGTATAAATTGTTGTTTGTATTCAGAAGTTTACTTCAGCATTAAAAGTTGAAGTACTTTCCTACATGACACTCTACAACAATTACTTTCAAGGTGTAGATTAAAATATTTCCGCAATGTGTCGAGAAACGCTTGGGAAGCTTATAAGGAGAATTAATGACATTATTAATATATATATAATATATATATATTATATATAGGGTTATATAATTATATATATAATATTAATATATTATATATATTAATATATAGGGTGAACAAGTGTAAACCAAACGATGTTTTACTTCACGTGCAATCAAAGTAGCACAGCAGACAGGGAACTGTAAACAAATAATGTATCATGATTTTCATCCATGGGTATCCTAATCTCTCTCAAGACTTGGTTTTAGTAAAGTAACTTGTTTTACTAATTTCTTTAACCTGATTTATTTATTTATTTATTTATATTTCTTCATCTTTATTTGGAATTGAGTTTTTCATTTTATGTTCGTGTTTTTTGTCTTAATGAAATCTGTTATCATTTGCTAATTGCCATGAGCTATGTTGATGTGTAAAAATACCAGCAATTAACATTCTGATTCATACACTGCATGTTTTTTTGCGCATCATTCTGTCATCTTTCTATTGACTCACCCTTGTATAACTACATTTTATAAAATACTAGTCATTTCATCACATCTAATTTTATCAGTCACCTCTGTGGCAAATTGTCTATGGCTCTACTCCTCTGGCAGCCACAGGAACTCCTCCATACAACACAACAACGGTTATAATTAGCTTTGAACTTTTAGTTCTGCTTTATAAAAATGAAAGAAACATGGCATGAAAATGTTTTAAAAGAAAAAGCTTATATTCATGTTCAAACAGGTGCTTAAGTTCATGTAAATGGTATATTGTTAAAAATACCACCTATTATTTTTATAAAATCTCTACTCCTGTAGCATGTCTTCAGACTGCATAATTTAGTTGACCTTAGTGGAGTTAGCTCTGCAAAGATTTCATCTGATGGCCTTTGGTCTTTAGCCATAACACAATTCATGCTTCTTGCATTGTTTTGCAAAGGATTTGAACCTTCTTAGGCATCAGTTAAAATATGAACTACACTTTTAGAATTTAGTAAAGATTGAATTTTGCTTTTCTTCATTATATAAAAACCAAAATTACATATTATCAATTTCTTTTTCTTACCCCCCCCATTTTATATTTCTGATGAAAACATAATTTTAGTTTTCAATGACCCTAGAAAAGCCTTGAAAAACCTCCTGTTTTATTCTTCTGCATGGTTTCCTTCCCTGTTAAAAGTGTGGAAAATTTCTCCTGGCAGTGGTATGTTCCTGCATGTTTATAATTGAGGTTTTTTTTCTAATCTGGTGCAATAGTTCCTTAAAAATTTAGTGCTTTGTAGAATACAGGACTTTGTACTGTAGTGTCCTACAGCGTGCTGCCTGTTACCAGCTGCACACCTTTAGATACCGTCCTGCACTTCTGTAAATGCCACAGCAGGGTGTGCATTGGTGCAGTGTATCCTGAATAACTGCAGGAGAGTGCCTGTACACAGCAGGCAGGACATGCAGGATTCCAAAGGCCTGTGAAGGTGCCAGGCCGCTGCACAGTGGGGAGACAGGTCAGTTTGGGAGCCACTCTCTACTGGCTGGCTGGCTTCTATGATTCTACAGACAAAGCAGCAAAGAGGCATGTTTTCAGTCTTTGAGTGCTATTATCATCACTCTTCTATTTAAGCACAAAAGAACCTATAAATATATTAATTACCTAACAGCAAAGTGATTTGTAAAGGTTCCAGCCTACAGTGTCAGGGTTTCATGACACGCATACTTGCAAGTAACTCTGTGATCTGCTGCACACCCTGTGAAGTGATTAGGTTTCTTACATTTGTTTTGTAGATGACTCAACAAGAACAAAATTGTTGGTGAGAACACAGTGAGAAATCTCTACCACTACACAACATTTCTGGCTTTAGGAAATCTAAACATGTGCAGAAGTTTATATGTAAGACTCCTTTTATTCCCTCCCATCTTTCCTGCCAAAAGACACTTTAGTTCCAACTTAAATGATCGTGAATTTTTCTGGTAAGTACAGAATTGGAAAAGCCCAAAATCTCCCATGAAAACAGAGGCCCTCAAGAGCAGCTGCTGTGCACCCACTTTTTCACTGGCAAAGGAGGCTCAGGTTTTAAATGAGTATTTTTCCTGTGGTTGCGATGCAGTCAGGGGCAGTGTCTGGAGTGCCTTCTCTCTACCCAGCTTTTCTTTCATCTTTCACTGCTCTTTTTGCAAAGGAAAACTAAAGCTGTAGGCCTGAAGATTTTACAGGAAATTACTTTGCTGCAGAAGAGAGATTGCTGAAGAAGCATCTGAAGAGAATACTGTATTTTTTCCTTTTGGGCAAGAAAAGGGGCTGCTTCAGAGGTTAAAGGGTTCAGTTATTCCCCACCTCTTCATTGTGGCTGCCACTTTAAGTAACATGTAAATAAATCCAAGTTGACCAGAGGCTTTTTCTCATGCAGTTACACCAATGTAATTCAGGTATTTCCCCATTAGGAATACTCCTAAACAACACCATCCAAAACTTCTGGTCTGTCCTGAGAACCACACTTCTGCCTGCTTTTATCAGAAACACATTCCCCATCTGACAATCTGTCTCACCGCAATGTTTGGCTTCTACCCAGATACATCCCTCTGAGTTCTATATATCCATCCCATACTCTAAACACTCTTGAATGTGACCACCACCATGAGGCAGTGGAAAACCCAATGACTATGACATGTCCTGTGTGATGTTGTGGGGTGTGTCTGTCAGCCACTGACAGATCTCAGCCGCTGTCCTGTGTTTATCCAGACTGCAGGTGCCCATGAGTTGGGAGCCATAGGGCTGGGGCACCTGATGTCCTCTGCTGCTCACTGTGTTACCTCTCTGATTCCTGGTATTGTGTAATCCAGCCATACAGGGGACAGAAAAGTGACAGTAGCACTAGCACACCATGGCACTTCTGGAGAGAGCAGAGGGCCATGTGAGTTACCAGGGCTGATGACGAGAGAAAGTGTTGAAGGTGCTCTGTGTGTTTATTGGGGATGGGGTTGGTGTTGCTGTGGGGATTTAATGAAGGGAGAGAAGAGGAACATGAAGCTAATAAAAGAAAATGAGCCTAGGGCCACTTTGCACTAACCCATTTTTCAACACTTCACCTCTCATAACCCAGGCCTTCCTAATCACTTCTAGCTTCCATAATGCAAACACACTCACATAATTTCTGAGTAACATAAACCAGCAGATTTTACCCCAGGCAGAAGAGGAAGCAGCTGTATGTGGTCTGCAGTTATCTTGCAGAAACTTTTTGGTGGTTAAGGCTGCAGCTACCAGAATTTGTATCCTCTAAAACTCTTGAAACACCTGGAGAGGTAACATCAGCCATACACTGTATTTGTTACACAAGTTTCAGCTTAACTGGTCAGTAATAAAAACCTTTGTTTGGAGATCTATGACCAGATTGAATTTTTAAAATTTACTGGTAGGTCTTTCAGTCAGGAGGATAAAGAAAAAAAAATACATTTGCTTTGCACCAAGTTAAACTAGAATAAAATAATTTGAGTTCCAAAACTAATTTTCCATAATAGTCACCTAAATAAAATAACAAAATTAGTCTGCCTTCATTCTGCTGCCTTTTATTAAATCTTGACACTAGCACCTTCATGCTTTCTCCTTTACTTTCTGACCTGCTTTGGAGCAATGTCTTTCTGACATCCATCATCAAACAAGTTTACTATTATGATTCAAGTCTTTTTCATACTCTCCTATGCAAACCCCAATAAATGGATAAGCTACTACCAGGGTCTCTATCTATTACACTAAAAATTATTTCCTTTGCTCTCTTGTTGAGCTATCAATCTGTTTACTGGACTTTTATTTTATGAGTGTTTTCAGGCAGAGACTGTTTTTCTGTTGTCTTTGTACAGCATTAAATTGTTAGTAGGTAGCTGCCAAGTATTGTTGTATCTCTAATAAGAATAAAAATTATTATTAGAAGCTAGAAGAGCAATTCTTAATTCATTATTGTCAGAAAAAATGGAGGTAAGGTGTACAGTAAAATAATGTTCAAATTACCAAAAGAATTTCATTTGCCAGCAACATTCTCTAAATAATCTGGCTTAGAGTCACAAGCATCAGCTGAAAGCCTATTCCTGAAATACTAGAACTTCAAAGTATGTGGGAACTATGTGAAAGTGAGCAAGAAATGTGTTTTCTACACAGAGTGGTAGAGGAGAATATGTGTTAGATGACATTTTCAGATGATATTTCTTCCTTTCTGAAATAAAACCTGTTAAACATATAAATTCTTGAGGAGAATCTAATGTATCTGGTTGAATGCAGCTGCTAGAAACTACCACAGAAAGTTGTGATGAGTGAAATTAGAGAAAATAATCACAGGTTTCTCCCACAAAGCTGAGTTATCTTATTGCACGTTCTCTGTACTTCAGAGGATGTTAAAATATGTATTGGTCAATATATTTAAATAATATTACAAAAGCAGTATTAGCTTTTGGAATTCTTTAATTTGTTAAGACTTCATGTTGAAAATTGACTTTTGCTTGCACTTGGCATCTAGTTTTGCTTCTATGTCATTTGCTCTTCCATTGAGTTAAAAGCCCAACTGAGGATAAGCAGAGTTCAGTAATGGAGCTTGTAAATTCCTTTCTGAGGAACTATATAAAGATGCTGCACATTCCTCAGTCAGGACCTAAGTGGCTTCTTGCAATTACAAGCTTAATCATTCCATGATCCAGAAGCTATTGAAAGACTCAATCTTATCATTCCTTGCCTACTTCAGCAGCTGAGATTGCAAATTCCTGCAGCATGAGCAACAGGCGAGGAATAGTTTCACTAATCAGTCACCTCTCTCTCCATGCATCCATCCCACTTGCTGTAAAAGGGGCATAATAATGTTCAGCTTGGTTTGAATCTTAACTTGCACAAGAGGAAACTATGTCTGTATGAATTTAGGGTTTTTTCTGCATTCCTGTGGTGCATAGAAGTTTGTTGCAGTACTTTGTTCTGCTAGGTGCTTGCAAACGTGAAAGAATGATCTCATATTCAAGCTAAAATTATGTGGTTTACTCTTCATTATGCAATTATTATTATTAATATAATTGTTATTTTTAGTAGTAGTAGTAGTAGAAATGAAACCTCTGTTTACTTACAAGTTATTTGTAAATTTTTGATGAAATTTCCTAATCAGAACTGCAAAATCTTGACTCCTCAATCTAAAAAATATGTGAGTAAAAGCTGACTGATCTTCAGAGAAGGTGAGTAATATAGACTTCTCCTTTCCCAGCTATAATAAGCACATACTTCCCATTAAGTCCCATTTATCTACTAAATTTGGTGTTTAAAAAGTCAACTATTTCCTCCTAATGTCATAAAATATTTTTAGGGAAATGGTTGGGGTTTTTTTAACATTTCTGAATTTTCAGAACAAAAAAATGATCAAAATTTTCAAAATAGTGAGCTTTTGAACATAGATACACTATGAAATGTTTAAATCAAAGGGATAAAAACATAAAGTTTCTGCAACAGAAACCTGCAAAGAGTGGTGCTTTTCAAAGTTTGATTGTTTGCTCTCATACAAAACTCTTACAGGTCTAATAAATTCTGTTTCTCTTGTGGATTTTCTAGAAGGTTAGGACAGTTCTTTTGTCATTCTTGAAATAAGTAGGGAAGTGCTTTATCCTGAAGTATTTTAGTTGGGCATTTGAAAGTGAAAGAATGTCTGTTGGAAAATCTAATTCACCACACCATTTTAAGTTTAATGGTTTATACAATTATTTTGGTTTTTTGGTGGGATTTTGCGGGGGGGGGGGGAGGTTGGTGAATGGGGTTTTTTTGTTTATTTGGGCAGTTTTTGGGTGTTTTTTGGTTGTTGTTGTTAATTTCTTTTTACATGTTAAAAGCCCTGTTAAGACAGCAGATATAAGCAGAGTATCTCTGATCATTCTTTGACATGAAGAATTTTCTTGTGCCTATACACCAGATGCACAAATTTCAGTAGTACAGATTAGGGACTTTTTTGGGCTCTTCAGTAATGTGGCTACATGGTGTGTGAAAGGCAGGAATTGTGATTTATCCAAGTATGAATTGCCCAATGATTATTTGGCCCTCCCGAGATGGTGCTCAGCATTATCCCATCTTGAAATGGCTTGAACTGTATAAACAACATGAAATAGAAAACCAAAGGGATTAGTGTCTCCTGGGAGACTGAGAAGATCCTCTCTAAAAGTTGTGGGGCATGTGACTGGTTCTGTCTCGGTCAGAGTGTGTAACAAGAGCTTTTCCTCCCCCTGCTGTGATAATCCCAGTGTTTGGTCTGGTTTGTTCATAAGAACTGTGTAGGACTAGTGATGTTAGACACCTGTTAGATTTCTCTGGAGAAATAAGTTGGGATAGAATTTCTCTTCACCATTAGCCAGCAAAAGCGGGCATCTTCACAAACAGAGACATTGCCTCTCCCCCACGGAGAATGGAAATGTTAATTTAAAGGCAGTTAAACAATTAGAAATCAGAAGTCACAATGCCAAGGTGTCACTGTCAAATTTTGCCTACTCTGTTGTATTTCTTTTTGTCTGCATTCACAACAATTAAACATTTCAATAAAACATAAAAATCACGTGACTTTAAAACCAGAATATAAGTATGATTTTCTCATTTTTGAGGTGATGACTGAAACTTTGCAGCTTATATTTTCAAGTTTTTGTCTACAATTACAGGATCTAATATATATTTCTTTTTTATATACAAATCTACACTCATTAGAAAAGGCAGCCTGGTGAATATGAAATGATTGATGTTATATTTGTAATACAATGTAAGGATTGCTGACACCACTGTTGCTTTAGGGTTATCACACAGAGGGAACACAAAGAATCTTGTTGGAGTTAACCATGCTTTGATGCTTGGCAGGTGGTAATGGGGGAGCCTCTGGGTGTGTAATGGGTCTGCCTCTGGTAGTGGCTGATTTCAAGTATTTTGGTCAAATGAAGGTTCTTAGCAAGTTCTCCTATTGTTATTGTGACAATAGGAGATTGTCTCAGTGGCCAAACTAAGAGTAGACCAATCCTGCTCAGGCCTTTGCAAAGCACAAAGGCCATTATTAATAAGTCTCCACAGCTGGCACTGGCTAACTCTGGAAACTGCACATTTCTAAAAACATGTGCACCTTGTACTGTACATTCAGGTAGTGGTGATTCTGGATGTGCACTGGCATCAATGAAGTGACAGCTCTAAAGTGGAGAATCCCAGATTTAGTACAAATTTCTCCAGGCCTGACTATTGAGCATGTTCACACTTGACAAACAATCATAAGTTCAGCTTCTGTCAGCTTTTTTTTCCAAACTTGTGGATGCAAAGTGCTCCTGAGGCATCTTCCTCTGCAGGTGTCCTAAGTTAGCTGCCTTTTCCTTTTCTTCCCAGTCTCTCTTCCTCCTACAAACACCAAATTCATTGCACCTTGCACCCCATTCTAGGCCTCCTCTATGTGGGCAGCATCTGAGTGATTCCTTATTTGAAGATTTTTAATTAAAACATTCATAAGTTTGAAATAGTTTCCTGGCATTTTTCTCTGTGGCCCTGTGACCTTGGCTTCCTGAAAAAGGCTAGTTATCTTCTGGCTCAAGGGGAAAGGATGAAGGAGGAAAAGGAAAAGAAATTGCCATGTATTCTTCACAGTACAATGTTGCCTTTTTTCCCTAGAGTTCTATTTCAGTGGTTAAAAGAAACAGAAAGAATAAACTCTGACCAGGCTCTGTTTGCTTTCATTTTCACAGAGATTTCATTCACAATAAATACCATCAAATTTTGCCAATAATACTTCTACAAATTGTCAGGGGGAAAAAACCCAAACCCAAAATAAAAGCAGGAGTGATTTGTACTATTTAGCTGTCCAAGAGAGAGACTACAAGCCTTTATTTTTTTTTTTCGGAGTCCTAAAGGTGACTAGGAAAGGAAATGAGAAATTAAGCGCATCTGAGAATTAAATGGTTTCACCTCTATTTTTTCCTTATCCAAAGTCTCTTGAGAAAATTCTGTGGCTGAGGGTTATCAAAGCAGTTAGTGATTTCTCTTCAAGATCACTCAGTATCTCTTACATTTATAACTTAATAATTTTTTTCCCTGTTTATTTATTTTTTTTCCTTTGAGGCATCTAATTTCTCTAGCACACATAATCTACTCACATTTTCCCTGTCAGGCTGTTCTCAGTTTTGTCTCAGTTATGATCCTTACCTGTTTTCTTTAAGGGCTCTGGCATCCTCCCTTTGTTTCTGGTGGAGCTCCCAGCTGTATCTAGAAGGCAGGGTATGAATCACACAGGAATGGGACTGCAGGGCTTTTGAGACCCCCTAAAGCCCCACGGGGTGGAAGCCCCCATCCTGCTCCTCCCCCTTGATCCCCCCCTGTTGTCGGCTACGGCACCTTATCAGCAGCAGGGCACTTGACAGGCTACATCAGCTGGGATAAATATAGCCCGGTTCCAGGAGCCAGGGAGCTCAGGCCACCCAAGGCTGGCTACCACTGCTCTGGTGCTATAAACCAGAGCACAGTGTGATGCTGCACATGCCTGCAGAGCGTTTTCTGGCTCCAGGCATGTACTGCATGGAGAATTCCAGCACTGCCATGTTTACAGCACATGCAGCAAACTAGATCCGAGAGTTACATCTCCTGTGTGCTGGTTCCTGCTCACTCTAAGTGTGCATTTGCTTATATTCTTACCACTTATTTCAGTTTTTGTTTTTGTCATAAATGGGTCAGAGCTAAACAGCCCCTCACAAACTGGTTTTCTTGTTTCTTTTTTTAGCTTTTCAACCAAAGACTGTATTTGTAGAACTAACTGTGAACTTTAGGGAAAGAACTTTCTTTTGCAGAGACACTTACACAATACTGACATTTGCAGTCACAAGTAGAAAGCATGACACTACTTAAACAGTTTTAGTCCTCCCTCCCCATCCACCCACTAGATCCACAGCATACGTTTCTTGATAACTAGCAAGTTTTTTTTCTTCTTCTTTTAAATATCATTTTAAAAATAGTTACAAGGTTCTGTTTTATGCCACTAGAAGTTTCAATTTTGCTTAATCATATAGAAAAGATCTGGGGGAAAATCTCACTAGAAAATTATTCTTGTATGGCCATTTCATGCTCCAATCATTGCTTCTTATTTATTCCTATATTTAGCAAAATATAGGAAAAAGAAAATATATATATATATAGGAAAAAATAAAATATATATATATAGGAAAAATATATACAAAAATATATATATTAAGATTTTGCATATTCATATGCATATTATTTAGCATATTCATATAGGGCAAAATAGTAACTGTGGACAATCATTCTTTTATTATCATGATGGTTTATCAATTTCGAGTTTTAAGCTTTACCAAAAAACTCTGGAGGCCAAACATATTTTAGCCACCACTTGTATTGACAAAATAATTAAAAAAACAAAAAGAAAAAAGGTGTGGTTTCCACTTTTTCCCCCCAGCTTTACTCTCCTGTAAAAAACCTTATTTTTAAATGATTTAATATTTTGGGATGGAGTTCAGAATAGACCAGTGTGCAAGCAGCTCATCAGTCACTGTGCTCTGTGTCTGTCTTTCACATCTAACTCTCTCAGCAGGCTGATGCAAGAATCACAGCTGATACTTCTCCTGATTTGGGGCCAAACACCTCCTCCCCTTCCCTTGAAGCAATTTTTAATGGATGGGTGAGGGAGATGGGCAGGATGCCGCCTGTGTTTAATTTCCATTGCCTGGTTTCTAGTGGAGCACAAGTTACCATGATATGTATTTGGCTACTATCCTGTGCCTGTGGTATTTCACTGGGAGTCAGGAAATTTCCTTTGGCTATTTGCTTTGCCTTGAAACCTTTCAAAGGGCTTAGGTCTCACTTCTTCCCCAAAATGAAACACAGCTATTTAATCTGGTACAGGGAAATGATCCTAACCCAATAAAAACTTGGCAGATTTTGTGACTTTTAATGTTATTTAAAGTAATATTTCAAATATATCGCTATGTTCAAGACTGGGAAAAATGAATGTTTTGTCTGCTATTACGCATTGGGTTACCAGGTGGCAGCATTGTTGTAATAGTAAACTTTTTCTAGCATTTTCTATATTACATTACATTACATTATATTATTTGACTACTTTTAATAGCAAAACTGCTATGCAAATGAAATGTATAATTTCAAGGGCTACCCTGACCCAAAACTACACAGTTGATTGTGATAACTACTTTGTAGTGCACTGCAAAGCTAGATAATTGTTTAGCAAGTGTGTGAAGTTTCTCCTGTGTTCAAATGAAACCAATGTACAAGAACAGTGAAGCAACATGTAATAAATGTCTCAGGGCCTGTGCTTAAAAAGTGAGTGAGAGGGAAAATTCTCCCTTGTCAGAAGAATTACTCTGAAATTATTGCTCTGTGCTTCAGACAGTGTCTTTCACCACATAATTCAAAATCAAGTTCAAAAATGACAGAAATTGGTGCCCTGCCGTGATATGCTGTGCAATTTTGGATAGCTGCACCATGGCTTATACAGAGAAAACCAAGGATTTATTATTTATAGCCAAAGTTAACAGCACCTCCTTCTAAAAAGACTACACAACTTCTTATTAAAAATCTATGTATTTGGGTGCTTGTGACTCTGCTCAAATTTTGGTGTCCAGACAGAAAGTCTATATATTACTTTTCTATTTTGGACTTCTTTTCCTGGTAGTTTCTGTCATGCCATTTAATTTCTTGTCTCTATTTCTGTTTATTTGTTTCTCTGCCTTTTGTTTTGTGTCATCAAATTACCACCTCCTCAGTGGCTCTGCAGTTTCTGAGGACAAGGCAGTAAAATTTCCTCAGTGGCTGCAGATTTGCTGGGACAGCTGAGGTGGCTCAGTGCAGAGCACAGGCCCAGCAGGATTCATCCACTGAAGTGCTCATAGAATCATGGAATATCCTGAGCTGGAAGGGATCCACAAGGTTCATCAAATCCAGCTCCTGACTTTGCACAGGACAGCCCCAGTAACCACAGCAGGTCCCTGAGGGCATTGTCCCAAACATTCCTTGAACTGTGGCAGGTTCCTGCTGTGACTTTCCTCTAAGTTCTGTTCTAGCGCCCACCCACCCTCTGGGTGAAGAATCTATTCCCAATATCCAATCTAATCCTCACTGTTTCCTTTGAGTTTTTGAATCACAGAGTGCTGGTGTGTACAGTGCAAAGCCACTTGACCTTTCTGACAGAACGTGAGTTTACAGGGATTGAGGAGATTTGGGTAATGCTTATTTGAGCTTTCCTCTGCACAACCATTTTGTATCCCTACCCTTTGCACTCCATACTTGAGTTCTTTCTGTATATTTGACAGCAGCTTGCTTTCATTTCAGGGATGTTCTTTTAACTGACTTCATGCTAAACAACCTGAGTTACTGCATATTCTAGACTATGGGGAAAAATGCAGTCTCCATATGCTCAGTGAGAACTTTCTACATTTCATCGTCTGAAGAAGTTTTTTTTGGGTCATTTAGGTCCAGTGCAGGGCTCAGCAGAGTTTTCTATGCATTTATGTCAGGGCTAATGTGGGACTTGGACTTAATCCAGACGCCTAAAGTAAAAGCAAACAGCCTTTGTGTCCTGCGCTCCAAACATTATCTCCCTCAGACATATCAAAATAAAGGGGAGAACCAGCAGGGTTGGGGGGCAAATAGTTGGAACTTATGAGAGGGAAGGGATCACACCAATTTGAGTGGGAGGAGGAAATAAAAATGTGTGATTGAAGGGCGTGGATGGGGGGAGAAAATTGTTTTTTCTATGTAATATGGGAGGGATTTAAAACAGATTAGTGAAGGATAAGAATATTAGATGGGGAGCTGGAATAGAAATGGGGCGAAGGGAAGAGAACTGGTGATAAGACTGAAACTGTAAGAGGATGTGGGATGGAACAACTATAAATGGCTGAACAAATAATTTGGAACTGAGAACCATTCACATAAAGAGAAGCTGACTGGAGGCACTTGTGAGAAAAGTTGGCCTGAGAGGAAGCAATGAACTAGCTGGGCAAAAGTTGAAAAGGGACACTGAGAATAAAGCAGATGGAATCTACTAAATATGGAGGCATCTACTGGCTGAATCTAGGCATGGAGAAAAGCTGACCAAAGAGCTGGGAATTGATAGCTCTGGTTAGCAGAGAAAGGAAAGCACAGTGTGGGTGAGTGGGAAAAAAGGGAAGAGGGAATATCTAGAGAAGAAATCTAAAATTATGTTTCTGAAAGCAGACACCCAAAACTCAGAAACATCGGTAAATCTAAAAGAACCCAAACTGATTTGTATACGCAAATGCCCAGCTCAGCACCCAAACATTCTTCACTTTGCATAAGGCAGAGGAATCGAAGCATTCTGCACAGAGGCACCAGTGGTCAAAGGGCTTCTTATAACCAAAGCACTGCTGCTCTGCTGCTGGGGAGTTAAAACAGAAGCTCAGAGGGAGCCCTTAAGGCACAGAAACTGCATTCCTTCCTACCACAAAGCCGCTTCCCCAATCCTTTGCATAACCTTGGTCTCCCCAGTACCTCCTCCCACCCTTCTTTCTCCTCCTCCACCTCCTGCTAACCCTTATCTGCTCCACCACATCCTCATTCCCCTGCTGTCCATAGACTGCTCTGCTCATTCTCACGTACTGCTTTGCTCCCCAGTAGCAAAAAGTAACGCTGTGGGGAACCTAAGGCATGAAGGAGGATGTGGCTGGATGAGTGGAGAGAATGGAAAGAAACACAGAATGGAAAGAAAGTTGCCCTGTAAAACCTGATCTAATAGGCCTGCTTTGAGTAGGGGTTTGGATGGGGTGACCTCCAAACATCCCTTCCAAACCCAGGTTCCTCTGCGTGCTGATGTGAGGTGTTCAGCTAAGGCAGACTCGGGTGAGTTATGAGTGAGGAAATGAGAAAGAATATCTCAGCCTACTGCTGTTTCCATGCTCTCTGGAGGACATTCACATTCCCCAGCTCTTGGAATAGGACTGATTATTTGGTTTATATACAGACATCTCTAATAGCACAGGCTCAGCTGAGCCAACTGAATTGCAATGTGCAAATTTTTTAGAGAAGAAAGGTGAAATTTGGTGAAGTTTAGCTACTGTCACAGTTTCTTTAAAGAGCAAGCTCTTTATCTACTTAACTGTAATATATAAGTGGCTTCATTACAGTAGCATTTTTATTACCGGCACTACATGTTTAGTGTTTTAAATATATGGGTATGCAAAACTATGTAAATCTCCTTTGAGTGTTTCTTAGAAGAAGAAAAGGTGGCGAGATAGCAAGGTAACCCACCAAATAAATTAGAAATAAATGCAAAATCTTGGATTTGGTACCACAGTCTGTGTCATACCATAGTCTTTTCTATCCATAATCCATACATTTTAAATACATAAGTGTGGGATTTCCATTGAGAACATACTGTTCATGGCATTCTCAAAGGAAAAATGCTCATTGTGTTGCCATCAGCAATAAAGTCTTTGCTGTGAATTTACAATTTGTAGCTACAGTACAGGGAAAATTTTGAATAAGAGTAAAAATACACTGAATTGAACTGTCATGTGGTATATGTACCAGTTATGAAGCTGTCAATATAGTTTGAATTAAGCTCGATGATAATGAAGGGAATTTTGTTGTGTGGAGGTCTAAATGAGGGAGGAAAAAAGTAGAAAGAAATGGAAGGAAGTCAAAGAGATTATGTGATACAAATAAACTAAGACAAAAGGCTTACTGAGGAAAAGAAACCTGGCAATGCACAGAGCCTAAGCCCTGTTGTAGTCATAAGTGAAGACAAACATGGATTGTAAGATTCTGTCAGTGTGTGAATCTTGAAATGAGGGTATAGAGATAAAATTTCATGAAGGAGGAGACTAAAAACCTCCCTCAGATATATTGGGATGTGTGTATATCCATTTTTTAGGAAGTTTGGAGGACTCAATAAATGTGGGCTTTCAGGCAGAAAATAAATAAAAACACCTTTATCTGCAGTTCTGTCTGGTTCAGGTGAGTAGTAGCTTACATCTAGAAATGTCTAAAACTCTCTTTGACTGAGTGGAATTTCAAAATACATGCTACCACTGTAAATTATTATAAGCATATTATCTGTATAGCCAGTGCAGTTTTTCTAACTTTGATGCCTCTGATGTACAGCTAGAGGGAGTCTACTGTATTGTAAGCGCAGTTCAGTATTTTGAATTTTGTTCACTGGTAGTTTCCTGAATAATCTTTCCACAAGAATTGATTAAGAACCACTCAGTGGCTAATAAAGCTGATTTTTAAAGCAGGCTGCAAAGGGTCAAATACAAGTTGAATATCCAGTTGAAGTATGAACATTTGCTTTGAAAGAGGATTGATGATCTCTAAGAGCAGTGGGCTGCAAAATGTTCTGATGAACTTGTCCTAATCATGGGTCATCTCTCCAAATAATAACCCCCTCTGACCTTTTTTGATCACATCTGCCTGTCTAGTACTTGGCCACCTTCACAGAAAGCAGCTCCTCTGTAATTTTGCAGAACCTGTGATTTAGTCATATTCATTTTGGTATTTTTGTCTAAAACAGCCAAAGAGTTTCTGTGTTTGCATGTGCAGCTGAATGGCAATAATTCAGCTTGCCTAGACTGCCTAGTGTCCCGAGCAGTTGGACTGTGTAGCAGACAAACAGTACTCTGGCAGAGAAGCACCATCATTTTGTCTCTTTCACAGCTGCAACACATGATTATTCACTCTTTATGCCACAGATGAAAAACCTAACCAGAAACAGATGGGGAGCGAATATTTTTAGAAACAGAATTTCAAAGCATTAACAAGAGGAAGAGAAAAAGTTTTCAGCTTTGGAGATAAAATTTTAAGCCTTCTGGTTAAAGTATATTCAATATTACTTTTAAAAATATTTTTTTGCTAATCCTACTATTCCCTCAGGATAACTTTCTCAGAACCTTCAATTTCCATGTTTCTTGTGGTCAAAAACAGTGTAAAATGCAAATTATTTAATTCAAGTATAAGTAGTTGCTCTAAATTAGCATTTTAAAGTAATGTACACACTCAACTCATTTAAAAGTTCTTGTTGTTTGTTTGAAGGCTTACTTTAATTTTGTATTATTTCTCCAGCATCTAATAAGGTTTTGTGCAAGACTTGCCAGGGAAATGGAAAAATAGGTCTCATAGATCTTAGAAAGCTTTTTGGTAAGCTTGAAATGGCTTTTGTGATATCCTAAGCATCTCCACAATTAACTCATCAGTTGGCTCTTTTCAGTTATCACAGTTTTCCTGCAAGAGGAAATGATCCTTCTCCTTCAAATTACAGTGTCAGAGAAGGATCAGTTCTTCTTTTGAAGCTGTGTTTGTGATAAAGATGTTTTTATGAAGAGAGGAATTCTTACTCTAGTTTTCTTGAATATCAAGTCTGCAAGTCTGATGAGTGAAAATGTCTTTAATCCCTTTTTAATTCCAGACCAGCAGTGCCAAACATCATCAGTACCAAGCAGAGAAGTCCTGAGTATGTAGCTCAGCAAGAAGGAACCTTAATTGTGTCAGTGTTGGGTGCTCTAGTCTTCTGAGAGCTGCCTTCAACAGCTTCCATCCTGAAACTTCAAAATGGATGCAGATGGAATTATCCAAGTCTAATTCAGTATTACAGTACTCCCTATAGGAAGTAAATCCTTCCAGTACAATTTTAGAAATAAAATGTCTTCTTAATTTGACTCATCCTAACTCTAAGTGAATGAAAAATGATCCTCAAAGCACAGTAACTAAAAGTTGGATTACAAGATTTTTAGAGGCATGAAAGATAACTCTCAGCTAATTTTTGGCACTGACTGATGTATTTATCAAGTTCATAAACTGGGAATAAAAATTGGGAAGTAGTACTTTGGGATGTTTTTTAACCAGGAGCTTCTTTCTTGTTTGGCTCCAAAGAGACACTGTAGTCCATGATGCCACCAGATTTTCACTTCCACAGTGAGATTGTTAGTGCAGATAACAATGACTGGTTTTAGATATAGTTTTGAGAACTCAGGTCTGTAAGAAGCTCATCACTTCAACTATTTCTGATTTCAGTGAGGAGCAAACTCTGAAAAATTTCAGATTATTTAGTGGTATTTGGCATGTTGTACTGCATTTCAATATTGCTAAAAAAATTCCTTCTCTTCATTCTCTATCTGCCTCATTTCACCTCATCTATTTTGGGAAAGTCCTGATTTTTGAGTGATTGAAACAGTTGAGATATGTTAAATAATGTTAAAACTTGAAGTGCTAATTTTCTTACTGTTGCTTGAATTTAGACTTAATTTCTGTGCTTAGATGTACTGGGTAAATTTACCATGATGTTTCAGGTATTGAATTATCATTTATTTTGCATTTTGAGTGTTATCTTTACAGTGCAGTTGTTATTAGTTACTATTAATTGTTTTACAGTAGGGCTTAAAATCCACAGTTAAAATCTTTAAACTCTTTTGTACTGGAATTCCGCAAAAACATGATTAAACACAACTTACTTCCAAGAAAGATTCATGAGCGAGAATCAAGGTATCACTGTGGGGGAAAGGAAGACAAAAGAACAGGAGCAGGAAAATAAGTAAAACTGCAAAAAACATGGTTAATTGATACATTCTAAATGGTATGGGGATATAAATGCAATTCTTGGTATATGTGACCAGAAAATGTTCAACAGGGTTTTTGCACAGGAAAAAATAGTGAGAAATATATACAAATATGTATTTTTAAATTTCCTTCAGTACTGCAGTCTCTTTCATAGTAATGTATTTCACCTTGTAACATTTGTTACCGAGTTTGACGCCACTGATGATATTTCCAGGTAAATTAAAAAGTAGCTACAGATGGATAAGGCCCTACAGCCCAGTGCACCTTTTGCTCAGACACCACACAGGAGCTGTATCTGCATAACTGAATGCGTGACATGTGTTTGTGAAGTAATCATTTATTATGCAAACATCAAAACTTCATTATACCTAATTTTATTAAATATGTACATGTTATTACTATTTAAAAGAACGAGTCTCATTCCAAGATCTGCAAACTTCTCTCTAGCTCTGAGAGCTGCGGCAGAGCCTGTATTAATGCTAGTTTAAAAGCTGGAAGCTAACGCGGTGTCACTGTGGGTGACACAGCACCACCTCTGGAGGCAAAACTTCATTGGCTGTATTCTTTAGTTACAATACAATCAAAACAAAAAAAAAAAAAAAAAAAAAAAAAAAAAAAAAAGAAAAAGTGAAGAAAAAAATATCTTTCCTGACAATATATTTGTTCATTGTTTAAATTTCCCAACTCTGTCCAGCTTGGAGGATGGAAGCAAAGAATTCTGTCATGATTGGGGTTCTCAGATGCTGAAGAAGGGGATTCGTACCAGAAACATCTGATGATAAAGGCTGTTTAAAGGCAGAGAAGGGGGCACAGGAAGCAAAGAGAAAGATGTGTCCATCTCCTCTGCTGGAATCCAGCCAGGAGCTCTCAATATTTTTCTTGCTTAGGGTCCCATGGCCTCAGTGAGGATAATGCTTCCTATCAGTGGCCCCCCTTCCCATCACCTCTCCACTAAACTGGTAGGTCAGCTTCTTCTTAACTTTCTTGACCTCCCCTGTCTTGCCATAGTTTCTCAAAGCCCGTGCCATCTTCTGGTAGGTCATTTTCTTGCGGTTGCCTTTCTGGATGCCCCAGCGATGCGCCAATGCTTCTTTGTGTTTGGAGGAGAACTGGAAAGTACCTTTCTCCTTGTCCACCCACCAAATGCTGTCCTTCATGTCCCCACTGCGAAGAAGGTCCAGAAGGAACTGATACAGACGTATCTTTTTCTTGCTGCCTGTGTGAGAGTCAAAAATAAAGCCAGTGGAGCATTAGTATTTGTGTGTAGTTCCTGGAGAAACAGCAAAAAGTATCTAAGTATTCCAGCTACCTTGGGAGACATAACTTCAGTTAGCAGCATTTATAACAGTAGACAATATAACAGTGTGAGGAAAAAATGTGGGGTTATATACCAAGAAGGAAAAGCAAGATTAATTCCAATGGCTAAACTTCTGAAATTCATTTGCTTATTTGAAGCTAATTGAAAAACATTGCTAATTCAAAATTAACTTAGACCTAATTTTGGCAGGTTATACAGAATGTGACTCTCAGATACTGAGCAAAGAGAGCTATTTTTTTTTTTTAATTGGTTCTTCTTTGACTTTCTTGTCTTGGTTTTCCTGGCTGTTTTTAGAAATTGGAGTAGAAATGGCAAAAGCCATTTCCATTCAGGAAGTCTGAATAGACAAAGCCAAAGGAGGCAAGGGAGTACATTAAGAAATGAGGTTTGAGATAGTTATGGTTGTGAGATTCAGAGGACAGGAGAGTGCAATGAGTCAGGGAAAGAAAAGCTTTGGAAGTGGCATAAAATACTAGCACAGCAGTTCTACAGTTTCATTCATTATCCTCATGGTAATAAAACACCTGCTCAGTTCATAGCTTGACAAAATCCTTCTGTTTTCACTGACCTGTTTCTCCATGCATAATTCCAGGCCCAGGCTCCACACCGTCATTCTCCCCATCTGAAACCTCCAAGGGGGGGCTCTGCCTCTCTATGTCCTCCTCATCAGAGCTGGGCTGAGGTGGAGAGAAGTACATCCGGGGCAAATAGGACACCTTTGGAGAACAGAGCAGCAGAGGGAGAAAGCAGTGACACAGAGTAGGACATCAAGATTAAAAAAGGAAATGTAATGAAAAGAGGCACAGAGAAAAGGAGGAAGAAAGTTAGAGGTATGGGAAAATGTTTAGTGTAATACTGAGTGACTTAGTTGTTGACATTTATTAAGGAACACTTTCAGATAACAGTCAACACACATGTACAATGATGCACCTTTACCAGAGGGAAGAATGAGTAACGTAAATGCCAAACTTTCTCATACCTTATATCCTATGCAAATAGCACTGTCCCTCTTTCCCATATCTCCCCAAAGCTTGCTTTCTTCCTAATGAGCTTCTGATTCTGGTTGTCTATCCCCAGAATGAAACTGCTTTTCAGAACAACTTTTTTCCTAACTCAGTCCATCTGGAGCTGAATTTGAAAGGGATGAACAGTTCTGCCCTATCATGGCTGGCTTTTGCTCTGTTGTCCTGTTCCTTTCTCAGGCACAGTACCTCCTGATGGCACCAAAACCCTATGGGACTGCATCCAAATTTGGAGATGGAATTGTTCCGGTCCATCAGCTTTCTCTCATAAACTTCCCCCATGAGGAGAGGAGTAGCCTTAACACTAAGATAAGGATATATCATATCAGCCCATACTCTCTTTTCCGAAATGGCTATCTGAAAATTCCCCATTAGGGGGGAATTTCTCATCTGCTAAGCTAGCAAGCCAGTTTTTGTGTTAAATTCCCTTGCCCTTATATAGAGGTGTTGTCAGAAGCAGTGTGGAATATACCTCAGCTCTGTAAATTCTCACTTGTGGTCTGGTTTGCTAGGAAACATGACCAGTTGGCACAGATTACTGCATCTTCTTATTTAATAATGTGAAGCAGGTCAGTCTGAGGGGTAGGGAATAAGAACCCAGTCCCTACATTAAAAAAACCCAACCAACATTCCCCAAACCCAGCAGCATATTTTATGCAGCTTTCATGAAGTGGGACAGATGATAGTCCTTGAAAGTGAGCTTCTTTTGTACTGCTCTTCTCCTTCACCAGAGAGGGATGTTTTGAGCCTGATGCCCTCCCCAGGGGACCTCAGGTGCTGGGTGGGCAGTGGGTGCTCATGAGTCACTCACCCTGTGCTGGCTTTGGCCGAGAGGGGCTTTTTGGGAGAGTTTTGCACCACCTTGAAGTGTCCCAATAAGGCGCGTGCCAAGGGCTGCGTGGGCACTGCAGCTGGCAGTTAATGAGCTGGCACATTGGCTGCAGCCGATCTGGCAGGAAGGGCAGGATTGGGCAAGAGCCCCTGTAAGCTTCCTGTCAGATCCCCAGGAGTGAAACTTCAGCCCTCACCACAGCCACCTTCAGCTTCTTACAGTTAACAAAGCTGCAGCGCTGGGGTAGAAAGGAAGGGAGAGACTGTGCCATGGGGGAAGGGGAATGAGGAGGGGGGACAGGGTCCTACAGGGGGGAGGAACAGAGATTGGTGCCCTTGAGAAAAGGGCTGTGGAAACCTGGAGTGCTTTGGGAGGTCATATGGGAGTAAGGAACTGCTTCACTGGGGCTCAGTGGGACAGTGGGAGGGGACATGGCGTCTTGCAGAGGCCAGCCTGGGGAGCTGAGTGAGCTTTCTCCATGTTGTCCCCACTGTCCCTGACTGCTGTATCTTTGCTTACACTTCCTCTGCACCTGAAATTCAACAAGGACAGCCAATATACTGTCACAAAGTTTTGGGACAGAGTCACAGAGGACTGACCTGTGTGCTTTAAAGAGCCAGGTTACTAATGCAGCTCTGGAGAGAGAAAACTTAAGGAACTACTAGTTACTTTCCATATTCTGATGTTTTCCCAGGGTCTGTGGCCCCTACATGTGATTTTCCTCTTTCTAAAAGTTCTTCTCAGGGCTTTCCAACCTTCTCTTTCATTCTTCCTTCAGAATGAATATTTTTTTTCTTATTTTAGTATTTCTGAGGTCCCTGTTGGCAGGCTAACAAAATTTCAAACAAATCTTGTTCATGAACATGTTACACTTCAAATTTAATTTCACAAAGCAATGTGATATCCACAGAAAACTGAAGAAATATCTTTGCACCTTCCTCCTTTATTGCAAACAGTAACCCTGATATTGCAGGACAAGCATACTAGTTAAAAACTAGCAAATTAGAGGAGGATTAAAACTTGCTTCTTGCAAGTTTTTTTCTCACACAAACTGTGACTGAGACGCACCAGAAGCTGAACTTCAGAGCATGCCAAGTACTATTTGTATGAGCTATTCTAGGAATAAAAGTAAAATAAAGTAAAAAGCCAAAGATCCCCTGCTGGTAAGGAAAAGAAGGGCAGTGGTGAATTCTACATACTAACATCTGCAGCTTGGTAGGGTGTGGGGCAGGGAGATCACAGTGCTGTTTATCAAAAGTTGTAACAAAATTAGTTCCCTGCTTTTCATCCTGAAATGAAAGACCATAGCTGAGAAGAATGAATGTGAATAAGCAGAAGTGGCCTCTCTTGCCTTTTGGTTGTGCTTCCAAAGACACCCCTAAAGGGGCTCATTTTCCTCCTTTGCCCTTGGCCAGAGGTCGTGGTTGGTCATTAGGTATTAGCAGTTGCAACAAGCAACTGAAACAACTTGAAGCTTCCCACAGGCTGCTGTTCCATGATGCATTTTTTATATTTGTAACTTTCTGTTCCTAATTCTTTGTTTGTATCTACATCTTAAATTCTATTCCTGATTTTTTTGATGGCTTGCAGCTTCCTGTTGTCAGTGTTAACTTACTCATTCTATTTTTTCTCTTCTTTCTTTTTGATTAATACAGTATTAACATCCAATTTCGGTTTGCTTTGAGCAGGGAAACCCAAAATGCCAAGCCCATGCATGCAGTTTTTCTCACAAAGTTTCAGCAAGGGTACTGTTACATGCAGCACTGTAATCAGCAAACACTCTTTTCTCTGACTTCAGTTCTACTCTGTCTTGCATTTAGGACATTTCATGTACATTGGGGAACACTTTAGCACAAGATCTTCCAGCTTTCTTACCGTCCCCAGTAATGACTTTGGGCATACTCTTGTAGGATCAAGAGTGATTTCCACATCTGCTGTGCTTATTATCTTTGCAGTATGATGGAACACCTTATAATTTCAGGTTTAGCGAGAATTCACTGGTGCTTTGGTGACTACTGCATAGTGGAGTATATATTTTTTTTAACAGGGAAATGCCTGGCTTAATGTAAAATCTGAGCAAAGACAAGACATTGTGTTTTGGCTTGTGACTTATTTACTCACAGATAGAAGCACAAGTAGGGTCTCCTCAGCCTGGTCAGAGACTTGTCTTTGTTGGCATTTCTCATACAAGTCATATAAAATTTTCAGGGTTCCTTGGAAATATTTAAAACTTTACTGCTACTTCAAAGCTCAGAATTACTTCTTAATAGCCCAGGGTACCCTTGCTATGATGATACAAAGTGTCTCACCTCCAGTTCATCTGCAGAATTGCAAACCAGTTGATCTTCATTCCAAATGAAACAAAAATTGAAATTCAAAACACCTCCACAAAATGCAGTTCTCATTTTAAACAGTGTGGGGAGCATAATTTCTCATTGGCAAAAAGAATGTTTAAAATACATTAGTCCTGAGAATGAAGACATTACATCCCCTAAGAACCTGAGTAACTAATTCCAGAAATTTCTTTCACTTCATAGTATGCATTCCCAATGTATTCTTTTCTCTACTGTTAATTACACTCTGAAGTTCTGAGCAGGGTTGGTGCCCATACCTGATGGTTGAGTCCGATGTGTGTGGTTGGGATTGCAGAATCCAGGACGTGCATTTGCTCGATCTCCATGTGCCTGTAGAGCTGCTGCAGCTGGGGAGGCTGCACACTCTGCAGCTCTGTGAAATGGTTGTCTCCAAAGGTCTCAAATTCACTGTGCATGTGGTGTGGATGATATTCCCAATAATGATCTAAAGAAAGTAAAAATAGATTGTCCATCCCAGCAAGATGAAAAAAACATGGCATTTACCTGGCTTTCATGGATTCTCACTCCAGTCACAGCCCTTTCTGCCCTCTCCAAACCACTCCTGTTGACCTGTTTGTCTCTGCTGACAATTTCTATAGATCCCTGCAAAGTTTCTTTTCCTAATCTCCTAAATTCCTGTGACTGGGAAGTATTACTTAGGCCACTTTTAGTAGGAAAATGCTCTCAGATAGTGAGATGGATTTAAATGATAATTTAACACAAGATGCAGAAGATGTTAATGTTGGCATCTTTCTCAAGAAGGGACCATAACAAGTTTCAAAACATTGTCATTCTTAAGACAACAAATTCTACTGATTTACACACTGTCATATTCTTATTACACTCTTCCTCATGGCATGGAAATGAGGAGGTGGAAAAAATGTAAAGATTATTCTGCAGCTATCTTTAGACTTTATTTTACTATGCTAGCAAAATTTCAGGAATGCTGCATAAAAGTCACTTCCTGCTGTTTTGCTATATCACACATTTTTAAGTACCAAGACTAGAGAATAAAAGGATAAACACTTGGAAATCTGGTGTACACTGTATATGGGAAGGCTGAATTCTAATGCAGATTCTTTCTCTACCTTTTTTATCTCTTTAGTACATTTGAAATTTCTGTGATAATTTGGATTTAAAAAAAATATAAAGAAGTACTTAAATAACCACTATAATATTTCCTGATTAATTTATCTTAGAAATGAAATTCCATATTATTCTCAGTTCTAGATTTCTGGATTTTTTAGTTCAACATAAACCTTCAGCTTTTTAGAATGTCATATTTGCTGCTCAAAATTTAAAATTTTCTGCAAGAAATGTGAAGTAATTCTAATTTCTCATATACAATAGCTGCATACATAATTCTGCACATATCTATGTGCAACCTGTTTTTAAAATCAGTGTCAACACTGCATCCTCTGCTGTGACTGAGCTTGGACCTAATTTTCCAGGATTAATCTTTTTGTGTATCACTTTATGCATGGCTGAAATTTCTTTATGATATTCTGTGTATCAGTTCTAATTTATATCTTAATATTCCACATTCTCTTCCCTTATTGAATTATTTTAAAAATTTCTGTCCTCCCCTTTACATGTTTTCACGTTGCTGTCATGTACTCTTACAATCTACTTCTCTTCATCCCTTAAGCTAGCATCAGCTCTGGGTCTTTCAGTGTAAATCAGCATATTCATCTCCCTATTCACACTTGTACACTTCTCCAAGCTTCCTCCCAGCTGTTGACAACCTTCCAATAACGCAATGAACAGAATTGAACATGTTCCTCTAAATGTAGTTAAATTTATAGAGGAACAATTGTCTCGTTCTGCAATATATGTTATTGTGCATGACATCTGGATATTAGTGTGCTATGAATATTTTTCTTAAATACCAAGTTAGTTCTTTTCCTCAGTCCAAGGGAGGGACCTTGAATGTGGCTTCCTTTGGAGTGAACCCCGTGATAAGTTTACACCAAGCACACTTGTACCTGAGAAGCTGTAAGCTCTTTCAGTTGCCTTTGTGCTCAAGCCAGTAGAAATTTATTTGGAGGCTCTGTGAGATCCTTTATGATACCAGCACTTACTTTTTTGTCCTTTCTGCTTTTCTGATTCATGAATAAACCTCTTCACTGCATGAGAAAGGGGTGGAAATGTGCTTATAAAAGTATCCAGGGAGCTGCTGCATTATTTTGTCATTTCCTCACTTTGTTGTACGGCACTTTCTATGGCCTCTGTGTGGATTTTATAGCCCTAAGATAATTACAGTGCACAGTAGCACTTCTTCATGTTGCACTTCAAGACAAAAAATTCAGTTTCTAGAGTAAAAAAGTGGGGTTTATGGATGCAAAGCACTCAGGTGTTTTTATATCCACATCTGCTGCAACATCTACTGCAAGGAAACAGCAGTGTGAGAGTTGAAATGCATCATTTACCTAAGGCTGTGTCCTGGTAGGAAGCTTGAGCACTTTCAGTGTGAAACCTTTCTGTTTAGTTGGGAGACTGAGCCACACTAACTCATGTTTTGTCTAGGTTAAATTGGTGCAGATTTCTCTAAGTAGAGCCAGCCCTTGAGGTCCCATATACCATGGGCAGCCCTGCATATTAAATTGTTGAGAATACATCCTGGGAATATTCTAAACTCCTGTTCCTTAGAGTGATGTGGCTCTGCCTGTTGTGTGGAAAGTGCTGTGTTAGAGGGCAATGTATATTCCCAAAGATCTCTTGTCACTGATAATCCACAACAGCAATTGAGATCAGTGCATAACTGGGAGGATGACAAAGCCCAGGAAAATGTCTCTGAGGCTGTCCATGGCAGGTGGAATGTCTTACTAGCAGCAAAGCCATGAGTATCTGTGTACCCTCAAGGTGGTCTACTTCTGATAATTTAAAAATATTTTTATCAGTAATGTTTTTATACTTTGAGATACCTCTTAGTTCTTTGGAACCTATGACAAGGTTACTGTGGCTTCTGAAATGTTTTAACTTTTCCCTTGCCAAATTAATTAGCCTATGGAACACTATTTATGCATATTCATGCTAATAACTAATTAGTAATTATCATACTATTTTCTAAATTCCTTTTTAATGGAATTAGATGCTGTTGTAAAAATAAAGTAATAAAATAATACAATTAACACAGCATATAGGATTTAAAGTAATGACATCATAGTATTACACTACCAAAAAATCTATGTCAGAAATTACTTCAACACAAACTTATGTCCAAATGTTCTAGTTGTGATAGGGAGCAAAGTCCTTATTCTTTCCAAAATATCTATAATTTCCCAGTAATCCTTAGGAAAAACAATATTGGTTTAGTAACATTGGAAGAGAAATTACAAATCTGTCCCTACAAGTCCTTCTGCAGTTAACCCTCCTGGCTAAATTATTGCATATGAAAATTAAAAGAGAAAAATTTAAATATCTGCAGATATTTGAGTTACCAGTAACTCTTTACTTCTATGCTCTTTGTTAGTGTTATGTCAGTTACACATACCAATTTGTTCTTTTCTCTAAAATATGATGGCGGAAGGAAGAAAAAAAATAGGAGATAAAAATTCTAGAAATGGAAAGTGCCTGTTCTTTGGGTAAAGGAAAATATCTTAAAAGCCAAGCTATACCTACACCATGGAGTCATTATGAGAAATTTCATGTGAAGTGAAAGAGGATGTGAAAAAAATTCTCTCTTACAGAGGCATGGAGATTATGTTTGTTTTGGTCTTGTATGTAGTGAAAGGTTAGAGGAAGGACAATAATGAATTCTAAACTCCCTCTCATGACAGAGGATGTTAGCCTGTTGGGAAGCAATACCTGACCTAAAGGCATTGTGTCAGTATTCACCATGGAGGTAGATCCTCACTCCACAAGTGAGAAAACCTGACTGAACGTTCCCATGCACCTTCTCATCCCTGTAAGCTGCTTTGCTCCTGTTTTAACAGATGAATAATGGTACCACCAGTGGTCAGAATATGAAACATGTTCTAGGAAGGTATTTGTAATAAGTGTGGAGCAAGAGGCTAGCTGGGCATGATGCAGTGCCAAAGGGCACAGCAGTGCTGAGGCAGCTGTGGAGCTCTGTGAGTTCTGTGAGCTCTGTGAGTCGTGGGAGCTCTGGGAGTTCTGTGAGTTGTGGGAGCTCTGTGAGTTGTGGGAGCTCTGTGAGCTCTGGGAGCTCTGTGAGCGCCGTGCACGCCGTGCTCTGCCCGGCCGGGCACTGCGGTGCCAGGGCTGTGCTGCCAGCCTGGCCCCGGGCCTCGGGGCGCTGCTCCTGCTGGGCTCGCCTGCCAGCACAGGGAGACCCAGGACAGGGCTTCTGCACAGCCCCACGCTGCACAGCTCACAAGCTCCCACTCTGTTTTGCACATCTGAAAAAGCAAGTCAAGGAAAAAAGCCATAGAGGAAATGAGAAAAATATTGAAGGGCACTGGAAACTCAATGTCTTGATCAGACACTACAGAGTCACCCTTGAGAAGAGTGCTGTGGTCCTGGGCCAAGCACCAGTCTTACCTAAAACAATGTTAGAATCTCATTAGCTCTCACTTTACAAACTTCATTACTTTAATTATGCCAAATGTTCAAAAGTCTATGGGTCAGGCCCCATCAAATCATGAGAATAGCTTTGGAGGGAGGTGATTTTTTAATGAAGTTTGGAATTCTTTCTCTTTTTCCTGTAGCATTTCAGACTAAGGTTCACACGTTTGGACATTCCTCCACTTCTATGTGGGCTAACAAAATCAAAGCTGAGATTCCTAAATGGTCATGTTACTCCAGGATGTGGGACAAAAATAAAATCCCAGATCATAAAATCTGGAAAGTTCCAGGAGGCTAGCAATGCAGTGAACAAGGATGAACACTCAGCTTCATACAAAAAGTGATTTTTACTAAACCTATAATGCTTGGTGACAACATAGAGACAAAGCTGCAGTGGAATTTTGTAATTACAAAGATTGCATTAGTGTTACAAAATATGCTGTTACACTTACAGACTTACAAGCTCAGGGTAGGGTGATGGACTAATACATGATCACTCAAAGCAGCTTCTGTCCAGCATGACTGTGTCTCTGTGTTTATTACAGTATTTAAAACAGAGTTACACTGCAGTAAAGAAAATAATTGCACACAATGCTTGTGTTGATGAATGTATCATGCTGTGGTTTTGCTTGTTAATTTCAGTGTGCACTTAATGGAAATAATTTCCTAAATATGACTCACTAATGGAACAGATCTACAAATTTTTTGTGGACTTTACTACTTATTTGTGTAAATAAGTAAGTAAGGGATAGTAAATAAGGTGTAAGGGTTTCCTTCAGTACTATATTTGAGGAAAAGGGACGGTAATGCATGTAGCAACAATCTACAGATTATAATATTTCCATCTCCCTTTCACAAAGTAATTTTTCTAGCAGTGAGAGAGAGGTAGTCTGACACCTCAGGAAATTTTCCAATTTGTTTAACAGTCCCTTGTCAGCAAGATCAAAAGTATTATACTGTCTAGTGGCATCTATTTGCATTAACTGGTTGTATTGAAGTGCATAGTGGTACTAAATAGGCCTGTAAAATTATTTTTATGTATTGCCAGTGATCTCACTGTACCCCAAGCTGAACTTCTCTCTTACAATTCTGTTCTTGTTTCTTCTTTTTATACCATTATCTAATTAGGTTCTTGTCTCTTTCACTGCTGTTACTGCAGCACCTTTTTATTCCTTTCCCCCTCAATTTTTCAATCATTTTGCCTTTATCCACTTTGTTCTGAACACTTAGTACATATTTTTAAATGCACTTTGTGGCATCCTTTTCCTGTTTCTCTGCATAGCTATCCTCAAGACTTTATACTTCTGTCATGTAAACAAAATGAAAGTCGAAGTTGGGTTTTTCAATGTTTATCAGAAAGATGGAAACTACAATAATTTGTGCATTTTAGTCTCCATCTGCATTTTTTGGTTGTTCATTGCTGTTTTGGACTGTGAGCAATTTAAGACAGCACAAGACACAGATATTTCTACACAACCAACTATATTACAGGTGCTTTCATAAATTAAAATTTGATTGAAATGTGCAAGCTGGGATCATCTTCCATAAGCACTTACTGTAGGAGTTAAAATGTTTTTGGGGTTTTTAGGACAAGTGCAGCACAACTTTAGGAACAGACAAATTTCTGTTTAAAGTGCATGTTTAGGTACTGCTTAGGTTATAACCCATACAGGTCACTATCCAGGATGTGTTGTGTTCATCATCCTGAGTAAAATCATGCTAGTGAACTCAGAAATGTAGCTTAGAAGCAGCCTTTCAGTAGAAAAATGGGCAGTAAACCAGATGGGGTGATAAAATGATGAAAGATAAAGGGAAGTTTTTGCTTGAGGTAGCCTAGACTTAATGACAGAAAAGTTATTTCCCAGTGCTTTTTCCTACATGGCATCTTTTATATTTATTGTTTAATTGTCACAATTGCCTTTTGAGATAATCAATGTTATCCTGTTTTATGAGTGTGCAAACAGGTATGGGGTATAATGTAAAAACCCTAAATTTCCATGTGGAATTTGCTGGGTTTGATTAATGAGACTTGACAGATGCCATGAGATAACTTATAAAAACTGAATTAATTCTTTGTCTTCAGGTGTTAAGAATATCATATGTGCTTCCTGAATGAAGTGTAGAGAACAAATTTAGGTAGGAATCTCTTTCAGCTAAATGCTCAGAGCCATCTTAGTCACTCACTGCTCTTTTGTTGCCACAAAACAGCGCTGTGCTATGATTAGTTCATGTCTTAAATTATAACAGCAATGGGCCTGGTTGCTATATCAGTGGGATTCTTTCAGGGAAACTCCAGAACCTGCAGGGACTGCCACCACTAATGGAGTAGAACGGTGCTTTTCCTTCCTGAGTCAATATTGACTCTGGTATTTCCAGGGTGCTCTTGCTGCACCATTGTATTGCACGGGAGACAAAATCCACAAAGCGAGACTCTTGCCTCTGCATTGATTTAGAGTCCAGTGCCCAGACAACACTAAAACGTAGACACCAAGGCTTTGAAATCACATACATAAATTGAAGTAATGAATAATCATACAGCATTTTTACCTTGAGTTACGTTCACATACAAACAGCTACAAGGAAGTTTTACATAGATTTAGAGACAGGAAGTACTTGGGTGTACGGGGGGAAGAGTGAAAGTTAAAGTTAGGTGTGGCAGCATGCAATAGAGATCAAAAGAAAGAGGAAAATATATGGAGTTGAAAAAGGCTAAATATCAAAGAAACCCAAGCACAAATAGATTATCTAGGACCTAAGAGAAATGGGAGTTGGACATGGGAACACAAGAAGAGGAATACACTGTTGCAAATCCATGCTTTAAAAACTTGAGAAGCAAGCTGAATGCTTTTGATCTGCAGAGGAAAATAAAACCACAGTAAAGATAATGAAGGATAGAGATAGTGAGATCCCACTTTCCTGGGAACTCCTTGCATCATAGAGTTCTTTTTAAAATGCTCTTTCAGAGAAACCATGTTGCAGTTGCTGGACTGGAACAAATAATATAATAATATTATATTATTAATAAAATAATTTTTGTTCCTGATTCAAAAATGTGTTCCTATACATTATAGATCACAGCAATATTTTTTTATTTTCTTGTATGTCCTAAATCCATTTCCTGTGATAACCCATGAGATTTTATGCTCCAAGGAGATAGTTTTTGACTTACCACCATGACTCTCTCCATCACTGTTGAGATACTGGTAATAGTCATGGGGCTGTCGGTAGAGGTCTGACTCATAGGGTACCATATCTTCAGAGGGCTGTAAAAAGAAGAGGAATTTTTAGAACAGTAGGTTTATACAAATCCTTTCCAAATTATTCATATAGTTCGTGAAGGACTGATGCCAACCCATTTTATATTGTTTAGGGAAAGAAAGGGGAGATTTCAAGTTATTACTGAATCAGCAGAAATAAAATGTGTGATGCCAAATACTGGTTTTGGGGAGGAAAAAAAGTTATCCCAGTAGAAAAGAGACCCAGCCTGTGTAGCAGAACTTGTCCACTTGTAATACAGAAATCCCTTGTATCCCACACTCCAGCCTTCTGAGGATACTGCTTTAGAGTTGTAGATATTATGCACAAGTGCAAATTCTTTGGTAGTAACAGATATTTTCTTTTATTGATGATAATGATGATGATTATTATTATTCCTGTACACAAAAAAGAAAGCAGAAACTTCTCTTGCCTAAATATATTGTTTCTACAAGGTCTGAGTAAATGGTGGGAGTCTGTCAGAGGGTAGTGACACTGACAGAGGGCATAAACACATTTTCTTTCTCAGTTACTGTCCAAGGTGACCTCTAAAAGTTTGCTGCCTCAAATCAACTGCACAGGGCTTCTAGATACACACAGTAAAAACTTAAAAAGTCCAAATGTGGAGAAAATAGTGAGTTATGACCTGTTGGATGCTTAGCTGTAGAATTAGAGTCTTCTCTAGCTCTCAAAACTGGTGACATAGGCTAACTTGCCCACTTCTCCTCCTCCTCAGGCCTAGTATTCCAATTGGAACACGGAGTAAGATCTTATGTTGTCACAATGAAGGTTGTTTACTATTAGTTGTGCACAATTTTGTTGCTTCATCTAATGTTTCTTCTTGTTTATTTCCAGAATAAGAGTTAGAGAAAAATAGTGTCTGTTTTGTTAAACCTTTATTCAATTAAGTTTGTTACAGTATTTCTTTCTAATCCAAACAAATTCTTGCACTGTCAACAGCAAAGAACTCAATCACCTTCTTGCCTTTTTTTGGGAAGGAAATTACTTTTAGTATTTCTAGGTGTTAATAGAAACATTTAATTCTATCAATGACTCCATCATAACTAACTTTGAAGGACAAATATTTTGAATAACATGATAACTATATGATCAGTGTCTTTCTTGTGTTTATATTTCATATGCCTATCTATATGTCCCAAATCCTTTCCCTCCATGAGCCTGTCACATTTTTGGAACATCTGCATTTTTTAAGCTTAAGCTGTGGTAACAGCATGACAGAAATACAGGACAGCTTCTCTTTTTCTTACTCCTCTAGACTGCTTGAGAAATGGAACCTAAGGTAGCAGCTGCCACTAAAATCCAGATGGAGGTGGTAGATAAGCAGCTAGCAAAAGGAAAGGACTTTTTTTTCTGGTTTCTATAATTCTTCTGGTTAACTCCTTCGGTTCATTCTGTTGGAATATGGGGATTTAAAGATTGTCCCTTTCTGAGGATTAAGATGCTAGAGCACATACCAAAAACACCCCAACAAAACATTTTCAGAAATTACTTTGGAACTTGGTAAATCCTTAGCAGCAGCCATGTGTTCTATGAGTGTATCATCAAAAGGCACTGGTAAAATTGTCTAAAACTTTGTGACCTTCAGCACACACACTAACTGGGAGTCAGACCCATGGAATATTTAAAACCTCCGGGGAAAATCCATCACCTGGCTACAAGCTCCAAACAGAATCAGTGGTGGTGGACAATTGCTTTGGGGAAATCTTGAGATGACAACCCACAGTAAAGGTTTTCTAGGAGAAAGACTAAGGAAAAGGGACAAGTCATCCTTTAGCTGCATCCACACAGGAATAGCAGTGATGGGACTCTTCTCTGGTCTCCAGAGCTCTACTGTAGGTACAGTCTCCCTTTGCACATCTATGTGATTACAGTAGAATTGCCCTTTATTCACACAGACATAAAAGAGGAAGTATAACATGTTTTCCAGATTTCAGGGAGGTGGTGAAAAAGTCATTACAGCATGTATCTCCTCAACATTTCTGCTTTTTCTCCATGTATTTTCTTGGTGTTCTCTCTGGTTATATGTATTTACTCATCTTCATTCCTTCCACCTTTGGTGTACTCTGATCTCTGACAAGAAAAAGTAATGAGACTGTATTTTGCTTTCTTTAGGATAAAGTTCTGAATGGAATTTCTCCTTCTCATTATCTTTGCAAATTAGTTCATCCCATTCCCTCATTTCCTTTCCCTAAATATATGCTTCCTGGTAAATATATAAACTTATGCCTTCATATTCAAAATTTTAAATTAGTATATTATAAATTAAAAACTAAATTTTAATTAATATTGTAAATTACTATAATTCAAAGGAAAGCATTGATATTCTGTGAAAGGGGAAATGTCAACATCTAAATGAAAAATGCATATCATACTAGTTAGGAAAAACAGAGGTTAAAAAGTCACATAAATGTACATTGTTTGAAAGAAAAATCTCTGTTTCTTCTCAACTGAGATACTAGAAACTGGTACAAATTATTAAAATGTTAATACCTAAATGCAGTGAAGTTTTAAATGCTGATAACAGTTTAGCCAAAAGTAAACTAATTTCGAAAGAAATCACTATCCTGTCAATGTAGGCTTAATTTGCTAAAATTTCCAGTGGTATAGCAAGGCATCTATCACTCATATCTTTACAGAAGTATAACTTGGCAGGAAGGTCAAACATCAGTCCAAAAGTAGATAAAAATTACATATTTTAGGCAAGGAAAAGAATGTTTGGCTTTTCCTAATTGTGCTTTCCTTTGTTGTCTTCTCTCAGTTTCCAAACTCCCCCACTTTAGAGCAATATACATTTACAGGCAATAGTGACTCATAGTCTGACAACTGAGAATTGAACTGAAGTATTTTACCATTCAAAAGCTAATTTTACAGTTCAGATGCATATTCCATGAGCAGAGCTAAAGGGAGGTGTGTTAAATAGACTCTTAAAACAATGACTCCCTTAATATTTACAGATATGACTGATCACAGAGTGAATTGCAGATACCCAACATCTAAAAATGATTTTACATAGGGCATTGGTGTACTATAAACTTCAGTTTGAAAGTCTGGGGCTTAAAATTTCTTTTTCATGGATCCTTGGAATTTTTGTCCTTGGGTTTGTTTCCTGTCCAGTGATCCTTTTGATAAAATACATGTGTGAATATCCTTGTTAACTCATGCAACTGGACCCATCTGTCCCCACACAGGACTTGTAATGCCACTGCTTTCTGTCTTGGTGTCTGATCTTCAAGGGCACAGTAACTAACATGGCAAGATGTATTAAATATTTAAGAGTCTACTTATCATCAACTTAATCGGATGGTGGTTAAAGGACATAGAACAGCATGTATTCTCTCTGATTTTTCTATGGGAAAGTGGGAGATTTCCCTCTATTTATTAGAAAGGCTATTTTCAATAACATGTTTTTAATTGCTTTCTGGATTTTTGGGGAGTGGTTTGTTGTTCTGGGTTTTTTTAAGAAAAATTTCTTTAGAAATGTTTTCTCTAATTAGAGAGGCTTCACCATGTTCATTGCTGTTGCCTCTTGTGTCAATCTTTACCCACTTGCCCTGTCCTTCTCTGGAACCTCCCCACCCACACCCATTTCATCATCTTACTGACAGCTCTTCCATGACACTGAACTGTTTTGTTACTCCTGACAAAAAGCAAAGAATAGCTTATGTTTAATATTTAACTGATGTCAATGGCCATTTGTTCTATTGGTTATTTCCATGTAAAAGAATGACTGAAAGCTTTGTTACAATCCCATAGTTGTGGTCTAAAGTTGGTATCTCCTTGCATGCATGCCATGAGGTGCAGTGCACTATCTAGACAGTATTCTACCCTCAGGTAAGAGGCCAACAAACAATACTTTCTGTCACAGACATCTATAAATGAAGAGGGGCCTCAGTCTTCCATCTTTGCCCTGAAACTCAAGGGAAAAGCCACAAAACCAGCCAGAGAAAGTTCAGTTGGCATTGGTTAAGAGAGACACATTGAACTCAACTGAACAGCAGTCTGAAAATCTTGTTACTCCCCAAGACTTTGTCAGATGATTCCAGAGAATTGTAAAATCACTAAATGCTGATCTGTTTTTTATCTTGATATAACTATTCACTGGCATGTGATTCAAAAATACTTCAGACAATTTCCAGTGATGTGTTGCTGAGACAAGCTTTAAGGCCAAGATTAACTTTATTTCCTTGGAAAAAAATTACAGTATAACTATTTTAGAAAAGATGAGTAAAAATATTAGCATGATTACTCATTGGGCCGGCCTCACTGGACCGTGTTGATAATGCAGTTATGTGGAACACAGTACTTCTGTGGGGCATTTTTGCTCTCATGCAAAAATACTTCATTCAAAGCTGTGATTTCTACAGGTGGCTACTTAAGGATTCATATAAAACTGGAACCCTCTTCAGGCAAAGGTGTTTGACTTAATAATGTTTTGACCCATAACACAACTGAATTCTGTCACGCACTGGAAGACACAGACCCAGTCTGCAGAACTTTTCCCCACAAAATTTCTAATCTTCAGAGGAAGATGCAGTACTCCCAGACAATTTAAACAGTGTTTTCCAGCTGAGGGATAAGAATTTCCTAGCCCAGGCAAGAGAAAGCAGTTACTGACCCACCCTCAACTGACCGGGGAAGGGTGGAGGAGGGAAGTGTTGCTGCAACCCCTGCCTACAAACAGGCTTGTGTTTCCCCACTGAAAAAGTCCCAGGAGACAGACTTGTAGGACTCTAGCTGGCAGTGCTCAAAGTGCACTTAAAGACATTTGAAAGTACAAACCACAAATTTATTAGGTTTTTGGCAGTTTAATCACAAAACAAAAGAAAACCCCCAATTGCTCTATCAAGGGCTTCAGTAAGATGCAATTGGGTTTTCACTGCCAGTTGTATCACTCATCTGAACGCAGTTCAGACATTAATTGCAACACAAATTAGAATATGGGCCAAACTGTGTTAGATTTTCACTCAAGTTATTCAACATATGTCCTGGAATTCAACACTGGGGAAAAAAAAAAGGAAGAAAACTTGGCTATGAGTTAATAAATAGACAGAAAATTAACAATTGGGTTTTTTTTTTGAATGGAGATGCAGTTTTCTGGGGTAGCTAAAGACAAGGTTTGTGTTTCTTTATAATTTATTTTTTGTTAAGCCCAACAAGTAACATACTGAGAAATCTCTAGATATGTTTTTTAAGCTCGTTTCTATTCAGATTTCTATTCTGTTGCACTTACAGGAGACCCATTGGGAAATCTTGTGTATTTAAGAAAAAGAAGAACTATTTTTAGAGTCTCCTCACCCTTTAGGTAGATAGGTGATTTCAGGAGAATTGATGATAAACTGATAAAATAAGGGTTCTCCCCCAAAAATAAGATAAATACTTTCAGTTATCATGAATTCTGAACATGACAGGGATTCAAAGGCAATCTTTCTGGATGAAAGATTAGAAATGTCTTTAGTCTTCATTAAATGGGACAAGGCAAAACCAAAACTTGATATAAGTTTTTGTTAAAAACCCTTTGGATCTGCATTGTCTCTCTCTGTTATCTGACACATGTATAGCAATTACTGTAAGCCATCTACCACATAAAAAGCCAAGTCAACCACCTTATCTGACGCCCCTTCAGCTTCTACAAACTTAATGAAATCTAATTAAGGGCTCTTGTACTCAATCTCTTTAGAGATTTCCCATTAAGCCTGGTTTCTGAACAACAGGTTAGTGACATTATTTTTTTCATAAATAATAATTTTTTAACTCACCGTACGATAAATTACAGCAGTGCGACAATGCTTACAGTTAAGGAAAGGACAGAGATGCCCCATAGGCACACAGAAAAATTTATATGTTAGGGAAAACATTGAAAGACTTAAATAAGGACTGTAGGTTTTTTTCCCTATTAGCCAGTTGCTTTTTCACAGTCAGTGAATTCAAGAAAATTCAAGAAAATATTAGGTTAAAAATTAAAATGCCATCATTGAAAAGAACACACAGAGTCCTAAAATCTGCAATATGTAAATCAACATTCAAAAACTCTTTTTTCACAGATTAGTAGGCAGTTAAATATATAAACTATGTCAGAGACTTCGGATGATTAAGAATTACAATTTGAAGAAAGACGACCTTTGTATCACATAGGCGGCACTGAAGAAGAGAGATTTACTGACTTGTTATAAACACCCTGTACAAGAATACCATACATTTAATCTGTGCAAACAAATGGAGATCAAAATCAGATACAAGTTTAGGGAGGAAATGTTAATTTCCCTTTCCATTGCAGTGTTGTCACTAGTTTTATATATTGACCCAAGCCAAACTTCCTGGCATTACAAATACAGACCAAAACAGAGATATTCTCAAATAACAAAACCTGGTTTTCTTTTGCTACTGAACCTAAAGATCCATATTACAAATAAATCCATATACTCACAGGGGGAATAAGGGGAAATCCTTCCATCTTGCAAGCTTGCAACATTCAGCCAACTTCTGAGTGAATTTTTCTTAATTCAGTTTTCAAACATCCAGAATAACTGACTTGCAAAAAATCATATTTAAAAAATGATGGAAGAAAAGGAGGAAAACTAATGAGAAAAGAAAAAAAAAAGCAAGAAAAAAGTGAGATCCTCGGACTCCGTGAAGTCCCTTAGCAGTGGTGGATCTCAGGACAGGAGGACCCTAACAAGTTTTCATAGTTTGCCCTAATAGGTTCGGAGGTGAACTTCTTCCCGAGTTGTATGCGAAGTTCCTGATTTTATCAAATGTCTGTAGAAGGCAGATAGGCCCTGGGTCTATCAGTGCGCTGTGACATCACACTTGAGTTTTGCATATATGTCATTTCAGGGAGCTGCGGCATTCAGCAGGAAGTCTGCCCCAGCCATGGACAGGTGCTCGGCTGTATAATCAGCAGCCCAGAGCCTGCCTTCAGCAAGAGAGAGGGTGAGTGCAGCACCGGGATAAGGCTCTGTGCTTCCCATTGCACATGAACCAGAACCATGGTGCTGCTGCTCTCAGGTTTAATGAGACATCATAGACACAGCCCCGACAACTTCTGAGAGGCCAGAGCAGTGGCATAGACTTGCATTAATAATAGTCCTGTGTTGAAATGATGTGGCAATACTTAGCAGGTAGGAAAAAAAGAGTATGCAGTTTCAAATACACAGCCTTAGGTTTTTACAAAACACTGAAGTTATGCCCACGAGACTTTTGCCATCAGCTTTGCATGAGAGTAAGTTCAGTGAAAGATACTTTGTCCTCGTATTTGTTTCTTGTGAATTCTTTTGTTTTATAATTCCTGCAAGGAGAAAGTGAATGGGGAAAAGGAGAAAGTATTACATGTCTCTCACAATGACTTCCCTCAGGTCCTGAGTGCCTTCAACAGTGAATAGAGAATAAGATTTATAGACTCCTGCTCAAAGTGTCAGGTGCAGAAAAACCTTGTAGAGATTTTGTGTTAGCTCTGCTCACTTGATTTTCTCCCCTCTCCTTATCCCAGTGCTCTGCTGGCATTTGGCTGTGCTGAACAAAAGGTTTTCACATGCAGGTTCTGGCAGTGCCAGAGGTGAGTGGGGCTTGGGGCAGGATGTAGGGATTGAGGCCTGACTACAAGGGGTGAGAGCTCTCATTCTGCAACATGCCTTCTTGCTTTGCAGTTAGTTACTAATGTCTTGGAAAAGTGAAGTTTCTTTGTCTGGTTTGTTCCCCTTCAGTGTATGCCCATGTGCCACAGGTTCTGCTTTTAAAAGCAGCCTGCTTACCACTCACCTGGATCTGTGTGCAAGGGGAATTTCAGCCACTCCAGACTTCCTCCCTTGTACACTGGTAAAACCAGAGGCCACTCACAAGTTCCTCTCATTCCCCACCCTCAGGAACTCCACAAGCAAACCATATTAGCAATGGGATAATATCAAGACCATGATGGGATATTAACTCTTGAAGCCTCAGACTGGATTTCATCAGCATTCGTTGATGCATAAGCATTTAATTCTTCCTTAATTCATACCATGAACTCTTGACTTTAGCTTGGGAATAAGCAAGCTGCTTAACAGTCCACTTCTGTTTCTGAGGTGCTTCTCAAGTCTCCCCCTGGATACCAGCCTGGAAGTGATCAAACCACCTGGGGGAAAAGGAGAGAAGCCAAGTAACACCCTGGTGATAAAATTCAGTGCAAACAGAGGAGAAGGGAGTGAACATACAAATCTTACAGTGGGTAATTGAATAATAGGTGATAAAAGCAATTGTGGAAATTGTGTGTCTATTAACAAGGCTATTCAGAGCAAGGAAGATATGCTATCTGATTCACTGCACACTGAAAGATAGCTTAAGCAGCTTCTGCAAATATTAAACATGTGTTTTATACAGAGAGGCTTCTACTAAAGTGGCATGAAACAATATTCCATAGGCTGTAGGACATTTCTGTACTGACTTCTAGCACAGGAAATTGCCTAATAAGGACAGATATTTTGCACCAGCCTCACTGCGCTTGGGGAATGCTGGGTTGCCAACATTATCAACCAGGTTCAATACAGTAATTGTAAGTGCACCAAGGCAATCTATATAAATAATTAAATTGATTCTCTGTATGTTGAATGAAAACTAAATGATATGCCATAAGGATTCAGGACCAGCAGGAAGTCCAGCAATTGAATAACCTTCCCAGAAAGGAGGGCATCTCTGTGGATGGAAATGCTCAAAGTGAGATTAAACACTTGTTTATCCCACTTGTATAGGAACGTCACTAGTAACAACCTTGCTAAAGTTCAACAGACTGATTTCTCACAATTGCATATAACTGGTATTTTATCCTCTGTTTGTAAGCACAGAATCTTCTCACCTCTAAAGCAAGGCCTACTAAAGGTGATACTTTTGCCCCAGATCCTTGCAGTTGCCTTATCAGATGACTTACATGAAGAAAATAGATGAAGTTACAAAACAGTTGTGCAGTAGCAAACTGATTTCCAGAGGTATGTGAAGTGCTACTCACAGAATGTATTTTGACCTTTAAAAATGCTTTTGAATTAGGGTGGAGATCCTTCTCCATAATGAATTTTGAGAACTAGAGGAAAAACTGATGAGTTGAAGGATTAAGTTTTTGAAAGATTATTTCTGATAACATTAAACATTCGTATGAATCCTTTCCCTCTAAGCATCACCTCACTCTGTGCAGTTTTTTGAAGCATTTCTTGCCCTACGTCTAGCCATTTGTTCTTTAAGCTATATTTATAACCACAAACTACCAAAGCAAAAGGGTTTCTTCTAGCAGCCACATCACAGAGAGGTCTTGTCACCTCAAACCTTGTTTGGTGCCTGGAAGGTAATTTTCCCCCCTACTAAAACCACAGAACATCACTCATTCTGTAGTCCTTTAATCAGAAACAGGTGCTTACACAGATTCTGCCACTGAGTTTTCTTGCAACAGAAAGACACCACCTCTAAGCAAGGAATTCTGCTGTGTGTTCCATACTCTTCACAGTCCTATGTTTTAGCATGGAACTGGTTTTTATCTAGGCTTCATACGGGTTGTAGATCTTGTATACCATCCTTTAACATTTATTATCCATTGAGATCACATGAGTCTCTGACTGTGGAACCTGTGGGGTCTGGAGGATAGTCCTCTCTTGATAACTGCTTGTTGCATGCACTCCTACTGAGTTGAAGATGTGAATTGAAATATCTTTGTTGCATATGTTGATATGAGAGAGTAGGAGGCAGAAAATGGCTGCTGCAAATTCTGACTAAAAAGAATTTGTTACCTCTTTTTCTCACGTGGACCTTCACCTTAGGACCTTTAACAGTCTGACTGTAGACTTTCCTGAAATATGTGCTCCCATTTCTACTGTGGTAGTGTCACTCACCCTTGAGATACCCACAGGTTTATTGGATGACTACATCTGAATAAAGGCTTTTTCTCTCTATGTGGGTATCCCTTCCCAGAGCTGATGCAGTTCGTACTTGCAAAAAAGGGCTTTGGACAGTTCAGCTTTCATGAGTTCCTGAGTTTTATGAACGAGCATCTGTACAAAGACTTTTCCTAGTGGGAAATGTCATAAAAATGTAATTAAAACATCAGTTTTAACTAGCTTCAATATATTGGCAAAGACTTTCAAGCATAGACTAGGCTCCATCCATATCAGAATGGAGAAAACCACCTCCATTTGGAGGAAGAGAAAATTTCATGGGTATTTTAAGAACTATTATGATAAGCAAGCACTTACAGAAATGAAAAGCATTTATTTTTTCATTTGATTAGTAACTTTTAAACTCTCCATAAAACAGAATTCAGCAAAGAAGAAAATCTCTCTTTGGAAATTTATATGGCTTTAAAATCTGTTTACATGCCAGCTGCATTTTATTACTTACTGTATTTGGGAAAACTTGTTTGGGTTTTAAGGCATTTTGAAATAACTATAAGATTTTATATGGTTTTTAATGATTTTCTGCATTCTGTGGGCAACAGATTTTCAATTTACACATTTCTGCTTGATTATTGTCATCCAATTTCTCAAAACCTTAGTATCATTTCAAGTGATTAACATGGAAGACTGTTTTAACACCATCTACTTTTGAAGTCTATATCCAGTGTACATCCTACCTACAGTCAGCAGCACCAGTAAGGTGAAGGTAGAATTGTCTATCATCCCTTCATAAAGAGCCTACTGTCCAATAGAGGTTACCTTCCCTCTCACCTCCATCCTCCTCCCCCCCCCCCAAAAAAACATCAGAGACTTTAATGGTAAAATTAAGTTATAAGGTTAAGGTGAATCTGTGATTCAGCTTGAGAAGAATATATTTGTAGAGTAAAATACTTGCTGCTGATGGAGGCTCAATACATCTGGTATTTCTTTTAATAAGGCATCACTTCAGACTGATTCTATTCTGATGCCAAGGAATTCCCATTTGCAGCTGGAGACCTGAGCTACGCCTTCAGTTTAATCTGAAAAGAATCCAGTTTATGCATCCTAATACTGCTATGTGGTTCAAAGTGTAGTAAGTGGGATCAGGATATTGATTTTAGAAGTGGTTTTATGATCTGAACTATTTTGTCCATCTACATTCACCATTGGAGAGGATTCTTACCCTGAGTCTCTAGTGACCTCTGACAAGTTGTGTCAGAGATATCTTTGCTGTGTGGAGCTTGATTTGGATATTTAGGCAGCAGTTCTTTCCTGAGAGCTCAGCTGTACCTAGTCTTGCTCTCCTAATGTAAATAACACTTTCCAGACTTGCATCTTATTAGCATTATACCCCTTAGAAGTCTCTCAGAATTCTAAAGAGAACAACATTTTTCACAAATAAATGTGCTTAGGTAGCTGGTGGGTTGGTAGCTGTGCTTCTGGCTCTCTGCCACCACTTTGACAGGGACTTGCCTGGAATGTTGCACAGACAGAGGAACGGAAGTACTGGGAGCCTGTGGTGTCTTCCATCCTCCCGATGGAGGTTTAGCTGCATTGGGGGTGAAGCATGTATGCAAGCCCAAAGGTCACAGCCTTTTGTATGTGACTAGGCAGGTGTGTATGACACACCCAGGAGTATGTTATCTGTAGAAACTTTTTACCAATTAGAAAAATTGTGTTTTAATTAATTACAATTCATTCTTTTGTAACCTCAGACCTTCTTTACTAAATAAGTCACATGCAGTTAGACTATTCAGTCTTCATTTTTACTTTTTTGCCTGTGATTTTTTTCAGGTGTCTTGAAATCTGCAGAGTTTGGTAAAAAGCTGAAATCCTTACCTAATCTGGTAGAAAAAATTAACAGCCTAGAGATAAGTAGCTCCATCTTAAGCTCTACCTTTCTTTAGGAGC